CGTAAAGGGCTAGCGTTACGCTTTTCTAGATAGGCTTCTAGTGCGCCGCGCACTGCGTAAAGGGCTAGCGTTACGCTTTTCGCGTAAGGGCCAGCGTTACGCTTTTCTAGATAGGCTTTCGGTGCGCCGCGTACTGCGTAAAGGGCCAGCGTTACGCTTTTCTAGATAGGCTTCTAGTGCGCCGCGTACTGCGTAAAGGGCCAGCGTCACGCTTTTCGCGTAAGGGCCAGCGTTACGCTTTTCTAGATAGGCTTTCGGTACGCCGCGCACTACGTAAAGGGCTAGCGTTACGCTTTTCTAGATAGGCTTCTAGTGCGCCGCGTACTACGCAAGGGCCAGCGTTACGCTTTTCTAGATAGGCTTCTAGTACGCCGCGTACTACGTAAAGGGCTAGCGTTACGCTTTTCGCGTAAGGGCTAGCGTTACGCTTTTCTAGATAGGCTTTCGGTGCGCCGCGTACTACGTAAGGGCTAGCGTTACGCTTTTCTAGATAGGCTTCTAGTGCGCCGCGTACTGCGTAAGGGCTAGCGTTACGCTTTTCTAGGTAGGCTTTCGGTGCGCCGCGTACTACGTAAAGAGCCAGCGTTACGCTTTTCTAGATAGGCTTCTAGTGCGCCGCGCACTACGTAAAGGGCTAGCGTTACGCTTTTCGCGTAAGGGCTAGCGTTACGCTTTTCTAGGTAGGCTTTCGGTGCGCCGCGCACTGCGTAAAGGGCTAGCGTTACGCTTTTCTAGATAGACTTCTAGTGCGCCGCGCACTACGCAAGGGCCAGCGTTACGCTTTTCTAGATAGGCTTTCGGTACGCCGCGTACTACGTAAAGGGCCAGCGTTACGCTTTTCTAGGTAGGCTTCTAGTGCGCCGCGTACTACGTAAAGGGCCAGCGTTACGCTTTTCGCGTAAGGGCTAGCGTTACGCTTTTCTAGGTAGGCTTTTAGTGCGCCGCGCACTGCGTAAAGGGCCAGCGTTACGCTTTTCTAGGTAGGCTTCCAGTACGCCGCGCACTACGTAAGGGCTAGCGTCACGCTTTTCTAAATAGGCTTCCAGTGCGCCGCTTTTCGCGTAAGGGCTAGCGTTACGCTTTTTAAGGTAGGCTTCTAGTGCGCCGCGCACTGCGTAAAGGGCTAGCGTTACGCTTTTTAAGGTAGGCTTTCGGTGCGCTACGTATTACGCAAAGGGCGAGCGTTACGCTTTTCTAGATAGGCTTCCGATGCGCCGCGCACTACGTAAAGAGCTAGCGTTACGCTTTACTAGATACGCTTTAGGCTTTAGTACGCTACGCACTTACGCTTACTTCTACTAAGCTTTACGCAAGAGTTACGCTTAATATTAACTATAGTTAATATTCTAGTAGAGTATTATAAAGAATCGATAAACGAAATATTCGAAAATTTTAGTATTCGAAAATTTTAGTGTTCGAAAATTTTAGTATTCTAAAATTTTCGCTAAGTCCTACGGTTTCGGCCCCCACGCCCCTCTAAATCTAAATAACTTAGACTTATAATTAGGCGTACGACGACGTATTCTTTAAACGTAAACCGCTAGTTTATAAGAAGATCTATAACGCTATTATAGTAAATAGTTAAGATATATTAATAGTAGCGTTTAATCTCGTCCGCGAGAAGATATAGGCTCTATTAAAAGTAGGCTAAATAGTCGGTCTATTTCTAGTAATCGGCGATAGCGGCTTTTATCGCTTATATCTACGCTATATACTCGTCGTATAACGGCTAGAGATATACGTCGCCTTTAATATAGTAGATATAGTAAAACGTACTTTTTTTCTCGTATAGTCTATTATATACGAGCTCGCTAGGCGATAAATACTCGCTATAGCCGATACTAGACTAGAAGTAAGTATACGGTACTCGCGAACTAAAATCGTTATTAAAGAAGCGATTTCTAAAATTAGTATAACGAAAGTACTTAACGCGATAGAATAGTAACTTTATAAAATCTTCTAAAAGATAGTTTACGTATTAATATAGACTAAGTTAGACCTTTTTCTTATTTTTTAAATTAAAGATATCGCGGTTAGAGTATTACTAAATTATCTCTAGTTAACTTTAGAGTAAGAATATACTAATAGACGCGGATATAGATATTACTTCGTAATAATCTTTATAGCCGATAATCTTAATATTAAGTAGCTTAAGGGCGAAGTAGCGCTCTTTAGAAATAACGTAGACGTTAATATAGACGTTTAACCGTCTATATTAACTATAAAAGAATCGGCTATAAATTCTACTACGATAGTAGTAGTATATATAAACTATTTATTTAGGCGAATAGTAAGTTTTATTAAATTATATATTTTTATAATCTTCTTCTTACTCGAAGACGTAGTAGGCGTAGTTTCTAAGACGTTTATCCGCTAATAGAAAGTTATAAACGAACTTATTATTAAAATTAAGATCGAGAGATAGAGAATAACTACTATAGCTATTAGAGAAAAGAAGAGACTCTACGAGTATAAACGCCCGTCGAGAGTAACGGTCTACTTAAATATATATATTATTTTAGCTAATATATAGATTATATTAATCTAGATTAGGTCCTTCGTGCGTTTAAAGCGATAACGACGAGAGTTTATTAGTAGTATTAAATACGTTAAGATTTACGCCGCTTAGATCGACGTCTATATTATTAGCGAATAGACTAGTTTTTATAAGTAATAGTAGGCTTTATATTAATATTTCTAGTACTAGCGATAGCGATTAGCGTTAAGAGTATAGATATATACTAGACGAAAACCTAAATAAAAAGTAAATAAGTCGAATCTCTAGCTTATAACGATAGTAATAGACGCGGATAGTACTATTTAAAAGTAGAAAAGAAGAAAGATTAGAAGAAGCGAGTTCTATTAATTAATAAATATTAGAGAGAGAGTAAGAGAACGAATAGATTTAAAAAAGATAGTAAGAGAGAGAGCTAACGCGGCGAAAGAATACTAGAACGTAAATTTTATTAGAAAAGTAGAGAGGAGTAGTAGTATAAGAAGATAGATTTTATTTATTAATAAAATAACGGCTTTAGAAAGTCTCTATTTTATTATCTTTTTAGTAATACGCCGACGGCTAGTAGTAGAAAAAACGCGGCTTAGCCTAGTAGTCGTATAACGTAAGCGTAGTATAGTAAGATATAAATAATAATATACTAATAACTTTAGAGTCTATTTTTTAGGCGAATAGAGCGGGCTATAATCGATCGAAATAGAGTAAAATATAAAATTAATAGTTTTAAATAGCGATAGAAACCGACTAGATATAATACTATATTTAAATAATAGAAGAACTATTATTCTAGTTATACGTAGATCGGCGCTAGCCGGCCTTAATCGTTAACGTATTAATTAATAAAACTATAAGATATAAGATACGAATAGAGAGCTTAAAATAGATATAAGAAGAGAGCTTATAATTAATAAATAAATTCTTAAGAAATTTAGTCTTCGCCCGTAGACCGAAGAGCTTTTATATATAGCTAAGCGAGAGTTACGTAACTAATACGTAACTTCTATAGATCTCGTATATAAAGCGTATACGAGACGCGGCTATAAATTCTTATAAAAACTTATACTAGAAAGCTATATATATAATAAAATAAAGAAGAGAGTAGAATAGTAATAAACGCGTTCTCTACGCTATAGCTAGAGATAAGAAGAGTTCTTTTATATTTAGATTTTATCGTCTTCTAATAAAAGAATTTTTTAGTATCGTTTTTTTCGAATCTTATTATTTCTTCGAAAGGGCGGGCTGGGGCCAAGGGCGGAGCTAAGGATAGAGGTAGAATCTATTAATTAATAATACTTATACGTATTAACCTATAATTTTAAGCCTATTTCGGTAAGCGTATACGCGTCTACGGTAATAAATAATTAAGAGAAATTTAGTACGCCCTTAATAGTAAGTAGTATTTAGAAATAGAAAAAATACGAGTATCTAAAAAACTATTAACCCGTACGATCGACCCTAAGTTTAGCGGGGATTAGGGATCTAAATATCTATTCTATAGTATTAGAAGAACGTATAGACCCTATTATTTACGGAAGTCGCCAAATTACCGGAAAAGATATATAAAAGCAAACCTTATCGCTTCCGTAATCTATCGAGCAGAGCGAAAAGCCGAGAAGAAAGAAGAAAAAATAGAACGCAATGGCCCTGTCCACGAATAACGATATCTTAGAGTTCTGCTTCTAGAAAATTCGATATGGCGCAATGGCCATGCCTAGTAGCTCGAATGTAAGTAGAAGCGTGTCGATAAGGTGTGGCACAATGGTCACACCGAAAATCATTCGTGGTCTATAATCTTAATGACTTCCGGTTGAACTGCAACGGAAAATGCTGCTTGAATCTTGCCCAGACATCCGGAGGAACCTGGAAATGGTTCTTCGCGATGTACTCATCGATGGCGCCTCGCCACTTGTCGAAGGCAGTGGAGTTGTCTGTCAAGTGAGGCGAGACAAAGTGAGGTGGCTCTTGACTGACGGTCGGGCGGACACCCCTCCTCCACCTTTCTACCCGGCCAAGCTTCCTTCGAGCCGTTACCCTCGACTCCTTCACACACTCGGGATTTCTTCTCAATCCTTACACATCCAGGCCCCTCCTTACATGCATCACCAGACTGGCCTCCACGTTAACTGTAACACGTGTCTTACCCGTATAATCTGGCGGCTATTGTGTCGTACACCAACAGCATACACGTGTAGACGTGGCTGTCGAGTTGGCTTCGGCTACTCGCAGGAGACCCGAGCCACTACCTACCGATCGAAAGTATTTTGTCATCCTACATACCTGGATGAGCATCCTCTTTATTATTGCTAGCGCTTACTCGCCCCCAGACTCGGCCATCGGGCTTACGTTATATTGCCCCACACCGAAGCACTGCCGGAGATAGCAAGGGTGATGGTGCTAAATCCGCGGCGATTGTGAGGGGCATCAGCACATATAAAAACTTTGACTCTCTCCCCATTGTGCAATTGCACTACAAACGACCTTCACCATGGCCAGGTCCACGCTGCTCGAAAACGGAACCGTCATCTCCTTCGACGATGCCAGTCAATCGCTGAAAGTCCTGCACAAGACCTCTGTGCTGGTGACCGGGGATCGCATCACTGCCATATTTGACTCGGCCTCGTCCGACTCGGGTGACGTTCCAGCGGATGTGGAACGGGTGGATGCAACCAACAAAATCATCTCCCCCGGCTTCGTCGACACCCACCGCCATGGCTGGCAGACGGCCTTCCGCACACTCGCGCCAAACACGACGCTCGCCGAGTACTTCTTCCGCTACGGCCAGTACACGCAGGCGAAGAGCGTCTTCACGCCCGACGACATCTACTATGGGCAGCTCGCGGGGATATACGAAGCGCTTAACGCGGGCGTAACATCCATCCTCGAGCACGCGCACGGTACCTTCTCCCCAGAAGCATCTGCGGCCTCCCTCTCTGCATCCGTCGACAGCGGCGTGCGCATGTGGTGGTGCTACGGCTTCAGCAGCGTCGACGCCGCGTCCATCGCCGACTTCCGCGCCCAAAGCACGCACCCCAAGCTCAGCGAGACCAACGGCCTGGTGCAGTACGGGATGGCCTATGACGGGTGGACCATGGCCGACGTCGCCGAAGTCTCCACCATCACCGCGCTCGCGCACGACACACCCAACCTGTCGGCTTTCACGACGCACTCCCTCGGCGGGCCGTGGCACGTCGACAACGGCCCCACCACCATCTCATCCCACGCGGCTGCGACCTCCTTTCTCGCCACCGCCCGCTTCCCCATCGTCTTCTCGCACGCCTCCTTCCTGTCCCCCACCGACGCCGCCCTGCTGCGGCAGCACGACCACCACGTGTCCATCACGCCCGAGTCGGAGATGCACTACGGGCACGACCACCCGGGGACGCCGCATATCATGGACCAAGCGGCGCTGGGGGTGGACACGCACTTCACCTTCTCCAGCGACATCGTGACGCAGGCGCGGCTGTGGCTTCAGACGGTGCGGCGGGGCGAGTACCGCCGCACGCTGGAGGGCTGGGCGATTCCGACGACGAACCCGATGAGCGTGAATCAGGCGTTCCTGCTGGCGACGCGGAACGGTGGGAGGGCGCTGAGGCGGGACGACGTCGGGGTGATCAAGGTAGGGGCGGTGGCGGACCTCGTCATGTTTGATGGCAACAGTCCGAATATGCTGGGCTGGGCGGACGCGGTGGCGGCCGTGGTGCTGCATTCGAACGTGGGCGATGTCAAGGATGTCATGGTCGGCGGCGAGTGGAGGAAGCGAGACGGCATGCTGGTGACGAAGCAGGATAGGAAGAAGGTCGAGGAGAGGTTTTTGGCGAGCGCGAGGCGCATCCAGGCGATTTGGAAGGACACGCCTCCGCCCGTGTTGGAGGGCGAGTGGAAGCCTGGCGTGGCGTTCAAGGCGACCGAGGAGCAGAATGTGGTGAGGGGAGAGGGGACGGGGTATTGACGCTGGGGTGAGTCGTGCCGCGGTTCCTGTTTGAGTGTGGTCCATGTTTTCATAGACCCCGGGCTCAAAGCTTCCTTTCCAGTGGCCATTCTTGATTTGATTTTATGATTCTCTGCTTCTGAACTGCCCATGTGATAGTCAGGACGGCGCATTAGCCGCACTCTTCCGAGAATCTTGCATGTGTTACCACAATAATGGAGACTGGCAAACCTCACTTTCCGTTGTCAATGACATGCTCGCTACCCTCGGCCTGAGGCTTATCTCCCTGGACCAGTCGGAGAGCTTCTTTGGCTGCGTTGTCTTGGCCCTGTCTGTTCGTCGTATATGGCATCTTGGAAGAAGTAGTTGTAGTGGTAATTCGGGTCGCTGAAGAAGGCCGGGATAAGTGCGTGGGGGTATGAAGGGTCGAACGAATCTGCCAAAGTACGGTTGGCAGCAACTCTTGCACTACTTTCGTTCGGTTTCACTCAGAGCACGGCGAGAGTCGAGGCATCCATTGTGACGGCGACGTCTAGTTGAGTGATCGTGCTTCGGCACAGAACGGATCTCCATTCTGTTTCTCCCATCCCGTCTGCTCCGCATAAAGCAGTTTCCAATGGTAAGTCCTCGTCGGAAACCTTGTGTAGGAATCCGAACGTGTTGGAGCCTGGATGGGCCCAAGAATAAAACGGATCGCAACCGAGTTCAGACAGCGGTTGATCTTCGTTATCGTCAAGACCACTGTCTATAGCAGCGTATAGCCAGGGAAAATCTTAGTCATGTTAGTATGGCCTTACTGAGCTTTGGAACTGCAATTTTGTAGCTCTTTTGCCTGTGTGGGTGCAGGGGATGTGACGGCCATTGGTCGTCTCGGGTGCGAGTCGCGTTGGCCAAACCGACCGCAGTAGAATCGTGTCACCTCGCCTGAAGCTACTCCACTACGCTTTCTTATTCGTATATACACTTGCCTGGCAAAGGCTCTCAATGCTTGTGACCATGTTTTACTCTGTGATATCCTCTTGTTTGATCGTCTGACGTTACGCAGTCGTAGGTCAATTGTTGGCGGAGGGCATTCACCTACAAAGCTGAGCTGAGATATCTCGAAATGGTGTCTCAACCATTGCCCTGCGTAGAAAGTCAGGAGAAGAAGCAAAAGTCTCAGTCTATCTAGATCATTCATCATTGTAAGCTGAGATCCACGGATGGTGGCTTACTGTGTTATCGGAAGGCCCACCGGCCAGTACGCAGCCTTGTTTCAACCTCGAGCGTGGCTCACTTGTTCGGGAGGCAGTGGAGGTGAAGAGGAAGACCTAAGCAGGAGCATGACGTAACGGGTGAAACTCAGCCATTCTGCCTGGAAGCCAACAGCCCACACCACTACACGCAATCACAGCTGCACCACACTGCTCCTTCCTCTGCATGTACGACACACGACCCGACAAGCCTCTGGACAATTTCGTCAGTCCTCCTTGCGCCGCACCCTTGGAGCCCGGAGCCGTTGTGTGATTCGGCTCGCTGACAGCGATTCATGACGTTCCATGACGGACGCGACCCAACGCAGAAAGGCAGGTCGATCGACATGCAGCGAGTGGCATCGCTTGCCGCGTCAGACGTCCGTCGCGTACCTGATTTTCCCCGCTATTGCTCTGCCGCAGCGCCAAATTCATCCTACAGCCATGATGAACAAGCGTGCCTCGGCGAATAATGCGAAGGAAACGCTTCACAATATCAACTCTTCGGCCGATTTTATCCACCTCGGATTATAGGTTATATTGTGTTCGGTTAACTTGCTTTTGCTCCAACTCACACACCGCCACCTGGGTAGAGATGTGTGTTCAGAGACAAGATAGCGGAGGGCATTTCGATTACGATGGGCTCGGCTAGGTAGGCGAAGATTGGTATTGATGCCCAATTTGTGGGCGGCAGTCTGCAGGTCATGGCCGCGGGAATGGGGCACCTACACCTCTAGTACTGATCGCCTATTTGTAGTACTCGTCACGGCCAAACATTATTGATGCTACTGTGCATTATATTAGCCAAGCCACAATCATCCGATCCATTTGTTGGTACGTCCTCCCGCTAGTGTCTCATTGTTTGGCAAAATTGAGGGCGTCTTTCTACACGCCGCTTTCGTCTCTTATACACGTCATTCCACGCGCCACTGTTGATGCACTCATCAAAACCTTGCTCACCTGACAGTCCCACTTATGGGCTCAATTACCGGCCAACGCTTTGATACAACTTTTCAGACAACAGCGAAATTTCTCTATCTTTAACAAAGTGTTGGACAAGAAGCGTTGACGGTTGGTAGTGGGAAGTTTTACGATTAATGTGGGATTACGCACGATTTTGGCGGAACGAAAAGTAGCCTCCCTGGCGAACATGTTACGTTATGCATGGGACTATTATTGCACGGCTCACGGACAAGTTCCAGACGCCTTCCAGCCCAGTCCAATCCAGCCCAGCCCAGCTCAGCGCGGCACGCACCTTGGAATTCAAGCACCCGTAGCGGCAACACTTTTGGGACGGCGATCGAACTCTTGGTTCTGTCAGTGGCTGTAGATGATAAGGCTACATTATTATTGTTCCTGCCTGGTTGTGGTTAGTACAGATCAGCACATGCGCCAGGGATGGAGGGAACGTAGACGCACGCGGAGCGCGACCGAACGTGGGATCGAGGACAAGACATAACAACTCGGCTTAGGTGAACTTCATTCAGCCGAACGGTAGCCATACATGGTACGGTAGTAGTACAAATGAATCCTTCGCCACTATGCCCGACAACTAGGGCTAAAGCGGAGCGCAGTATGGAACAGTACCACTTCGTACCCAGAACTAAAACACAACGCAGGGGCCTCATCAAATCCATAAATAGCCATGAACATCGGGTGTTATTAGGACAATCAGATCAGCAATCAACATGAAGCCAACCAGCAACCTCGTCATGCTCTGCGCCGCCATGACATCGGCAGCGGCAGCTTCTGACGATGCCTCCACCTCCACCATCCAATTCAGCCCTAAGCTCACAGCGGACGATGCAACCACCGTCCGCAAAAGCTACATCGGCTTTGGCATCGAGATGAAGAGCTTCCCCGACTACGCTGGCCGCGATAGCTCGCCTAATGCCTTCTCAGCCTTCCTCTTGAACCAGATCTTCAAGGAGACCGGCGGCGCGCCGCTGCACATCCGCGTCGGCGGCACCTCCATGGATAACATGCGCTACAATCCCGCCCTCACATCCAAAGCCGTCGACGTCACTGGCGACCTGGACGCCTGCAGGCTGCACACCTATGCCGATCTCGGGACGCCTTGGCTCCGCTCGTTCCAGAACCTCGCGCCTGCTCTTGCGCCGCAGTTCACCGTCCAGGTGCCGTTGGCGCGCAAGGACGTCGATAATGGCGTCAAGTTCGCTGGCGCGTGCATCGACGCGCTGACTCCCGGCGGCGGCGGGAAGAAGCGGGATGCCGCCGACGATGATGACGACGATGACGGCCAAGCCCGGCGGCTGTCGGCACGGCTGGATGCGTTTGAGATCGGGAACGAGCCCAACCTCTATCCGAACTCCCCGGGCTCCGGATGCCGGCCAAAACCGGACAGGTCGGGTGCATGGGGACCGTCGGACTATGTGGACGAGTGGACCAACTACGCGGGAACTTTGGCGAATCGTGTTGGTGCGCTGAAGAATAGTGGAGCGAAGAGTTGGTTCCAGACGCTTACGTTATCCTCGCACGTTGATCATCCGGATCAGTGGGGGCTGTAAGTTTTATGCCGGCCGAGATGCTCCTTTCGGGGCCGGTGCTAACATCTGTAGGTCTGCAATCGGGAAGGGGCTGAATAATGGTGGATATGTGAGGACGGTTTCACAACACTAGTATGTCTATACTCTTAGCTCCGTTTCTCTCTAAGGAACGTACTAATCAGCTCTAAAACAAAATAATAGCTATCAGGCGGACGCCACTAAAGATCTCAAAGGTTGGTCAACGCTTGGGAATGTAATACCAAGTTTTATTGACTGACATTCATGTAGGGGAGCTCCTCACCCACAACACCACTGTCTCGCGTATGCAGGAAAACTTTGGCGCCAACATCGCCTTCGCTAAGAAAAACAACATCCCGTTTATTCTGGGCGAAGTGGGCAGCGCTATTGGCGGCGATGGCGACGCCACAAACCCAGATCTATACGACACACTAGGCGCCGCGCTCTGGACGCTCGACTTTCTCCTCCACGGCATGTCTTTTGGCATACGACGTGTCTCGATGCAGCTGGGCACTGACTTCCGCATATCTGCGTGGCAGCCTTTTGACACGAAAAACCATCCTATGGCCGTACACGGCAACTACTACGGCCTAATAGCCGGCGCTTCCTTTGTCGGTGGCGACGGCAATCTCCAGATCCGCCCACTGGACGCCGTGGATGGCCATCCGAACATTGTCGGCTACGCGGGGTATCATGGAGGAAAGCTCTCGAAAATCGCCGTGCTGAACCTCCAAGTCTGGGACGGCGGCGCCGGGGACAGGCCTGCTAAAGATATTTCCTTGGCTAAGCTTGGCGGGGACGTAAGTAAGGTAAGGGTGTCGAAGCTAACTGCCGCTAAGACTACGGCCGATAGCGGTATTACTTGGGCCGGTAGGCGTTGGACTGCGGAGAATAACGGTAAGGAGTATGCGGACGGTGAGAATCCCGTGATTATCGGTGTCCAGAATGGTGTGCCGGCAAGGAACATAGTCGTCAAGGCGTCAGAAGCTGTTATGGTTGAAATCCTCAGGGGTTGAAGTTGGGTTTGTCCGGTTTATTTAGAGACAGTCATTCGTTTAGTCTATATAATATCGGAGATCTTAAATGGGGACACGGTGCCCACGACGCCGTCCTACACGCAAGTTGTCATTTCAACGCCCGAGCCGTATGCCCCCGCTTCCAGTGTCCCGTGAAACGGCAATTCCTACGCGCTGGTGTACGGTGGCGACGTCGATTGCCCGTGCAGCTCCTGGCTATACGAAATCGGCATCAGCCTGGAAGATCTGACGCTGTGCAATCCGTGGATCAACAACAACTGTTCTGCCATCTACGCCAACCTCGCGACAAATTGCACCAAGTACGTCATGCAGAAGGACGGCGTCTTCTGCTACGACATGGCCGCGGCGGTGAGCATCCCTTTGGATGACTTAAACACGTAAAACCGAGCCTTGAACGGGGATTGCAGCGGCTTGTGGGCATGCTATGCGTATTGTGTTGATACTCCCTAATAGCTAGAGAGTTCCCCTCCGCCGCCAGTTGGGCCACGGAGTGTCGAGCGCCATGTCCCAGCCATTGTACATTCTGTCACATTCCGGGTTGAAGACAACTCGATGGAACTCTGCGAGCATCAGCAGCGGCATCCTGTAATGCCCTGTGTATCTGTACTCTTCTGAATCGTTCTCTTGCACATCGTCGGGATCCACATCTGGATCGACCGCCCAGACAAAGGCCCTTGGCTCTCTGGCGGGGTCTTCGACCGCCGCGCTGATAGAATCGAAAGCCTCGCGATCCACAACGAGCGCAGCAAGCCATGACACCCTGTCGCGCCGGTCCATATTCTGGTGTGCGAGCCGTGCGAAGAGTCTGTCCGAAGCTATCGTCAGTCTGCCGAAGCTGCTGTCACAGTGATAAGGAGACTGCTTACCCCTTTACAAGTTCCAGCCCCGCTCCATCAAACACCGCTCGATCATCAACGCAGTGAAGTTTCCACGTATCTTTGGTCCTTTGATCGAATGGCCAGTCATCCTCGTCGGGCTCGTCCGGCAGATACTCCTTGGACATGGCGTAGATCTTCTCCTGCACCCGTTCCCATTGCCTCGCATGCTTTTCAGACCCGTCGCCGTAATAGGTGCGGTAAACGACCAAACCGTACCACCCCCGCTGTCTGAACTCACTCAGCCAAGCCGGTGGCTCGGTCACACCCGTCGTGTCGGCTGGCAAATGCATTCGTCGTTCAGAGAACGTGGAGAAATGTCTGATTTTGAGACCTCTGGGGCACAAAAGCAGCGCTTGTTGTGTACCCAATCGTTCGCATTCCAAAGGCGTATGGAAAGCTCGACACAGAGCTGAATACTCTCCCAAGAGCCCTGCGTGTAGATGGTGTCGGGAGCGTCGAACAGTATGAAGGGCAAGGTGTGGTTTCGCGAGATTGCAGATCCGCATCGTTTGGGCGAGCAGAGGAGAAAAGGAAAACCGGGCGGCCCTCTAATCTATTTATGCTCATCCGGATTCCTGGCACAACCACGCTATTTTGCACTAGGAAGCTGTACCGCCTCGACCCGTTGCTTCGAGCCGTCTTGGTATTCAGCAAGGTGTAAGAAGGTCTGTCCTTATTTTATCCTAATATTCATAATAGTTAGAAGGAGGTTAGTTAAATTTAAGAAAATAATACTAGAGAAATGTTGAACTGAATAAAAATATAAACATTAGCGTTAACAGACTGGTATTCTAAAAATATTTTTATACTCTCCGCTTCACGTTCAACTCGACATCGTATAACGCTAACCAATTCCCCCCGTCTCTTTTAAACTGCTCATCGCCCTTCTTCTTCATATCCGGCCTTATGGAGACGTCATACTGGCTGAACAGCTGGTACACCAGCGCATGCACCATCTTATCGCCGACGTTGTACCCAAGGCACTTCCGCGAACCGTATCCGAACGTGGTCAAGTTGTATCGAAGCTACGGGCGACCGAACATCAGCCAGGCGTTATAAGAGAAACAACCCGCGGGGAAACCGCTAAGGCGCTGCTGCAACGAAAGAGAAAAGCCTTGGGCAACTCACCTGCTGCGACGGAATCGAAGCGAACCGGTTCGGGCGGTACCGACGGCTGTCGGGTCCCCAGAAGGGGTTGCGGATATTGATGGCGTACGAGTCGATCAGGATGGTCGTCTATCCCTCAGAGGAAAGTCGGTCAGCCTCACACGCACCATCTTTGAAGCATTTGAAAAAGGAGGAGTCAAGTTCATCGCGATTCATGTAAGATGCACGTACATCTTTTGGGATCCGATACCCGCCAATAATCCTCTCTCGCGGCGGCTTGTCTGGCAAAGTGAAAGCGGGAACCGGCTGTAGGCGCAGCGACTCCAGCAGGCAGAAGTGGAGCAGCGTGTCGCGCCGGCCGAGATAGCCGACAACGTCGTATGCGTGCCGGGAGAACTCGGCGCGTAGGTCGGCTTGGACGGTGGGGTTGTCGGCGAGCTGACAAGAAAAATTCACCTTTGGTAAGTCTTTCTGTGTGGTATTCGCCCTCTCGGGGAGTCTGGTTCCGGGTGGACTTACGAGGATGACGCAGGACGAGATAACATGCGTCGTCACATCCAGATTCGCAAAAAGCGATTCTGCGAGCGTGTGCAGCACCTCCTGCCGGTCAATCTCCTCTTCGGCGGCCTGCTGCCACAGCGACACCAAGGGGTCGTTGATTCCGGCATCCACACGACGCTTGACGGATTCGTGGGTGAAGGCCTCCCACTGCTCGATGTACGACCGCGTCCGCTGCCACGATGGCCTGTTCAGCAGCTTCGTCAGAGGCGAGCGGTTGATGCCGCCATCCATGGCGCCGGCAAAGACCTCAGTGAAGAGCTGGCCCAGTTCCCAGAGCCGGTCGATCTCGTACTGGGTGAGGTTGGAGTAAAAGAGCTTGGCGACTTCGTAGTAGGGGAAACGCATCAGAGCCTGGGAGGCGTTGACGACAAAGTGTCCATCATCTTCGTCGGCCTCCCTCTTCTCCAGAGCGTACTGGTCTAAGCTCTTGGCGTAGCATGCGGCCGAGGTGTTGAAGTCGTCGATATATTGCAGGGATTGCTTGTGGGAAAATAATGGGTCGAGCGTCTTGCGGAGCTTCGTCCAGCGATTTCCATTGATTAAGCCGACGGCTTGGCCCAGCAGCTGGCTGAAGAGCCAGCCGATGTTTGCTGTGGTGTCTTTTGTGTGGTTGGACGCGTGGCTGTACAGTGCCTGCACGTCCTTTGGGTCCGTCAGCACCCTATGTCTCGTCAGTCGTGAGATGGATATGGACGGATTGAACCTACACTTCGGGAGTAGATCCGGCCCAGATTCTGTAGATGCTACCGTATTTCTCGCTCCACGCATAAGACATCTCCCTGCCGCGGAAGAACTTGTCCTTCATCTGGCCATCCGGGAAAGTGTATGCTGGACCTTTGATGTTTTTTCCATTCTCAACGCTCGGAATGAAGCAAATGCGAGACACAATCGCCTGGATAGTGATGGATATGTAAACGATCTTGCACCTTCTTTGACGTACATACAATAGACTTACATTTAGGATGGCATCGAAAATCCTGCGAGCGGCCTGGCTCTTCACTACCAGAACCGCTGTAGCAGCTGCAGCCACAAGGATAGCCACGTGCACGTTATGTATCATCGCTGCAGCCATGATTGGGTGGGCTCAAGGTTATGCTTACTCAACATTGAACACAATAGACAAAGGCCACAAGGAATGATGGATCCTCGTCAACGCAGGGTACCCACGCGGCAGTTTATGAAACGTAAAGCGAGTGCTCGACGGCGACTCTCTTACAAGGTTGACCCAAATCAGGCGGCGTGAGTCTCACGTCAGGTATCAGTGTGCCAAGCACGGTGACTCCGTGAATATTCGCCGGCGATATTTTCCGCAGTGATGGATTTGTGGAGACCTTGCTCTCTTTACGAGACGAGACGCAACGTCGAGATATAGAGTGGTCCAGACGGCTGGAACTTCGCGAGGCCGATCAATAATGGGGCGGGTTGTTCCTGCATGTGGAGTGCAGCCAAGAGAAGATCGGTGTGCACGTACCCATTGGGGAAGTGGAGCGGTGTTTCGGTCACCGGAGGATACAAATGGCGCCGGGGCTCAAGTTCCGGGCGCCGGTCTGCTGTTTGTTGGTGGCATTGGGCGTGATGAGAGGCAAGATAAGGTGACAATCCGTTCCGAGGTCCAGGGGCGTTGTCAAACACTACCCATCTCTCGTTCAATTCCAACCTTTTCCTATTCGGGCCTTCATCCGACTGAGCTGCAGCCGGTCCGTTTCTGTCATGATGAAATGCCTCATTCAACTCTTCCGCGAACATGTCACGGCACACCCTTCCTCTATTGCACTCGAAGACGGAACCGTACCTGGTGTGTCCAAACAAGTGACGTACCAGGAACTGGACGAACGCTCCGACAACCTCAGTCTTCAACTACGGCAGCATGGCGTTAGACGGGGAGACATGGTTCCGGTACTCTCGACACGCTGCATCGGTGCCATTGTCGCATTACTGGCCATCCACAAGCTGCGGGCGTGCTACGTCCCGATTGACCTGGACACCTGGGGCAGCGACCGGATCGAGAACACGCTCGGCCGCGTGAAAGCAAGGCTTGTCATCACCACGAACCGCGACACATTTTCCGGCTGCGGAGACAAAGAGGTGATCTACATTCCCCACGATGGTGAAGTGCTGGCCAGCCCACCAACGCCACCCGATTCTCCACGCGACGAAGATACACCCGAATGTGATGGCGAGGACTGGGCGTACGTGATCTTCACCAGCGGTTCAACGGGCAACCCCAAGGGCGTCATCATCAACCAAAGATCCATCTCATCCCTCGTGACGGAGCAGAACTCGCTGCCTTTCAACCTGCACGCGAGCGTCGACAGCAGAGTGCTGCTGATTTTCTCCTTCGCATTCGACGGTAAGAAAAGCCAATCACGGCCAGCAAATTAACGCTTACACATGGCCACGACAGCATGCACCTACGTCATCTTCAGCACCCTCTGCAACGGTGCCACGCTCGTCCTCGCCAGCCCGACCACTCTGGAGGATGTGGCCCAGACATGCCACATCTGGATTGCCACCCCGAGCATCCTCGGCGCCATGGACCCGTCGCGCGGCTACGACAAGGCATCGCTGATCATGGTGGGCGGCGAGAATCCCACGCCCTTCCTCGTCGACAGCTGGAGCGCCGAGCACCGCCGGCTCATCAACATCTACGGCCCCACCGAGGCGACGTGCACGGTGCTGATGTACGAGATGCGGCCGGGCGAGCCCATCGCCATGGGCGTGCCCATCTCCTTCTGCACCGTGCTACTGGTCGACGACGAGGGCAACGAGGCTGCCGACGAGGGCGAGATGCTGCTCGGTGGGCCCGGTGTCGCTGTCGGCTACTACGAGGACGAGGTGCTGACGCGGGCCGCCTTCATCGAGCGCGGCGGCGAGCGCTTCTACCGCACCAAGGACCACGCCCGCCGCACGCCGCACGGGCTCGTCTTCTGCGGCCGCAAGGACGCCGTCGTCAAGAACCGCGGCTTCCTCGTCAACCTGGAGAGCGAGGTCGAGCCGGCGTTGCTGGCGTGCAGCGAGGCCAAGGGCGCCGCCGCCGTGTCATGCCGCGGTGCTCTCGTCGGCTTCGTCACGCCGCGGCGCGAGGCCGACGGGCTTCGTGACCGCCTGCTGGCCAGGCACTCGGCATTCCTTGTGCCCGACGTCATCTATGGCCTCGACGCCTTCCCGTCGACGGGAAACGGCAAGGTGGATCGGAAGGCTCTGACCGCTCTGCATGAGCGGACCCAGCTGCCGCAGTTCATCACTCCCGAGGTGTTCCTCCAGGGCGTGCGTGACGCCGGAAAAGAGCTGACACCGCTCGAGGCCGTGCGGCACGCCGTCTGCATGGTCCTGCGCATCGTTCAGGCCCGTGTTGACGACGGGGCCTCGTTCCGCGCGCTCGGCGGCCACTCGCTGGCGGCAGTCATGCTGGTGTCCACGTTGCGGAAGCTCGGCTTCCACACCGACGTTGTTTCCGTCTTTTCCCTGGACACTGTGAGTGCCATCGCGGCCGCAGTGCGGACGATCGAGCCGGACCACGGCGGAGATGATACCTGCTTCGACCACGACCGGACACGTTTTGCTGAGAAGCTCGGCCCGGCTTCATCCCAGGCCGCAGACGTGGCTCCCGCTACGGACATGCAAGTCCGCATGGTCCGCGGTACCCTTGATGATCCGTCTTTGAACTTCATCAAGATCGGCCTGTCTTTCGACCACGGAACGGATTCGACTTTCCCGGAATCGCTCCGGGCAGCGTGGGAGCAGCTTTCTCGGAGACATTCGATCCTGCAGTCGTCGTTCCATCTGTCCTCCTCTGAGCCGTTGCAGGTGATGCACAAACAGGCTGAAGTCCGCTGGCAGGAGGTCGTCGTCTCGTCGGAAGAAGCGTGGCAAAAGATGGCCGATGTTTCCAGGAAAATCGAGCCGGAAGAGCTCACTTCGTTCGACGAACAAGATCAAAATGCTCTTTCTAGAGTACAGGTTGTTCTCTTGCCCGGCGTCAGATGTCGTCTCGTTTGGACGGTACATCACTCGCTCGTGGATGGCTGGTCGGCAAGCGTCATCCTCAACGACCTTGGGGAGCTCCTACACGGCAGAGACCTCCCCCCGTGTCCTCAGTTCTCGGATGCTGCGTGGTGCATGCGCCGCCTGATCCAGCGCAACTCGCAGGCTGCCAAAGCCTTCTGGAAAGACCAGCTTGGGGATGTTGAAGACATCCCCCGCCTTCGTGTTCCTCCCCCGGAAGACGTGACGTGCAAATCTTTGTCCGAGAGACATCGCAAGCTTTCGATAAAACTCACCGAGCTTGAAGCAGCTGCGAAAACATATGGCGTGACGACAGCTGCTCTAGTGTACGGTGCATGGGCGGTCGTCCTCTCTCGATATTGCGACTCTCAAAAGGTGGTTCTGGGAACGGTGCTCTCGGGCAGGAGTCTGCCCCTCGGAGGCGTGGAGAAGATCGTCGGTCCTCTGATCAACTCCCTGCCCATGTCGGTCATGATTCAAGAGAATGCAACCGTCCCAGACTTCCTGAGGCAGGTCTTCAAATCCATGTGCCAGCTCCTTGACTTCCAATGGACTCCCAACTCTCTTGTCCAAGAGGCTACGGGAAGGAAAGGTACCGATTACTTTGATACTCTGCTGGCCATACAGTACGACTTCCCCGAACATCAGTGGCCGGGTGCGAGGCTCGCTGCACCCTACGATATCTCGATTGCTGAGACTACCGAGATGCCGCTTACTGTCATGGTTGATGCGGCTGAGGGATGCTTGGATGTGAGATTCGTATTTCGCCCCTCCAACTTCGGCGAGTCGATGGTCGAGCGTATGATTGGTCACTTTGAGAACGTTTTGCGCTTGCTCAGCCATGAAAGCGTTCAGGTCGAAAACGGAGCGGCCGACTCGGTCGGTAAAGTGGCGGAGAAGATGCTTAGTGAAGAAGAGCTGCATGCTAGCCTCAACTGCACCGACTACATCGACGAGCCGTACGAAGGACCGGAAACCCTTTCCGATGCGTTTGAGCTCTCGCTGTCCCAATACCCCAGCTACCGCGCGGTGGAAGGCTTGGACCGCAGCCTTACGTACAGCCAATTGGACTCCGAGACAGCACGGGTTACCCAAGCTCTCCTTGAGCATGGCATCAAGGCCGGAGATATTGTGTGCGTCATTGCTGACGGTTCAGTCAACTGGCTACTGGCAATCATGTCAGTGGTTCGGACAGGAGCCGCATATTGTCCCATTGACAATAAATTCCCTCTGGAAAGACAGAGCTACATGATGTCTCTCTGCCAACCCCCAGTTGTTCTTTACCCGAGTGCTGCGCTTAGGCAAGGGCACCACGGACATGAAGGGGCACTTCAGTTGGACGTCGAGACAATCTTGGCCGATGCCGAGTCAGAGGCGGACGGAAGTTCCAGCGATGGTTGGGAACTTGCCCCCAAAAGCCGGGCTGGACCAAATGACCTTGCGGTGATACTCTTCACCAGCGGAACCACGGGCTTCCCCAAGGCGGTTCAACTTGAGCACAAGCCAATTCTGTCTGTCCTGTCATGGGGTCCGACCAGGCTGCGGTCGAAGCCCGGCCAACGCAATGCTCAACTGCTGTCGCTTGGATTCGACTGCTGCGTCACTGAGGTCTTTTCGAGTCTGCTGTACGGAGCTACGCTCGTGCTCAAGGACGCCGCAGACCCGCTGGCGCACCTTTCCAAGGTCGATGCGATTGTGGCCACACCCTCTCTGGTCACGAACCTGAACCCCGCCGACTATCCCAACCTCAAGGTTGTCACACTGATGGGCGAGCCGTTACCAGTGGCTCTGGCCCAGAGGTGGATGCCGGGAAGAATCCTGCAGAACAGTTACGGACCGGCTGAAACCACGCTCATGACCAACGCACACCCGCTGCGTCCCGACGGTCCGATATCAGTGGGCAAGCCGATTCCCCGCGTCGCCTTCTACATCCTCGACTCCATGGGCCGTCCTGTTCCGACTGGCGTGAGCGGCGAGATCTTCGTGGCTTCGCAGCTGCAGGTCACACGCGGCTACCGGAACAATGCCAACGAGACCGAGTTCCGGTTCCTGCGTGACCCGTTCCGGCCCGGCTGGAGGATGTTCAGGTCTGGTGACATGGGCCGTTGGGATGAGGAGGGAAACACGCAAATCATCGGGCGAACCGACAGCCAGGTCAAGCTGCGAGGCTTCCGAATCGACCTCGGCGACATCGAGGCGACGATCGCGAGGCTGGCTCCGAGCATTGACAACGTCGCCGTTGTAGTAACCGGAAGTGCTCTGCGGGCTTTTGTCACGCCCGCGACGGCTGACACGCGCGCGCTGATGGAGAGGCTCCGGGCGCACTGCCCCGAGTACAGCACGCCCAACAACATCACTGCGCTGGAAGAGCTGCCCCTTTCGCCCAACGGCAAAGTCAACCGCAAGGAGCTGGCCAAGATGCACCTGAGCAGGGACTCGGTGCTGGAGCCATTGGCCACCGACACCGAGCGCGCTGTTGCCGATGCCTGGGCCGAGCTCTTGGGCAGGGACCAGACGCAGCCTCCAATTGGTGCTCTCGACCGCTTCTTCGACCTCGGCGGCCACTCACTGCTGCAGATTCGGCTTGCACAGAAGCTGTCGACGCTCTGGAACACGTCGGTGCCGCTCAGGACAATCATCCGCCACCAGGTCCTTCGTGAGCTCTGCAGAGAGCTGGACCGGGACGTGACAAGCATCCAGACCTCGGCCAATGCTCGCACCCCCTTCGCCAGCATGCAGCAGGTGCTGAGGCAGGAGAAGATGCCAGCTTCGTACCTGGAGCAAGAGATGGTCCTCAATCAGATGCTCTGCGACGGTTCGCCCGTGTGGAATATCGTCTATGCCTGCAAGGTATACGGCGCCGTGGACCTGAACGCTTTGGGCTCCGCATTCCAGCAGACAGTGGCGCGGCACGAGGTTCTCTGCTCTCGTTTCCACAACGAGAACGGTACCATCATGCGTTCTCTTTCAGACCCTCTCGCTCCCAGTCATGCCAGCTGCAGCGAGGACAAAGTGGACGACTTCATCTCCCAGAAAATGCAGCAGCCACTGGATCCGTTTACGGACAGTCTGATCCAACTGCATGCGGCAACCGTAACGCCATGGAAGACAGTGCTCGTCTTCGTCATGTCGCACATCGTCGGTGACGGCCCGACGCTCTACAGAGTCCTCCACGAAACTTCGGCCGCATACACCCGCATCACCAGCGGCACCCCGCTCCCACCGGCACCCTCCGCCCAGCTTTCCTACCTTGACTGGGCCCACTGGGCGCTCCCAGACACCACAGTCGACAGCGAAACAGCCACTTTCTGGCAGTCTACCCTCTCCTCACGCCGCCCCGCCCTCCCGGGGCCCCGTCTCCACAGCCACCACGGCAAACCCCTATCGGCAACCTACCGCGGCGACCTCTGCACCTGGAGCGTGCGGCCCCCGCTGCACCGCCGCCTCGTCCGCCTCGCCCTCGCCCACGGCCTGTCGATGCACCAGCTCGCCCTCGCCGCCACCTTGCTCGCGCTACGCTCGCTACACCCTCCATCGTCGTCATCATCACCATCACCAGCAGGCAGCCGTACCGGCAGCACAGTCGTCGCCCTCGGCGCCCCGATGACGCTCCGCACCGAGCCCGGCACCGAGCGCATGCCCGGCCTCTTCCTCGACCGTCTCGTCATCCCGCTTCCGTGGGAGGGCAGCGACGCCGACGACGACACCAACGACGACAGCCTCAGCGCCCTCTTCGCCACCGTGCGGGAGCGCAGCAGCGCCGCCCTCGCGCGCTTCGTGCCGCACCGCGTGCTGCGCCAGCTGCTGCGAAACAATAGACCGGTCGGCGGCCCCTGTGTCGACGACGACGACGACGATGACGGCGAAAACTCGCCACATCCCAGCCTGGCCCGCCCGCTCGTCGAGGTCGTCGTCGCGTTCCACACGGCGGCCGAGTCGGCGGAGCGGCGCGCGGGGCTCACGCTTCATGCCACTGGCGCCGAGACAGCAGCTACAGCTACGGCAGAGGTTGTCGAGGTGGGCGTCGAGCAGGGCGGCGGGCGGCCTCGCGGCGTGGCCAAGTTCCCCGTCATGGTCGAGTTCACGGACGACGGAAGCGACGGCGGGCTGCGGGTGGAGCTGGAGTGGGACGACGGCGTGGTGGAGCGCGGTGTGGCCGAGAGGCTGGAGCAGGCGCTGGCGGGCGTGTTGGAGATGTTGGGGGCGTCCTCGTCCTCGAACCGCGGCGGCAGCGGCAGCGTGACTGCCATTGTGGATGCGGTGAGGGGGCTTGGTGCTGGCACTGCTGAGGGAGATGTTGATGGTGGATTGCCGACGCCGGGCGAGGAGGACGAGATTGCGGTGCAGCTGGGCGAGGCCGTGGAATGTGCGGATGAGGAAGCGATGGCGCAGGTGGTGGTGCAAATTAGAGAGGCAATGGCCGAGTGTTTGGGCCTATCAAGGCAGGATATTGGGTGCATGCGCTCGTTTTGGGACCTGGGTGCCGAGAGTATGGATGCGGTCAGGCTACTGGACGCATGTGAGAGGAAGGGTTTGCACTTGGCCTTGAGAGACATGTTTGACTCACCTACTGCAGCTGCTCTGGCAGGGCGCTGTAAAGTCGGTGCTTAGCATCGGGTTTTGTGCGTTTGTTTCTTTTTTTTCTTTTCTTAAATTTCTCGCTAAGCTCAGGCAGTGGACATTCATGTATTTACGTAGCCAATTTAGTCAGAAGACGCAACGCATGAGATACTGGATCTCAATCTTTATAGGCTTTATACTATACTTGATTTTCTATGCTAGAGTTGCTTCATCGATGACACAGCATACAAAAACACCGACTAAAAGTTCTAGAGACTCTGATAGCTGGCAGATGAGTTGCTGGCACTACAACTTTTCATCCTTTAGTTTATTCGAAACAAACAACATCGTATCATTCTAAGCTTCTATTACAAAAATATGCTCTTACAGCACCCAACCATGCAACGAAATTGTTGACTTAGATATATATATGCGTTCCAGATAGTTCATATTGTAATGTAGCAGTGATTACAATCGAACGTTATAACTGTCTAACCGGAATACGCTACCTTAAGCACCTTAGCTCTGTCATACACGACGGCAACAATTTTCTCGTGGCTTAGTTTTACCTGTTAGCAGTCTCTCAGTGTTCCTAACGCAAAAGTCGGGGAGAATGCGGTGCATAACGGGGGGAAGTTCCGCTCCGACCGGATACGATCGATTTGCCCCGCAAATATCCGCCGAGTGAATCCAACAACCCGTCAGCTGAAAAGAGCCTCTGTAAGACATATCTCCCCATTCCTGTCTGTCCCGTCGAGCATTCTCCTGCCGTATAATCTTTCTTGGAAGTGTTTCAGTGCGAAAACTGAGCCAGATCATATTTCAAGTTTACAAAGCTACATTGCACCACTTTCCTGTTTCTACCGAATATGGAGGCACAATTGGAGCAGCTTCTGGCGTCAGCCAAGCAGGCGGTCCAGGCCTTCGAGGGTCCGTTGGCCCAGGACGTCGATGCGGCATTGAGCCTGTCGCCAGACAACACGTCTGCCCAGTCGGGAGTGCTGCGGGCCAAGATCGAAGAAACGATTCAGACGCTCCACAAGCTCGAGCAGATCATCACCCCTCCGCAAGTTCTCTTCATGGATGCCGTGTTCGGTAAGAGGTACCCGATCTTCGCCATATGCACCTCCACTGACGTAACTCCAGCCGCCACAAGCAGCAAGGTCCTGCTTTGCGCCTCGCGCTATGGATTCGCAGACATTCTCGAGCAGCGAGGACCCCTTACCATTCCGGAGCTTGCCGCGGCTACGGACGTGCAGCCCACCGCTGCGCACCAACTGATGCGCTACCTCATCGACGAGCTCGGATTCTTCCAATACGACCAAACGTCCACAACGCCGACGGTGCGCAACAACCGCGCCTCGGCACTGCTCCGCACCGACCACTGGACGACATGGCACAACTGGGTCGACCAGTACGCAACGACGCACTACTCGATGCTCACGAGCCTCCCCGACGCGGTCAGCGCCCGGTCCAGCCGCAGCGCGGCGCAGCACTTCTACGACACGGACGAGTCGACGTACGCGGTGATGCAGGCGCAAGGGCTCACCGCGGGCTTCCACCGGGCCATCGGCGCCTTCAGCGTGGCCGAGGCGCCGGGGCTGCTGGCCGACTACCCCTGGGGCGATGAGCTCGTCGGCGGCGCCGCGACGCTGACGGACGTGGGCGCCGGCCAGGGCGACTTCGTCGCACATTACCTGCGTGCGTTTCCCCGCGCGAAGGCGGTGGCGTTCGATCTGCCCGGCACGGCGGATCTGATCAGGAAGAGGTTTGAGCGCGAGGCGTGGGCGGGCGGCAGGGCGCAGGTGCGGGCGGGCGACTTCTTCGCCGACGACAATCAGCTCCCGGCGTCCGAGGTGTACTTCCTGCGGCTGGTGTTCCACAATTGGGACGATGACAAGTGCGTGAGGATTCTGGAGAAGGTGAGGGAGGCCATGGTGCTGAGGCCGGGCGTGAGCAGGGTGTTGGTGGTGGAGATGGTCATCAGGGAAGGGCGGCTGGGCAGTTTCGCCAGGTATGGCGACATCAGGATGTTGACCATGGTGAAGAACAAAGAGAGGACGTTGGACGAGTATCGTGAGATCGCGAGGAAGGGCGGGTTTGAAATCACCGACGTCATAACCCCAAGGGGATGTCTCTCGCAGGTGTTGGATTTGAGGCCCGTTTACTAGAGGCCTTTAGATGGCAAGTCTGAAGTAAAACGCAACCTGGCACACGGAAGAAATAGGACCATTGCAGCAGGGTATTTGTAGAGTGTATAACTAACTACTTCTATTTCCCGATGGTGCGGTTGTAACTGCAAATTCTCAAAGGTACGTACATTCATTCCAATACGTGTTCCGTTTAGCACCATCATCGCGGCCGGCAATCAACTGCCGAGAAGCATTGACGCAGCGGAAAATGCCACGAGGCTTGTGAATGACGCCTTTGGAGTCCTTGCAGGCGCTGTCGATCAGCAGACCGGTCAAGGCGCCTGGTGTGATTGCGAAGCAGAAACATTCAAGGTCGCGGCCAATGTCATGCTGGCGGCATTACGCGAGGGGGGGAATCTTTCAGGGCAGTGTGCTACCATCGTACTCGGAAGCATGCTATTTGAATGCAGGAGGCCGGAATGCAAATGGACGGAATGTCAGTGATAAAACCCTTTACCTATGCGTTTAGCAGCACGCTATAAAAAGACCAATAAGCGGGGCTTGAACGGCTCAATCCTCGCCAAATGTTTCCGCATGAGGAGCATGCGTTTTGCGGAAAAGGAGCGGAGCCTGAAGATGATGATTGTTCGGCCCGCAAGGAATGAAAGTCGTACAGCAATAGCGGGGACACATACGCAATGGCAAGGGTGTGGAAGTGGCAAACTTGGTCGTTGGATGGAGAAAACGAGCCTTCATTGTTTCATGGTGCAACCGGGAAGGATGGAGGAGAGTCCGCGGCTGGGGGAAGGATGGTCGCTCGGCGATTATACTCGGCGCAAATCCAAGCATCACCAAGGCGGAACAGCGGCGATATCGGCATCGGGCTAGCAGCCCCGGTCCGAGAGGCGGACCGCACCCGCCCCGTGGTTCCCGTCGCGCGGCCGAGACTAGCCGCAACCGGCCGCCGACGCCGACTGCTCGACAACACTTAAAGCTCCCTCGCCCGGCTGCTTCGCAGAGACTTGTTGGACGCTCTGGTGGCCCTCGGGCGGGTGCCTGTGTGCCGGTCCAGCGCTGGCCTTCGGCCCTGCCACGCGGTTCCCCCGCGACATGAATCGGTCACGCCATGCTCCGAGTCAGCGCCGCGGCTGCAAATGACTTGGGGCTGGAGGAATCCGAGTCAAGGCGCGAATGCGACTCTGGTCGAAGCAGTTCGAGGCTGCGACGCCGGAGCGGCATCAGCTTGCTCTGATTATAAGCCGGCCAAGCACCGCCTCTGAATCTCGTCCCACTACCGGCTATCTGATCATCTTATCGTCCTTCGCCGGCCTCTGTTCGTGTCAGCTGTCAGCAGTACAATGGCCGCCCAAGACCCCCTGTTCGCCGACCTACCCTCGGCCGCCGAGTCCAAAAGACCGAAGCTGAAGCTGCGCTCCGCCTGTGACTTCTGCCACGCCGCCAAGGTCAAGTGCTCGGGCGAGCTCGTGTGCGCCCGCTGCCAGACCCAGGAACTACCGTGCAGCTACAGCTATGCCATGCGTGCCGGCAAGCCCAAGGGCAGCCGCAACAGGAAGACGCTGGAGAAGCAGGCCCGCCTGCGCCAGCAGCATGCAGCTTCCCGCACTCCCCGCCATGATTGGCACGCCCTGCCCGCGGACCTGCATCCGTCTTGGGCCGATGCTGCGTGCATGGACTTCGCCGTCTTCAACGGCCCTGACCAGGTAAGATTGCGTGCGTCTGGAAGGGAAATCCCCGAAGCTCACCCAACCTCCAGCCAATACCCGGTACCAGCACCCTCGACCCCGTGACAGGGCGTTTTACAGACGCGGACTCGCTGTTGCTGGACGCCCATCTCCAAACACCGCCGCTCGAGTCGTTCCAGTGGACATGGCCCGACTGCGAGACCGCTGAGGAGTCCAGCAGCAGCAGCGCATCCACCCTCGACAACCCGGAACTCTCGGCATCTTGTGACTGCTTCGACGTGCAGACGGCAAACCTCAGCGCGCTGCACTCCCTCCATCGTTCCCTCCAGCTGCCGTCTACCAGCTGCCGCATCGACACCTGCGTCCAGCGAATCAACTCGGCACTCACATCCTGCCGCGACTTCCTTGGCTGCAGCCGATGCCACAAGGACTCGTCCGCTGTCCTTCTCACCGTCTCCGCTTTCCAGCTCGTCCTGCGTCTCTTCGAGCATCTCGTCTCACAGCAACAGCAACACCAACCCCCGACCGACACCACCAACTCCGACCGCCCGAATGCCTCGGTACCGCCCTGCCACATCGGCGAGTATGAGGTAAGCCTAGAGGAGCATGCCGCCATTCGCACCGTGCTCGTGCGTAGGGCGCTCCTTAGGGCTGAAGAGACCTTGGCGGCGCTAAAGAGCTTAACCAAGCCTCCCCCAGCTTCCATGACAACACCGTCTGAAGCCGTATCGTCATCTGCATCGAGCAACTGCTCCGATAGCCCTGAGCCTTTTCTGTCGCCGTCGTCGTTCACGTCGCTGCCGTCAGGGGCTGGAGGCGACGAAGCGTGCGGCATGGTCTCTTACACCTCCAGCGAAGAGCATGAAAGGTGCAGGGTGAATTCAATGAGCTGTAAAACGGGATGCTCGGATTTGAGTAGAGCAGATGTAGTATACCTCAAGCGTATCATTTGTCAGAGCGAGGCCGTACTACAATTATACATACGGAGTATATCGAGGGACTTGTATAACATTTAGTATTCCTGTATAGCGCCTCCCATTGCTAATTTATAGTAGACTGGTAGAACATGTCTAATAGCTACCCATTGCATCTCTCTATCAGTGGCGTGATGTAATATTCAAGTACAAATTATGAGGAAACTTCAAGACTTATTCAATGACAATTCAAGGGGGGTTGTTAGGTGGCCGGGTTCGGTGTAATATGCCTTGATTAAGAAATGCCCGTGAGCGATATTTAGCGTAGAAGAGTCTCGCCCTCTTCCAAAGTCCACTTTTGGAAATTTAGACATTGTTCAAACATATTAAGATTTGGCCACTGGGGTTGCTCTGGCGGGACGCCGAAGAACCTTTAGTGCACTCCCTGCTCCCCTCTGAGACTCTATATGCTATGTATGTACAAGTGAATGGCGTATGACACATAGCCCGTAGCATTAGCTCTTAGACCAAAGTCGAAATCTGTTCCACATGTCCCCAAATCTGCACCTGCTCACCATTCCACGTCCCGTCGCCCTGCGCATACGCCTCTGAAACATTCAACATGCCCGAGATATTGCCCAACGGCTTCAACACGGCATCCAACCCTCCGTGCCTCGTTACGTGCAACGAAGCATTCTTCGCCTGCAGCAAGTCGATGCGATACTCGCTGAAATACAAGTACCCGGACTCCGGATCGCGCACTGCGTCCCAGGCGCTTGTGGTGTCGTCGACGGGCAGCACCTCGGAGGCGCCGTTGGGATACCAGACGCTGGCGACGGCGATGCTGTCCGAGGTGGGCGCGCCCGTGGTCGAGGGCTCGTTGATCCAAATGTGCAGCACGACGCCGTTGGAGAGGTAGAGCCAGTGCAGGTACCAGTTGCGCAGCTGCATGACGCCCCACTGCCGCTCGAAGAAGCCGGTGGACTGCGTGGAATCGATTTGGACGTCCTGGCCGTCGACTTTGATGCTTCCGGAGACGCGAAGGTGCGGGTTGCCCTACGGAGACGGTTGTTAGGGACGTTGTTATGGAGGGGGATCGGTTGGCCGCTCGACTTACCCAGTACCAAGAGTAACCGGGGGGTACGGTGAAGAGGTCGCTCGGCCTGACGGGAGCGAGCGTGTAGCCGCCGCTGCCGCCGTAGTAGAAGTTGCGGCCGGTAGGCTGGAAGTCCAGGTCTAGGGCGAAGCCCGCGAAATCGCCGCTGTAGTGCACGTCGGTGTAGTTGTCCGAGCCTTGCACGGTGGTGAGGTTCTGCGAGGGGGCGTGGATATTAAGGTGATCTTTGCTCGATGTGCCCGACTCTAGGATGACACCGCCGGTGGTGGTGAGGTCGGAGAGGTCTTGTAGGCCCTGGAAGGCGGAAACGTTGTAGCCTAGCTCGCTAGCGCCCCTGAGCACCGTGTTTATGGTAAGGTGGTACTTTCTGCCGTCGACGGTGGTCAACCACACGAGGTAGAACCAGCTGTGTGATCGCTATCAGCCATTGAAGCGGTGCAGAGAGCATGGACTTGGGTTTACCTGTTAAGCCCGGGCTGAAATGGATCTTGGGTAATTGCCATAGTCGGGCGGACGTCGTAGCGTCCCCCAATTGTCTAAGAAAGGAACATCAGCAGGGCCCCAAGAGAGCTGGCATAGATATATATCTTACCCCATCATTATCTTTCGTACTGAGCGGCAAATCGGCCGGTGCGAATGAGGGCAGCTCCAGCGCACCAGTCAGGGCCGAGAGGCCTAGGACGGCAAGACCGAAAAGCATGTTTCAGAACGGGTTAAAACAATGCTTGATAAAACAAGGTTGTTTGGTTTGGTTTCTGCTCTTCTTGTTGGCCGCCGGTTCGTGACGTTCTTATATAGGGCCTCCTCCCGGAAGTCCCGGTCCAATACCAAGACTACTTTAAACTTATTATACGATATGACGTGCATACACCATGCACAACTACCTTCCAAGAATTAGCGGTCGACAATTCCATAGCCGATATCCGGCAACCGGCGTTTGATATTCAGCAATCGATGGTGTTCGATGGCTGTATTAACTCCAAGGGCGCCTATAATGGCGTCATTACGAGAGGTTCTGCTCCAGCGGCTCCGAACGTAAAGAAGCCCGAAAACGCCGCTTAGATAGATCGATAGGTACGTATCGGTATTGGTGAACGGCGAAGACCTCCTCTCTATTTGTTCCGTGGAGGCCGATAGGGTGTAATCATCATCATCATCGTCAACCCGGCGGCTCTCGATTCCTACATGGCCCTAGGGTTTGCGTCGCGGCCTAGTAGTATGCCAAGTGAACTCACGCAACTCGGGTACTAACTTTTCCGAAACTCGGCCGATAAGATTTCCATAAGTAACTAGCCTCGGCCGAAACGGAACAAGTCAAATGCCTAGCCGAAATCCGACTGAACAGTGTAGCCGAGTATTTAGTTTCCGCACTGCTCGACACTTCACATGGATTTATATTCTGATTCAAGCTGATGCACGAGGCGGAGCTGTTGGTGGCGGCGAGCAGCGAAGGTGGCGAGGAGGAGGAAGAAAAAGAGCAGCGGGGAGCAGCGACAAGGAAAGCGAAGAAGAAGAAGGTAGCGAAGGAGAAAAGATGAAAGAAGCGGCAGCAGTAGCAGCAGAAACTTACGGCAATCTAGCAGGCTAGCAATGAACAGAACTTGCATGGCTTGCTGGCCGACTCTTCAAGTGCGCTGCATTGTATCGTGCATTTGACCCCGCTGTATGTTGAGCACAGCAATGCCCAGGGAGAGTAGCGGCCTCGGCTGTTCGTAAACAAGTTAGGACAAATGTTGCACGTTGAAGGTGGATCGACTGGTAGGTCCATTTCGCCAAAGGAGCCAACGAGTACAAAGATCCATATGTAGGCAGCATCAGCGCTTGGGCCCTCTCCTTTGATTCAGGTCCGAAACCCCAGCGTTTGCGTAAGCTGACCAATAGCTTGGGAATATGCGGCCGCACTCGGGCTTGAGGTGCTAGAAGTACTCTGTCACTGTCTGTAGTAGCTACCTCATCGACGCGTTTTCTCCCGGTGCTATTATGCGGTGGTCGTATGTTTCGCATCTGTCGTAAAGCTCTCCTGTGAAATTCCTTCGAGACCCCGCTTAACACCAGGCATAATGCTCATTGTTAAGCCATTCTGGCGCCGGCCCCACTCCACCATTTTCATCATACCATAGACCACTTGCAATGCTGTCATCTTCCCGCTCAACCATGGAGTATTCTATACCGCTCTGGGCTATCATGCTGCGTACCAACGGTGTAGGGTTCCACAGATTGACACAATTGAGCCTCCAGTCCGTAGCCTCAGCTTGAGCAGTCTGGAGCACGGCCGTCAGGTAATCGACTTGCTCTTCAAAAATCTCCGCGTGACTGTCCTGGCCTTCCACGACAAGCCGCAGAATGTAAAGGACATTGTCGGGGGATTCCGCATCCGGGTGGTTGTAGTAGCGGTGCGTCCAGATTGCCCACACCTGTCTTCCTGGCGGACCAGCAATTGCTCCCTTGGCTTGTGCAATCTTGCCGAAGAGAAATTGAGTGGCGAAGTCCTCCTTTCCAATGTGCCAGAGCATGTGGTCGAGATCCGGGACTATCGTTAGACGTCTCTTGGCTTTCGCAGGGGTCGCCATGATCTTCCGGACCATCTTTTCGTCCCTGTCGCAGAGCTCTGCGAGGTCTCCCTCCATAATTTCCTTTGCGATCCGCCGTTTCGCGATCTTCGCGGGCTGAAAAAGGACATGTGAGTTGGTAGGGTTGGGCTTCCATCCTAAGTTGGCGTAGTAGGTTTTCCCGATGTCTGAGTAAAGCACACTACCGACACATTTGACCTGCTCCGATTGCCAGCTGTAAAGTACCTTGGCCATCTCTTTCATGTGGCGAGTTCCATAGCCACGACCCCGGTATTCGGGTGGACAGTAGACACTGGCAATTCCATGGACCATGTTATCCTCGACATTCCCATCCGCATCGCTTGTCAGAGAACGCTTGCGAAAACTCTCACAGGAGCAAAGAATGGGTCGTTCGTTTTGTGGGAGATTCTTATCAACCAGGATCCACATTGTCAGGCCGTTATTTTTCGCGAGAGGCACGGTCGCCAGATATTTCGACTCCTCAAGATAAACCGGAAGAGTCAGTGAGTCCTTCCACGAGGCTGAGGTTTTGGTTGATATTTGGACGCATTCTTCTGGAGTAGGATGGCTCAGGTGAAGATTTGGTGAGGTGGACTCAGGCAAGCCGTCAACCACAAAATCCATGGTCTGCTTAGTGAGAGGCATCGACAATATAGAGGAAATTTCGGGGAAGCAAAACCACGAGTAAAAAGGCTGAGTATCGTTGTTTGGGACCCTGGGCGATGTGCCAGATCACTGGCGCCCTGCGGACGAAGGCAAGGCTATATGTCGGGTTTGGCGACCTGCAATGACGCGTAAGAGGCACGGAAGAATCCACGCCAAGATTGTCTTTTATCCCTACGCATATCTATCTTAGCCATAGCTTATCTTTTTAACCGTCTATCGTATCTATTTTTACCGTTTATCTTATCTAGGTCCACCGTCTATCTTATCTGTTTGACCCCTTTGGCTCAGACATTCTCAAAGTAAAACATTTTCCCTCTACACGCCCGCAATGATTTCAAAGGGGAGTCATATCCTCTATCATCTTAAAGCGCTTTAGAAATACGATTTCACATCCGCAAAGGTCGATCTATCCGGCTTAATTCATCCACTCTTCGTAATATTTAGACTGAGTGGTGGAGAGATGGTTGGCGTCCAGACAAGCCCAAGCAGCTTGACGGGACTGGTCGGAGGTAGCTCCACCGCAGCCTTTGATTCCACTGGCATCGGTTTCGGTGGGCTCATTTCGAGCGGACTGGGAGCTACGGCCAGCAGCGATCGAGCTTCGAGCACACGCACCTTCAGCCTGACAAGGACTTTATTAGAGAACGACGGTACGCAAACTGTAAGCAGTGGGACGGCTCTTACAGCGGCTTCTGGAACCGCTACTAGAACTAAGGCTACTCGGCTTAGTAGCAAGGTCGTTTGGGTAATGCTTCTTAACATACTTGTGTTCCTTGTCGACTTTTGACGTGAATTTAACACTAAAGACGAGAAGGTACAAAAGAAGTAGTACAGATGTTTGATCGAAGACTTTACTGCCAGGCATCAATTATCCCGGCAACCATCAGTATCATCTATGGAGTATTTCATGGAAGTGTCGACTCAAAAGCCGCAGAAATACAGCGACGATGGGGGGCGCAGCAAAGTCCAGATGCATGACTATTTCTCATTAGCGAGCTTAAAATACTGTCTTACCTCGTCTTACGTATTGGAGGATGGCAACGCAATCATAGGGCTGTTAGACTTACTACGTCCTTCGAATTCGGACGAGACCGGCGGTTTACGACGTTTGCCTGGGTTAGCCGTCAAGTGCGGGGCTAGCCCACCTTTCCCGATGGGGATCAGCAAACCGAGCCACCTTTCAGCGTGCTGGGTCTCAGATGGCCCGGATGCAATTGGATGGGAGCCACCTGTGGTCAGGGTCTCCTTCGGCGCAATTACCGTTGCTTTCTGCCGCGTCCTTCGCTTTTGGCTATATCACCATTGCGACCGGCTGCTTGCCCCCCGAAAGCATCAGCTCAACCCGCTACCTCATTAGCTTTGTTACATCCTTTCGTTGCACATTCGATAGTGTTGAAACTCCCAAGCATCACAGTACACTTTAATACAATTCCCTTATTCAACCGAAGTCTCGAATCCTCATTTGTTCATTTTCCAAAAATGGCAGGACATTACCTAAAACAAACTTTCCGCGGCGTGAATGCATTCAACGACAGGCCTCAGTTCTCCGGATTCATGAGACCGTGCCGTTACGAAGGCGAAGTCCAGAACCTGGAGGTATTAGGAGAGATTCCGGACGAGGTAGACGGCACATTTTATCGGGTGATGCCAGACCCGCAATTCGCTCCGTTCATCGAGGATGACCCAGTATGCCAATCACGATTCAATACAGCATGACAGTCCGCTAATCTCACCCAGTGGTTCAACGGCGACGGCAACATCAGTGCGTTTCGAATCCACAAGGGCCGTGTCCATTTCAAGCAGCGCTACGTCCGGACCGAGAAGTTCGTGCGTGAAAGAGAGGCTGGCCGTGCCTTGATCGGTATGCAACAGATCCCACCAGCTTCTTGGATCTTAGCACGGCTGATGACTCCCAGGAAAATACCGCAACAAGTACACGGACGCGGTGGAGTTTCTGGTCCGCAGCACAGCCAACACGAACGTCTTCTACTTCAATGGCAAGCTGCTAGCCTGCAAGGAGGATGCTCCGCCATACCATCTCGACCCCCGTACCCTGCAGACGGTTGGGTTATATGACTTTGAAGGACAGCTGCCGAGCATGACCTTCACTGCTCACCCCAAAGTCGATCCTGGGTCGGGAGAGTTGGTCGGGATGGGTTACGAGGCAAAGGGAGATGGCACTCCGGACGTGTGCTATTTCTCAGTCTCACCTGATGGCAAGTTCACTGAGACTGTCTGGCTTGTGGCGCCGGTTGTCGGGATGATTCATGACTTTGCCGTCACTGAAAACTGGGTAAGTGCTTGACCGTTGCCGGAAAATATCGATATCTGATGCAACCTGAAAGGCTCTTTTCCCTATCATACCCCAAGTATGCGATATTGAAAGGATGAAGAAGGGCGGTGAGCATTGGGGATGGCGTTCGGATATTCCTTTCTACCTCGGACTTCTCCCTCGTCGCGGCGCTAAGGGATCAGATGTGAAGGCAAGTTTCGATACCTACTTCTCTCCCACGACTTGCCTCCTTGACGACCAACGCTGACCCGCACCTCCAGTGGTTCCGCGCACCCAACGCTTTCCCCGGCCACACCTCCAACGCGTACGAGGACCCAGCCACCGGCAACGTCATTTTCGACCTCCCCCTCTGCGACAAAAACGTATTCTTCTGGTGGCCCGAAGACAACGGGTCGGCGCCGAACCCCCAAGAGCTGGCCAGCTACATGATGCGCTTCACGCTGGACCCGGGGTCCGACGATCTCGAGCTCCCCCCGCCGACGAAGCTAGCGGCGTTCAACTGCGAGTTCCCCCGGATCGACGAGCGCTGGTCGATGAAGGAGTACTCGCACTGCTTCATGCCGGTGCTGGATGGCGCGCTGGGGACGGATTTCGCGGGGATGGCGCCGGTCATGGGTGGGGGAGCGCCGGTCTACAACGGCGTGGCGCACGTCGACGTGAGGACGGGTGTGGCGGAAGTCTATTTCCCGGGGCCGAAGCACGCGGTGCAGGAGCCGGTGTACGTGGCCAGGGCGGAGGCGGCGGGAGAGGGGGACGGGTACGTCATGTTCCTGGTGAACAACTATGGGGAAATGATCAGCGAGCTGCATGTGGTGGACACGAGAGACTTCACCAAGGCGCAGGCGGTGGTGAGGCTGCCGTTGAGGCTGAGGCCGGGATTGCATGGGAATTGGGTGCCCAAGCAGGAACTGGACCTTGTCGTTTAGCTGCAGCTGGAGGTCTGCGTGGGCATGGAGATATATAAGCGCTTCCTCGGTTGGTCAGTAGTCATGTATGTACCCCGCACTTGTGACGCCCTGCGAATGTAATCTCCCTTGATACGACAATTGATAAAGAGATGCTGCGTTTGTTGCACTGGAATCGCAGCTCCATCCGCAAACCATGGCGGGCGAAACGCTTCCTTCCCCGGTCGCACCAGCGCACACGATCCTCAGCATCAACGACCTCGAGAAGATAGCATCCGAAAAGCTCCCCGCAGCAGCCAGAGGCACGTACAGCTCCCATCGGCGCAAGTACAAACACAAACACTAACCCACCGCACACCCCACGCCCAGACTTCTTCAACGACGGATCCACGGACCAAGTCACAGTGCGGGAGAACACGACGGCATACGCCAAATACCGGCTGCGGCCACGCGTGCTGCGCGACGTCTCGGCCGTCGACACCAGCACCATCGTCTTCAACCAACGGATCTCCTTCCCGCTGTGCGTCGCGCCGGCAGGACTGCAGGGCATGGCGCACGCGGAGGGCGAGCTGGCGACGGCGCGGGCGTGCGCGGCGCGCGGCGTGCCCATGGGCGTGTCGTCGTACGCGAACCGCAGCGTCGAGGCGATCCGGCGCGCCGCGGCGGACGTCCGGCCGGCGCCGGCGCCGGCGGTGCACGCGATGCAGGTGTATACGCTGAAGGACCGCGGGAGGCAGGAGGGAATCGTGCGGGCGGCGGAGAGGGCGGGGTGCGCGGCGGTGCTGCTGACGGCGGATAGCCCCGTGCTGGGGGTGCGGTATAACGAGTGCCGGAACGACTTTCGGACGCCGGAGGGGCTGGGGTTTCCGATCATGGGGATGACGACGGAGGCGGTGAGGGCGCGGAGGCATGGGGATGGGTTTGCTGCGGTCAATTCGGAGGGGCATTCGTGGGGGGAGGTCGCGTGGCTGAGGGGGAGGACGAAGATGGAGATCTGGATCAAGGGCGTGCTGACGGCGGAGGATGTCGCGCTGGCGAGGGAGTACGGGTGTGACGGTGTGATCATTAGCAATCATGGTGGCAGGCAGCTTGACGGGACGCCGGCGACCATCGACGCCCTCCCCGAGTGCGTCAGGGCTGGCCAGGGAAAGATCCGGATCCACATCGACGGTGGCATCCGGAGTGGCGTCGACATTTTCAAAGCTCTGGCTTTGGGCGCCGAGTGCTGCTGGGTTGGCAGGCCGATGATCTGGGGATTGGCGGTGCGTATGGTGATGCCCTTTTGACAGCGTAAACTGATCGAGTCCAGTATGACGGCGAGGCTGGTGTGACGAAGATGCTGGACATCTTCTACGAAGAGTTCAAGAGATGCATGCAGTTGACGGGGTGTCCGAGGCTGGAGGACATTTCGCCAGACTGTCTCGGCATTGTCAGGGCCGATGGGCCGCTGGCGCGTTTATGAGGCGTTTGAGTAGTCCAGCCTCGTTTTCAGATTCAAGACCTATGTATTTCAGACCTTCTGCAGGCCTCAAAGCTCGGGCAAGTACGTCTGAACCGTCGAGTTACCGGCCCTGCACATTCTTCCATCTTCGGCAACATCCCATTCCTCGCTCCCCACAGCAATGGCCGCGTAAAATAGATCCGAGGGGTCATACTTCTTCTTGATCTCTCGGAGCTTGGCGTAGTTTGTGCCGTAGAAATACCTTTGCCAGTTCGGCTGACGGAAATCGCCCTGCGGCGGGATCAGTAGGCTTCAAGCATCCATCATGCAGACTCACCTCGTTCGAGTAGCAGCCCGACTCGGGAGCCAGCGCCGTCAGCTGCGGGATGTATTTGTTGGTCATCTTGTCTTGCCACCCGATCATCTCGTCCCACGGAGCGGTGAAGTTCCACGGTCTGTGGCGCTGTGGGTCAACAGTTGGATTCAGAAGCGTGTGTTCTGGGACATGCTCACGTAGTGACGACGGCGGAGACCAGTGCATCTCTCCAGGCGGGTAGGATAGAGTTGTCCACGTCTCCGGCCACGGTCTTGGACACGTTCAATGCGATATTGATGATGGTCGCGCCGTCCTCGGTGATGTTCCTGTAGGCAGCGTTCAGGGCGGCATTATTCGTCTCCACTAGGCTCCGCGGCAAGAGCCAGCCGCCGTACTGGGCAATCCCGACTTGAATCGGACTCTGCATGGTGGAGAACTGGGAGTAGTAGCCGTCGAACTGGTGTATGTAGCTCGAGTACGTAATGTTAAGGCTGGACAGCTTGTCCTCGTACGGTTGCAGAAGCGTTGCGAGCTGGTCCGAAGACACACCAGGCGCCGTGATTGGCGCGATGGCGAAGAAGGTGTTCGTGAACGAGTATATGGCCATGGCTCCGGCATCGGCCAGCTTGGGCAGCTCGGCCTCCCACGCCCCAATGGCCGCGTAGAAGGTTTCTGCGCTCAGCCCTTCTGCGGTGAAGGTCAGATTCGCGCCGGACACGGGGATGTCATGGTGGGCCTTGGATGTCATGGACAGGACGACGCCGTAGGTTCCTGCACCGCCTCCAGACAGCGCCCAATAAAGATCCTTATTTTGCTGTCGGTTTGCGACGTGCACCTCGCCCGTGCCGTCGACCACCTCCCACTCGAGCACCTGGTCCGCGCCCAAGCCGTACTTGGACGAGAGGGGCGAGTGACCGCCGCCCTGTGAGTAGCCGCCGGCGATGCCGACGGTCGGACATTCCCCTCCGACGACGGCAAGCCCGGCAGCATCGGCTGCCGCGTAGGCTTCTCCGCCCTGGACCCCGGCACCGACTTTGATTGCCTTGCCCGAGTATGTGGGGCTGTTGTAGTCGATGATGCTCAGGCTCTTCAGGTGGTGCGTCCAGATGGCCAGAGAACCGGCGCCAGTAGACTTTCCGTTGTAGCTACGCTCATGTCAGGGCGGTTTACGCGGCATGGATGGGCAAACAGGGACAGGTCTGGCGGGAGAGAAGAAAGATCTCCGGGTGTCGAGAATGTGAGATGCAGGAATGGGGGCTCCTACTCATGACCGGTATTGCGGACAACAAGACGGATGTTTTTATCGCTGGCAAAGCGGATACCGGCGGCCACATGATGGCTCGAGGACACATTGATGGCGTAGCGGACGTAGTTGCCCAGCTCGCAGGGCGTGTCTTCGGAGGTGAAGGGGTCGCAGCTGCGGTTGGCCCAGAACGGAGCCATGACGGAGCTCGAGGACTCATAATGCCCTTGCGGCCATTGCCAACTTTCGCGCAGCGTGTCGCAGGTCGAGCTGTTGAAGGCTGGGTCGTGACATGGGGCGGCGAGCGGAATCGTTGCCACCAGTCGGCCGTCGACCGTTTCGTTGAGCTGCTGCCACTCGGACGCCGTGGGCCAGCAATCATCTCCGGGTAGGCAACGGCAGTCCTGCCCGGTGGTAGTGGTGGCTACCGATGGCCTGGGACTGAGTAGCGCCGCGAGGGCCAGCGTGCGCGACCGCATTTTGAAGAGATGGAACCGGGAGCACCGCAGATGCTGCAATGGCCCGGGGTGCGTGTCTCATTGCATTAATAGCGGCTGCCGCAGGATGGCTTCTTTTGCCAGCTGCTGTACACCGATAGGTAGCATAGGTGGCTATGGAGAAAATGGCCAAATGGCATTCCAAGTCCGATGATTTACGTCCAGCTTCGTCCGATATTATCGTGTACCCCGCACACTCTGCGTCATCCGGGGCTATATTTCTTTTGTTAGTGCTTAACCCGTCCCATCACGCTCTTGATTCCCGGACAGATTGCTGTGGCTGAAACGTGTGCCATTCACGACCTTCTCAATAGAGACACACCGCCCCGTCTCTCGCTTCAGCCGCCCTGTCCTCGTACATACAGCATTCGTTTTCATGACTCGTATGTCATGCCGTGCGACCCCACAAACTACCCATGGGAATTGGTGAGCACTGCCTTTACTAATCACGGACGAAACAAGATGACAAGCCAAAGGATGTGTACAACCGTGCGGTCCGCATGTTACAAGAGGCACACCTGTGCGACTGTGGCAGAAGCGACGGTGAAGGCGATTCTGCTTCGGCCCTGCAATCGATGGAGCTGGTGGAGACCAATATGGCCCGTCTATCATGTTTCAGTCCTCGCCTTTCCTGCAACCACAGACGAAGTCATACACTCATGCCTACTCCTGCAACGACATGGTACTTTGGCCTTTCCGACCTCAACCGCCATGGGACCGTGGACTAGATCACTCGAGGCTATGGGACGCATGTCGGGACGGGTGGATTGCAGACGGGCGGTCGGGATCAACGACTTCTTGATAGCAGTCTGGTCTAGCTAGAGATAGTTGGATGACAACGTAGAGGATGTTCTGGCCGTATCGCAGTTTCACATAAGTGCTTGGAGGAAAGGAAGAAGAAGATGGTAAGCACGTGACGGACATCAAGGCCGCCATTGGCTATGCTTTCCGGAAACACCGAGGGCATCATTTACTATCATCATCACGGGGCGTCTGATGACGGGCTCCGACGTTCTAGCTGGAGAGGTCAAAGCCAGCCATGGACCGGCAGTCAACTACCACGGGCCGGGCTGCTCTAGCTGACTTCCGGAAATCGTTAAGCCCGAGCCTCGGGGACGCCTCCTGCTCCGCGACGTCGCTGTTTTCCGCAATCAAAGCTAGGTTTCAGAGTTTCAGACCCCGTGCAGCCAGCGTTGCTCATTGCTGCCGTTATTAGTCCGGCAGCCAGCTCTGATTATCCGATATAACAATCCTTCTAGAAGGACCACTATGAACTGCCCCAGGGTGATGTCGGAGATAATTCTTCCTACCCGGAGAAGACCAACCGACGTTTCCGCCCATCTCCGTCGGATCCATGGCTCGGTTTCTCACTAGCGTGATCTTGATACCATCATCGATCGCGCCTAATAAGGTTATCCCTCCGTAGCTGTACCAGATTCATCAAGGACAGAAGACAATAATTGAACTCCAACAACCCCGCGCCCGCCTTTCGCAGTGATGGTGAGCTACAAGGACAAGCCGTTGAATGTAAGTGTGGATGGGTACTCCGCACATCAAGCCGAAACGCACCGTCAGCGGAAGAGCGCATCATTCATTAATTCCTCGTGGCCGTCGAGTCGGGGCTAATAAGACATGCTGGCCAAAAGACGGCACGGCTGCAGATCTCGGAGCTAAAAAAGCGGAGGAAGCCCCGGAGGAAGGCCCGGGGAAGGCCCAGAGGAAGCCCCGGCCCAGTCCATTGACCGAAAGCATCTTGGTGCAGCCACCGATGCAATCACCACGCAGCGGCAACTCCGTAGCCGGTGGAAGGCGCGGAGGTAGGCTTGCTTCGGTACCGTGCCACGCGAGAGGGAGTGCCTCGGTAGGTCTAAACCGCGGTAGGGCTGGTGGGAAGCACGGCATTTCTGACAGGATGCGTGCCAAGAGCACCACACAGGAATCCTTCGAACACTCTCATCGAACGGTCAGATCGTCGCTGATCAGGCTTGGCTTGCTGGATTTCGACTGCCTTGAGTTTCTCCCGAGAGCAAGGAGGAAGCGTAGACATGACCATCACCATGAACATCACCATCATCATCATCATCATCATCATCATCAGTTCGATTTGTAGCATGACCTTGCCGTTGATCGTTGGTTTGTGGCGGAAATCATGGGGTCCCGGGAACGCTTAACCGCTAGCATTTTGACTTCGGCGACCCGTTTCACGAGCGGGCCGGCCTTCTAGCGGCATGAGCTTTGGGTCAACGGATTATGCTTTGGTGCAAAAGAGACACGGGGAGGCTCCTGTCGCGTGCATATTATTGGGCGCAAAGTTACCCAAGTCGTGGCGTGAGAACCCTTGATCTCATTGGGGAGTTACTAGGTGCCAATGGTGATGGTCCAGCCCGGGGCAGCAAATATGTCTGGTGTGGTGTTTTGGACGAGCGATGAGATGGAGATTTTTTCACCGAAGGCTGCAGGTTTTGTTTTGAACCTAGGTTCATCAAATTCATTAACGAAAGGCAAAGAAAAATGCTATAATGTCGAATGGGTATGCTGCCACTTCTTCCCCTTCCCTATGCTCTCGTCACTCAACCCTATGCTTAACCGGTCGTGGCTTTCTCTTCTCCTGAACCGGCCCTCCCCTCGCTCCATCTCGATCATGCTGTCTTCACTTCCGTGCCGGGACAGCCGGCCCCCTTTTGTCGGGGTTGACTCGGTGTCGTCCTCCTCGGCATGGGTCGTGGTGACGTGCACGGTCTGGCCGTTGACGGCGAATTTCAGTTCCTTGGTGACGCGGATGTGTCCGTCCGCTTCGGGCGCACCCATGCCCGTGGCCCTGCAGAAGGCGTCGATGACGGCGTCGTTGAACTGCGACGGCCGCAGCTTGAGACCCTGGTTCAACTCCTCGGAGAAGGCAAAACCGCGGCGCTCGCGGTCGTGCTTGGTGACCCTGCGACGGCGGTCATGTCAGCTATCGATTCCGGTCGGGTGAGTGAGGGCTGGGCACCAGTACTGACCAGTGTAGTAGCATGACGCAGACGGCAACGTCGCCGGTGCAGCACATGAAGCAAAGCCAGACGGGCTCGCCGTGCAGGGCCAGGAGGCCAATCAGGTTTCCGACGGTGACCAGGATCATGAGGCAGGTGGCGAGGGCGGTGCGGTATGCCATGGCCTGGAGGATTGCGTTGGGTCCGAGCGCCTGCTTCTTGAACAGGACGCGGCGGAAGGGGTAGACGTATAGGAGCGTCATGTAGATGTTGATGAGGATTTCAAAGGCCAAGAGCGGGATGATGCCCTGCATCTCCAGGCCATTGATGCACACGCCATTGGGGCTGATGTATCCCACGCGCCTGTTCTCAATCATCAGTCTGATGGCAGCGAGGGGGAAGTCAGCAGTGGCGACGGACCAGTAAAAGTTGAGAATGACCAGGCCGATGTAGGGGAGGATGAGACAGCAGCAATTGAAGATGTAGATCCGGTCTTTGCTTCTCGGGGTCCGGTCGGAACGGACAATGTGCTTCGGGGAGTTAGCCGGCGCGGAGGGTCGCGGCGGGCGCGGCGGGGGCTCACTGCTCGCTCAACCAGATAGTGGTACTGCAGGATCTTTGCGCTGAGATAGAAGACCAGGCAGACGAGGATGGAGGCGTCGCAGAGATGGCGCGACGTGTTGGGCTCCAGGTCCTTGAGGATGGCGGACACGGAGCTGAAGAGGAAGGACAGGCAGTAGAAGGCGAACAGGGTCCACTGGGCGACGGGCAGCTCCTTCCAGGCGCTCACGCTGCGCACGAAGCGGTCGATGCAGATGGCGGTCAGGGTGATGGTGACGACGGACAGGCTCATCGAGGCGGCCTTGATGCCATGGGGGGTGGTTTCCGGCGTGTAGTGGCCCGTCTGCTCGTGGGTGCTGAACATGGTGTTGGATGCCGCGGCCGCCGGACCTGCAGACGGCGGTGGAGCAGGGTGGCGCGGGACCGCGCTGGGCGGCCGGCCAGATCTATAAGGACTGCTGGAGGGTGGTGGAACTTGGCGGGCCTGGCACGCGGCGGGACATGGGGATACGGAGGCTGCTCCTGCTAGGCGAACAGCGTCCTTGTACCTACAGGGTCCGGGTTGCTGGCGCGCGCTGCACGCGGCTGGTAGAGGAGCACGGTAGCACCCCTTTGCTTAAGGCTGCTGATTGGAGCTCTGACTCGCGCCTGCAAGAAGGATGCAAGGGGCGTCCAGGCCCAAGCGATCTGCACCTCGTCTAGTCTCGATCCGGCGCCCCGCCGCCGCCCGCGATCGATGCCGCGGCGGGACTGGACGGCGGCACTGCTGCTGCTGCTGGGGCTGCTGGGGCTGGCGCGGCAGTCGACGGTGGAGGCAGCTCCGGCGGTGCCACGCACGTGGAGGCCACCTTAAAGGGCGGCCGGCGACGCTGCTGCTAGGGCACCATCCGCGCGGTAGGTTTCCACGCTTGCCAGCCCGGGGCGGGCGCCGCATCGGGGGCTAGTCGCAGGTCGAGGGCGGGAAGTCTAGCAGTAGACCGGCAGCCGTTGTCTCAACACCCGCCGACGCTGCTACGCGACACTTCCCCATGGCTTCACGCAGCCCTCTCAACGGCCGGCCGCGCGTCTCGCGCCGCTGTCAACACCACGGGAGCGACGCCAAAAGAGCGCCGGCGGCGGATTCAGCCGCCGTTTCCGCATCGCCGCCTGCTTGGACCACCTTGGACCACCCACCACCAGCGGCATTATGTCGGCCGTCTGGTGCTGCTACCCGTGTGCCTGTCACGTCTGTCACGCCTGTCTATGCCTCTGCTGTGCTGCCGTGTAGCTGCCTTGGTTTCGCTCCGTGGCTCCGCCCTGCAGCGGTGTAGATCCGGCGCGGCGGACTGAAAGCCTGCTGGGCGCGGAACCGGCAGGGCGAGACACACTGCCGACGATCAGCGAGCAAGGGAAATTTTGCAGTCGATCCGAAGCGGATCAAGCTGCTGAACCAAGTCCGACACTCCACCTGCCGAGCTCAGGTCCCCGTCCGCCCCCGCCGCATTGGCTTTTCGGCAATCCGACGTTCGAGAGATTGCCGATGGATCATCGAGCTTCCTTCGAAGCAGGTAGCCACACTGCTGCCCGGACATGTCGCCGCTCTCTCAGATCCGTCGCTAATCTCATCCGTCGTCATGTTTGCCGCGCGCTTCGTGCTTTGGCCCTGCCTGTGTCATGGCCTGCCTTCTGACGCCGCCGTGCGCCTTTGTTCATGACTCTCTCCATGACTCTCTCCTATACGAGGTTGGCCCGATGCACTCCGTCGTCAGAGGGCTGATCAGTCCGCCATTATTCCTCCATAACCTCCTCCCGTCCGGTCCCGACGCGCGCGCCCGGAGCCGCATCTCTCTTCTCCTCCTCCCTCGACTTCGCACAACTCATGAAACCCGGCCTTTGGGCTACTTGACCATCGCTCTCGTTTGCTTGGCCGCGGCGTATACCGTGGCTAGCCTGACTTTTTCCAATAGCCACGATATTGACTCGGGCAGCTTGCCTGGGAACGAGAGTGCAGAACCAACTCCACAACCCGACCCTCACCAGTGACGGCATGACGACCGGCCAGAGCACGACCCGCCAATCTTCCTGGACGACGTAGCAGCTTGATTGCAACGTCTGAAGCCCTCTTATGCTTGTTCGCATGGTCCACTGCTCCACCGTCCACGGCCCAGACTCCCCTATGCGCTACCTTGTCCAGTTTAGCCAGCTACGTAGTACAAGACTCATCTTTGTAAAGTTGGTCTTCGGCAATGCCCCGTTAAGCTCTTCACTGTGTCTAGCGCACTCAGCCAGACCCATCTCACTGACGTTCGAGGAAAGGATCTCCGTTCATGGCCCCTTAAGTGAATCTACACTAATGCCCCTTGTGGGGGCATACGCGTTCCAAAGGGCGACGCTTGCTGGCAATTTTCACCCAAAGGCTTGGTCGGGCTCTTGGAACTGGAAGCGGCACTCGTCGTCGGCCACGAACCCGGAATCTCGTTTCAGCGCGAGGCTGAGCCCTGAGGGAGCCTTGGCCGGCAGCGCAGCCGTGAACACCATGAGTATTACTATGCTGATGGAACTACTTCTCTATCAGCTTTGCAACATGCATCACAATAGGCTTCTTCTCATCTCGCTCACTGACGTCGATGGCGGTCTGCTGGGTACTGTGTAACTGTTCTCAGGGGCCCGCTTGCAGACTCAGGAGCCCGCAACCCAAGCCTCTATTCAATAAGTCCTCGGATTCGACCACCTCGTCAACCTCTAAGGCTGCCTATGATGAAAATTTTGAGAGGAGCTAGACGAAGGCGAAGCCGCTAGATAGCACTCCGTCGCACCCTTTTGAAGTTAAAGAGTCGTGGGTGAAGGGCTAGCTTCTGGGTGCGACCTGTGCACACGGCGCGAGCGAAGCGCATTCTCTTCTAGCGTCGTGGCTGCGCAAGCTTTTATAAGCAACGACTTCGCCGGTGCTGTCATGGATAACAAGCATCCCAAGTCGATCGAGCGGCCAGCGGATTGCACACATGGTACCATCATCTTTTGACATGGGCGCATTGGTCGAACACATGCAGAAGCCGGCTCCCCTACACGATGCCGCCTTGTCGACAAACTCGAGTGCAAAACTCCAGAAGATGGCGGCTGTTACAGCGAACTGTTGTTGTTGGGGGGGAAGCACATTTATACCCCTCGGACTGGCGTGCTTTGTCGTACAAAAGGCGTCAGCCAGGGTCCAGCTCTGCGTTGTTCAATACGGTTTCCCCACACTGTGTGCTTATACGAGAGCACTCTTCGACTGCGGGCGGCTTGGCTCGGCGACGAAGCCTTCCACGAACCATCCTCTGCTAAGCGACCCCGTCAACGACGGATACTCACTGTCGACTTTTTTTTTCATTAAGGGGCTGAGTTTTCTGGCAGTCGTGCTTCATTAACGGAATGCACAGCTAGGTTCTGCTGTCCGCATACCCCTGCTTGACTTTGCGATTCGAATCCAACATGGTGTCCCTCGGGAGCGAACACACTTGCACCATTCTCAAAGGCGATACGGACTACTAGCTTCCTCTCTATGCGGTCGTCGTCGAGCCTCGGCTGAACCCCCGTTGGTTCATGATGCGTACATGGCATGATTCTTCGCTGTGTGTCGTGGAGACGCCGAAGACTGCGCGAGAGTGAGCACTGAGCAGATATGAGAGGGGACAGGAAAAATACATGCTCAGACCGGCGTTACACTTGGGCAGAGTAGCGCCGCTAAGAACACGAAGTCGCGATGCCGTTTTCGGGCAGAGGTGGAAGGCAGAAGGCATCGCATGAAGCGCAACTCAGGAGCATCTGCTGCAGTACGAACATGGGGCTGAAGAGGCGCTGGCTGATTGGCAGACGGGGTCAGCCACAGGAGAAACATAACATGACGGCTGCACGATGGTTGTTCGAAGCGATGCCTTCTGCCGCGGCGGTCGGCCGGTACGGTCGGGACGCGGTGCCTAGAATATCGCTTCCACCGTGTCCGCGTAAATTGCACCGACTCGGGATCACGCTAACTGGCGCCACAAGTGTGGCCGGCAGGCCGAGGAGCGTGCCAACTCCGGCCGTACGAGCGGTGGTGAGAGGCCGGCGGCGGCGCACGTCGCGGTGTTGCGGGCGCGATGGACGCAGAGCAGGCAGGCCAAGCTGGGGCCGAGGGAGGGGAGCAAAATAAGGTGCACGAATAGAGTTGCACCAAGCAGCGGTTTGGGCCGGGCGTGCGGCCAAAAGCGTAAAGGAGAGCCGGGATCCATGCCGCATCCGGCAGTCGACAGTATGCTTAACGACCAACTGAAACGGCTTGTCGGCGCGCGGGAAAACGAAGCGAGATGACTTCCACCAACTGCTCGTGGGCTGAGCGACGGGAAGACAGCCCGTCTATCCTGGCAGCTGGTATAAATATTCCCCGGGACGGCTCTCCATGATCAGCACCAGCCCTTCCTTCTCCGACCAGTCCAGCACCACACTCTCTTTCAACCTCAGCCAACTCCGCCGACAACATGAAGCTCAGCTCCGCCTTCGCCTGGGCCGCCGCCGCCGCCGCCGTCTCCGCCGCGCCGTCGGCGCTGGAGCGCCGCGCCGACTTCTGCGGCGACTGGGACTCGGCCAAGAACGGCGTCTACACCACCTACAACAACCTCTGGGGGAAGAGCACCGCCGGCGTCTCGGGCTCGCAGTGCACCGGCGTCGACAGCTTCAACAGCAACACCATCTCCTGGCACACGTCGTGGACCTGGTCCGGCGTGCCCAACCAGGTCAAGTCGTACGCCAACGTCGTCGTCGACCTGACCGCCAAGAAGCTCAGCGCCATCAGCAGCATCAACAGCATCTGGCGCTGGAGCTACACCGGCAACAGCCTCGTCGCCAACGTCGCCTACGACCTCTTCACCTCGTCCACCCCCACCGGCAGTGAGGAATACGTAAGCAGCAGCACCCACCTTCATCAGAATCAGCGTCAGCTAACCGCCGCCCGCCCCGCAGGAAATCATGATCTGGGTCGGCTCGCTCGGCGGCGCGGGCCCCATCTCGTCGACGGGCTCGGCCATCGCCACCGTCACGCTGGCGGGCAACACGTGGAACCTGTTCAAGGGCCCCAACGGCGCCATGACCGTCTTCTCCTTCGTCGCCACCAGCACCGTCAACAGCTTCAGCGGCAACCTCAACGACTTCATCAAGTACCTCACCTCCAGCCAGGGCCTGTCCACCTCGCAGTACCTCACCCACATCGGCGCCGGCACCGAGCCCTTCACCGGCACCAACGCCAAGTTCACCACTTCTTCCTTCACCGTCAGCCCCCGGTAAATTTTGTTTTTGTCTTACTGAGTTCCGGATGGGGGAGGGACGGACGCGTGTGGCGCCGCTCAGGAGAATCTATAATGTATATATGCATACACGGCTGCTCTCCGGCCACGAGCTATCAATCAATAATTTGTCCAACCCGAAACCGAAGCGTAACACTGTTGCTTTCTGAAAGGAACATCACACCTTTCATAGTAAGCACCTATGCATGCACTAAAAAGCACTGTAAAAAATGGAAGACTTCTTCGACGAATCTTGGCAAGCCGAAACCGCACAGTTGGCCTACCTAGCGAAACTATGTGAGACATTCCGCTCATCAGGTTGGCGCGATCGAGTTTGCTCCGCTCTCGCGTTTTTGCTTCCATTTCGGCCGAACGAGGCGTGGTACGCGTCAATGGCATATCAGCATCGTCGGTATTTTTTCGGTGGCCGAGGGGAACCTCTGAAACGGTCAGCTCCCCCTTCAAGTTTCTCGCCAACGTGTGTATGTACCGTCCATGGGCGCTTGGCTTCTGGGTCACGTTTATTCGGACTTTTATGGAGTCTGTGCCAGGTTTCTTGCACAGGGAGAGAGGATCAAAGGAAAGGAAGTCGTACATACCACCGACTGGAAGACTCACCATCACACCGTAACATAACCCCAGCGGTTGCTTAAAAGCATCATCATTTACAATACTATCATCAATCTTTTCATATCCAAAACTGGCCCATCACCCAAAAAAAGGGCCGCTTCAAGAGCCACCCAAACCACGCTCCGCGCTCCACAGAGCAAAGATCAAGAAAAAAGTTCCGAAAACCCAAATCCACAACTCACAACCCCGCCTCCTCCCGCCTCAACTCCCACCTCAACTTGTCCTCCAACTTGTTCTTCTCCCAGTCATGCACGTACGCCGCAACGTCGACATCGCCCTCCTGCTTCTGCTCCAACCTCAGCGCCGCCCTCAACGACTCCAAAAAGCTCGGCAACGCCAGCTTCGTATCCTCGTCCAACAGCTCCTGAAACACGTCTCCGCGCCTCGATTTGCAAACCTCCCTCTTCACCTCCTCCACAAAAGTAACGAGCTCCTCTGCCGCGCCCCCATCCCTCACGGCGGCGGCGATGCGACGCTTGCGATCGACCGCCGAAATCGCATCGTCATCGCCCTCGCCCTCGGCGTCGGCGATGCGCGACCACGCACGTGCGATGCTGACGTGGAGGTTGTAGTGCATGCTGTGAGGCGGGGCGGGGGAGGCGGTGACGGCGGGGAGGCCCGTCTGGCTCTCGGCCGCGAAGGCCCTCGCGTCGGTGGCGAAGACCTTGGTGAGGTGGTTGGCGCGGGCCTGGCGGAGTTGGTCGAGGACGCGGGCCGGCCAGGGCGCGTCCGACTCTGCGAGCTTCTTCACCTCCGCCAGCTGTTCGGCGGGGAGGAATTGCTCCTGGCAGGCGGGGTAGCAGCAACGCAGGACGCTCGGGCCGAAGGGGGTGAAGAAGGGGGCGCCGCCGGTGTGGCGGGCGCGGAGGGCGAGGGTGGTGGGGTCGGTGGTGTCGTCGCCGCGGAAGATGGAGAGGAGGGTGGGGTGGGTGACGGATGGGGCGAGGGGGTCGGCGGTGTGGGGGTCGAGAACGGCATGGGAGAGGGGCTGTTCGTTGCGGAGCTTCTGGAAGTACGTCTTTGCTCGGGTGTGGTCACGCTGGAGGTAGACGAGCCAGAAGGTGAGGACCTGCACCCGTCTCATTGCGCGCTCCATGTCGGCGGCGTCCCAGTCGGCGAGGAGCTCGACGTCGGCCGTCAGGAAGGCGGACAGGCGCTCCCAGAACACGGCCGAGTCACCGAGGACGGACTTGTAGCCGCGCTTGTCCGTGGGAACGAGGTCACCGTTGAACTCTGCGTAGATGAGCGCGAGCAGTGGCTGCTTCCATGCTTGGTTGCCGGTGTGCATGTTCTTGTACAGCTGCGCCAGGTATGCCGACGCCACCGAGTGCAGCACCTTTGCCAGCCGCAAGTCTCGCGCCGTCTGTGCATCAAAGGCTTCCAGCTGCCGGCCGAACCGGATCAGTTGCATGAAGCCGGCCGTCGGGTAGCCCACAGCCCAGCTGTCGAGCCCCTGCTCGCGGAAATCCTTGGCGGCCCACGCGAGCGCCTTGCTGTACGTGACCCACTGGCCCTGCTCGTTGAACGTCTCCCTGCAGCCGGTCCTTTCGAGTAGGTTGGCCAAGACCCACCGGAACAAGTCCCGCCGCTGGGCTACCTCTGCATCCAGGGCCATCTCGGAGCCAGCGCCCGCCCATTCCTTTTCCCGGAGAGTGCGGTCCAGGATTGTCATGAAGAGCTGCGACGTGCCAGACGCACCCACGCGGAGGCCGCCTGTCAGAGCGAGGTGCAACTGCTCGTGGATGTACTTCTTGTTGCTCTCGTGGCAGTCGACTGCGGGCAACACGGCGGCCACGTCTTCCTTGAACAACGATCTCCCTTCGAAAGCAAGAGCGCATTGGAAGCAGACAAGCTGGCTGGAGATGACGTCTTTATTGGAGTTGAAGCGGCCGGCGGCGAGAGGGAAGTCGAGGGCGAAGTTGTCTGTGTTGGCTGCGGCGTCGGCACCGGCCTTGAGCGAGATGGACATGACCTCGTTTTCACCGCAGCAAATGTGACAGTCACCGCGGAAAGCGTTCGGGGTCTCCAGGTCGAGGCTCTGCACCGAGATCTCGCCGCCACCCGTGACCATGGCGGCTCGGCGAGCGCGGTTGCTGGGGCGAGCGAGGATGTTGGCAGTGTAGGTCGAGCTTTCCATGGCGGCGAGCTGCTCCAGTGCGAAGTTCACGAGGGTGTTGCGGTTGCGCGCGGCCTGATGCTCGCCCGACTCCTTCAGCCTCTTGACGGCATCTTGGTAGTGGTGACGGTTGCGGGCGTGAGCCTCGCGCAGCTCGAGCTGCAGGGCATCTCGCGCGTTGGCGTCGAGAGTCTGATCGCTGAGACGCGCAATGAGGGCGCGAGCTCCGGATATGTCCTCTAGCCTGAGGTTGATCTCGTCGACCTTCTGGCTCATGACGAAGCTGCGCAGGTCCTGGATGCGGCCGCGAGTCTTGAAGGCCAGTGAAAGGTTGCCAAAGGCGGCGTCGTCCAGGAGCTGCTCCAGGTCCGTATTGGTGAGCTTGCCCCCGGCGGTGACAAGGAGGTCCAGATCGACGACAGTGTTCGGGTTCCACTTCTCCCACTCTTCTCCCAGGCTGATGGTGCCCGACACAAGGCTGGGACGGGTCTCGGCGGTGGGCACTTGGATGGCGGCTGTGCGCAGCAGCTGAATGAGGTCGCGCTCGGAGAAGAGCTCCTTCAGCGGAGTCCAGCTCGAAAGGTCGGGAGCTGTGTTGGCAGTGTTGGAATCCAGGGCGGCGAAGCAGCCCTTGGCGGCGATGATGTACAAGTGGCCGGTGGATGATTCCTTGAAGAGAATGAGGACGTGCTGGGCGTTGGCGAAGAAGGAAATGCCGACGGACACGTTGAGGTCTGAGGGTCGAGACGAGCCCCTGGTGCCGGTGATGACGAAGATGGTGGGGACATTGAGCACTCCGGTGTCGACGGCGAGCCCGCACAGCCTCTGGACATCGTCTCCCCAGATCTCGCCGTCAGTGAGCAGGTACCAGAGGTCCGAGGCAGCAATGGTGTCGAGGACGCGCTGGTTATGCAGGATGCGCGAGGGCTGGGTGCCGCCGCTGGCTGCTCTCCAGGGTGCTATGGGGAAGTTGTCGGCCGGGTCCTCGCAGTCGGACCCCCAGAGAGCGGCTCGGTCATGGGGGTGGCCGTCGTGGAGCTTCGTCACGAACTCATGCTCTCGGGCGATGACGGTGCCAGCGGTGGAGCCCGAGGCGTCGACGGCGAAGAACTGGCGTGCGTGGTGGAGCGGAATGTACTTGGTATGCTGCTCGCCGTTGGCCGTGTCCACCTTCCAGCAGGGGCGGGCGGCGGCGGTGGCTGAGGTGTTGGAATCCATGGTTGATGATGAAGCGGACCTTGGACGGCAGGTCGGGTGTGTTAAATAGAAGGAACGGGGGCTGAGTCACAGAAAGGGCTTTGTTAGAGGTGCTTCGTTGGCGGCAGTCTCCAAATCCTGATCAGGAAGGAGCGGGGGCGGTGTCGCAGTTGGGGGGCCGGACTGTGCGCAACCACCAACCACTGCGACCAGTCAACAGCACAACCAAATCTTTCGTCTTGCGGCCAGCCTTGCTTCACATCGACCGTCTTCTCGACCGTCTTCTCGACCCACTCGTGGAGCTGTTGCGGACAGCCAGCCCACACGCCTGGCTGTTGGAAGCAGGCCGTGAGATGGCAGCGAAGGATTCCATGTCGCGCCAACGTGCTCCACGCTGGGCTGTGGCGGTGTCGCACTCCACGTCAAATCTGACTGCGTCAACTACCGATCGACGGTGAGTCTTGCCATGGAAAAAAGCACAGTCGGTGTCGACAGGCTCCAGCTTCGTCTCTCAGGCACCAGCGCATTCCAGACCCCGCATCATCAGCCGAGGACTCGAGAACGCCATGCGGAGCGCGACAGGTGCCTGACGGACGTCAAAGGTACCTTGGACAAGGTGCGGCGCTGGCACCGGCCGGCGGTGATGCAGGACGGGCGAAGGAAGCAGTGGCGGTGCGAACCAGCCTTTCCCGACTCGATCGTCCCTGACCTGACTCATCATCGTCGAACTGCCAACACCCAACTTCATCTCGAAACGCCAAACTACGAGGTCGAAGTGGTGCAGAACAATCCTGGATGATTCAGCAAAAGAATATGTAGAAATTACAAGTGAGTAGTCACCATAGGTGCTAAAATACAATAGTTGAAGCAAGAAATTATTGCTTTGCACCAGCTCCCATTGCGCCGAGAGGGCAAAACTGATGCAGGCCCACCAAGAGAATTTGCCCACAAACACGTTTTGCCATGATCAAACAACCCCGTTCCATCAGCACTCGTCATCTCATCCCTGGGAGAGAGCTCTGGGTGGTTTCCGTACGGGGCTGGCGGCCCAATTGCCTGCATACCACCCGTCCAGGCAAGAACAACAGCTGCCTTTTTCCATCGTCGTCATCGTCCGTCGTCCGTCGTCCGTCGTCGTTCGTTTCGTCTTTTCCTTTTTTTTTTTTTTCAGAGAAAAGGACGATCACGTCTTCCCCATCTCGTCGCGCTCGTCGCCGTACGTCGATTGCACGAAGCCGTTCCAGCTCTCCGAGTCGTTTTCGGGCGGCGTGACCTTCTTGACGATCCAGTGGACGGCGACGGTGCAGAGGCCGAGCCAGATCAGCACGCTGCCCTGCTCGAGCACTGGCTTCAGGTAGTCCGCCCGGTTCGAGTACAGCGCCGATGCCGCGCACATGAGCCGCCCGCTCATCGCGTCGTCGGGAGGGCATGGGGCGGCCATGTCGCGTAGGTAGGTAGTAAGGGTGGATAGGTCCGAACGAAGAGAGAGAGAGAGAGAGAGAGAGAGATAGACGAGGCTCCAGCGAGAGAGCAAATTGACCGGCGCGAGGTTGCCAGCAGAAAGCGGCAGACTCGGTCGTCGGCGGCCGCAAAGCCTCTTAAGTAGCAGTCGGCATCCCGGATCGGCATGATCGGCCAGATCGAATGTTTTCGGCGCGAGCCTGCCGTCGGCACTTTTTCCTTTTCTTCTTTTGCCTTCTCCTGAACCCGTGCGACACATCACCCCACACCGGTGGATCGAATCGCTGCTTCTGTGCTACGGGGAACGCTTCGGGTCCAGCCTCTGCCGTACCGAACGCACCATTATCACCCCATCCTCAGCCACCGTTTTCCCAAATCTTTATCCCTCGGCCGTTCCTTGCGTGTTCCTGCTATCATCACGGAGCCATTGGTCTGATAGGCTTCCGGCTTCCACCGCTGCCTTGGCTGAGGGATGCGTACCTAGTTGTGGGCGTGAAACATACAACGGCTGTGCCCGCCGACCCCGCCGTATCAGCCCACTGTAACTGTTTCACCACTGGCTTCCAGCTGCCTTCGAGAAGTCTACTTACCGTTCGTTAAAGCACACTCAACGCCTGTCTCAAGTCCAAGATGCCCGCACAGCTCTACTACGTACAGATTATATACTCAGGTAGAGCGTTAGAAATGTGATACTTGGGCAAAAATCAACCTCATATTACCTGCACATACGGTCCTCGCACACAATGGCAATGGCCTTCCTAGCTCCATCCTTAACATCAGCAGAAAAAGTACCTGCAGCCATCATCACCTCGCAACAAACATTTCCTCATCCACCAATGTCCTCTCCTTCCAGCTCTCCTCCACCCACTCCACCCCCACCACGCGCGGAACCCTACTACTATTGCCGCTCTCCATCCTATCCGCAAGCGTCCGTCGTATCTCTCCCAGCCTATCCTTATTATTGGCACTCGCGGCTCCTACAACAACGTGCGTCACGTCAAAATCCGAAGCCAATTGCAAGGCACCACTCTCCGCCACGCTGCCGCCCGCGAACCGGACCAACTGCTTCGCGAGATACAGTCGCATGCGGCGCGCCGCCTGCTCGTCATTCGCATCTTTCCCATCCACTTCGTCGCCGCCGGTGTCGTGGTCCTGATCGTGATCGTGATCGTGCTCGTCCTCGTCCTCGTGGCCGTCATCAAACCAAACCCTACACCCGCGAAACAGCCAGCCCCGCGCCGCCGCCACATCGCCACCCAACAAGCGCACCCGGTGCTCATCTTCCGCTTGCTCGAGGAAGGCGTCCACGTCAAAGGCCGCCGCTGGCGCTCCCCTGATCCGCCGCTTCCGCTCCCTCCCTCCCTCCTCCTCCTTCACCACCGCCTCCGCACGGTCCGGCATCCCGTCCATGATGGCCTTCAACTCCTCCACCGACCCCACATCCCTCGCAAACGCGTCGCCCCATTCGTCCACGCTCTCCTCCGCCCTGACCGCGTCCTCGTCCGTGGCGTGGAAGAGGTGTCTGTTTCCCTCGTACGGCAGGAGGAACGGGGCGTCGGCTGCGGGTGCGCCGCCGGGACGGGTGGCGGCGTCCGACGTGGCCTGGGCGACGCAGTCGAGCAGCCAGGCGGGGCGGATGACGCTGCGGTCGTTCTTCTTCACCAGCGACGCGACGGGGACGAGGCGGCGGTCGGCGATGCAGAGGACGTGGGCGGCCGCCGCGGGGGAGTGGACGAGGGCGCCGCCGTGGGCCTTGACCAGCGCTTCGAGCTCGGCTTTGGATTTCTTGGGGGAGACGGATTCGGTCATGATGTAGAAGGTCAGGCCGGCGAAGACGTTCGGGACGGCGGCGGCTGCGGTGCTAGGGTGCCCGGCTGCTTTGGGGTCGGATAGGGTGGTGGTGTTGCTGGTGGAAGCCGCATCATCATCGACGCCCGCGATGGTCATGGGCCGCTTCTTCGAGGTGCGCTGGCGCTTGACCCGGCGGGCTTCGTCGATTTTGAACTCTTTCGCGGCGTGTTCACGTTCTGCGTTCGCTTTCAGCGTCATGAAGTCCTGGATGGACAGCGCCTCCTTCCAAGTCTTGTCATCCCGCAGCTTTTTGAAGCGCGGGAAACGGAGCGTCAGCCCCATGCGGAACTGCTCCGTCGTTCCAACAGATGCAGCTTTGACTGACACGACCACGCTATCACAGGGCTTGATCCACACGTCGGGTTTTTCGAATTGCCGCTCCTCGCCGCCTGCCAGCTCAATGAACTCAGTCGGTGGCCGGGCCGCGTCCCACGTTTGCCACTTGTCGCCCGTGGCGTGTCGTATAGCGGCGTAGTCATTGGCCGTCATGCCACCGCCGACCTTGAAGAAGGAAAAGCACTTCATCGGGTTGGCTCCCTGCTCGATCTGGGCCTGGTCGACACGCAGCCCGCACATGAAGCTGGAAAGCTTGCCTCCGCGGTTCCCGGACCCCCAGTAGCCGCCGATGATGACGCAGTCTAGCTCTTCGCCGAACTCGGTCATGTACTCGGGTTTTACCTTGATCCAATCGTCATTGCGTTGGTTGAGCCGATAGGATGAGCGCGGGTTCTTGATGACTAGACCTTCCGAAGCCTCAGCCACGACCTTGCGCAGAAGGGGCTCAATCTCGGATGGAGTGTGGGCGGACGAGTAACTGTGGATCTCGAAACGGCGGTGGATGGAGTGGATGCTGGCAGCGAGCGCCTTTCGACGGTCGCGTAGCGTATATTGCGTGAGAGGCTCGTCATTCAGATAGAGACAGTCGAATATTTTATAAAGCGGACGTCGGCCAGTGGAGAAGGGATTCTTCTGCTCCGAAAGAGCTGCTGTCTTGAGGGTTCCAAACGGCACTGTGGCATCCTGCTCCATGTCCCAGGTGATCATCTCTCCATCGAGAATGATGTTGCGCACCCCGTCATGGAAGGCATCCTTGAGGTGGCGCGTGAGGGCGCTGTTGTCATCTTCAAATCCATTCCCGTAAAGATAGGTGTATTCCTTTGCTTTGCGAGACCAGAAGCGGAAGCGCTTGCCACCGGGCACGCTCTCGTCCTCGACCATGTGTAGTTGCATGCGCTCACCGTCGAGCTTCTCCTCAACCCAGAACTCGTCGTCTTCTTCGGTTGGCTTCATGCGCTGCACCATCTTCTCCAACGAGTACATCTGAAAAGCAGCCAGTTGCGGCTGGAAACACTGCATGAGAGTGATGGCAGCGCCTCCTCCATCAAGGCGGATCGAAGGGTCGTGCAGCTCCCAGCACACCCTGCGCAGGCTGGAAGACACGTTGAAGAGGCTCTCGGCATCGGGGTGCCATATATCGAAGATGGTCCTCTCAGTTGCGCCAACCTTCATCTGGCGGAGAATGACACGGATGAGCCACATCATCTCCTCGGCATTCATGCGCTGGTAGAATTCTTGGAAGATGGGAAGCTGGTCTTCGTCTTTGGAAGAAGCAGAGAGCGTGTCGAGCCGCTCGTTGACCTCGCCGATGGTCATATTGCCGGGCTTGGTTAGTATGGGCCGCTTAGAAATAACATCGAAGCATCTGCCAGCAAAGTCGCCAGCCATGGCGGCTCCAGGATTCTGGCCAGGAAGCCTCCAGTTCAGGAGGTTGAAGCCATCCTCCGAGTCCTTGTCGATGCGGAGGATGCGCACCAGCAGTTTGCCAATGGCCTTTTCCTTCAGGCCGTACATGGCGCGGTCACGGTCCTTCTCCGGGATGATGAGGCGGAAGGCGGGGTAGATGTCGTTGCCTACTTGCTGGCGCCATTTTGAAATAAAGCGGTCGACGATGTTACGACGGATCTCATTCGGGGTCATGTGGGACTGGCCATGTGGGCCTTGTTTCCTGCGAGAGGCAACGGGGCCGGTGGGCTTCTTCTTGTTTTCATTCAGAGGGTTGAAGAGGTCCAGGAAAAGGGAATGGAAGGGCAGGGTTGTGGAATGATTGTGCGGACGGTTGGGGTATCTGCAAGTGAGGTCAGCGCGGGAACTGGCTTCGCAGGGTAGGCGGACAGCGGAGATGGCTCACTTCTCATCCAACTCTTCCTCGGTCATGGCACCATGGCCATACATGCGCTGCTCTTCATCGAACGCTTCCTGGCTCTGGGCGACGAAGCGTCCGGCCATGGCGTTTCGGGCTAGAGGGAGAGGTGACGTGGTTGGTCAGTCCGGCGGATGGTTGGCGGCTGCTGCTGGCACGAGGCCTCCAGCCTGGTGGGCGCGAGTAAGGTCACCGCAGCGTCGACAGTCGTCCGTCGCACAGGTTGCAGCGAGACGTGAACGGGAGCTCTTCACATTGTGCGCACAGAGAATTAACAAAAGTGTAGGTAGAGCAGGCGACGCGGCGGAGCAGGCAGCAGTGGCCGGGAAGGAAGCGACGCGCGAGCACGTGTTGGGGCCTTGGGCAGCGCGGACTCGCGGAGGTGAAACGCGCATGGTGGATCGCCGCTGGGATGCCCTCTCCACTGCCACCGCCAGCCTGCCTTGCCAACCAGCTCGCTCAATAAGCAGCAGCCCAGACTCCACTCGGCCTTCTCGACCTTCTCGACCTTCTCCTCTCTCTCCTCGTCGCTCCCGCCGACCCGATGCCCCGCCGCCCCTCGCGCCGCCCGCCCAAGCACACAGCGCCGACGACACCCATGGACGGATGAGCAGCAGCCTGTCGAACCGCACGCCCATGGCTCCGGCCACGCCGCAGCGCCACCAGCAGCCGGACCCCCGGCCGAGCACCCCATACAACACGCGCGATGCCGCGCTGAAGGGCGCCGCGCTGGCCTTTGGGAAGCCGCCAGTCCGACCCAAGCCGTCGCCCAAGACGTACAGCGGGAACAATGGTGCATTGGCCGCCGCGCGCCAGTCCAGCAACGCTGGCACCCCTCAGCCCCAGCTGCTCCGCCCCCAGCTCTCCGGAAACAGCACCACCTCCCAGAGCTCCCACACCTCCGCCCTCGCTCTGCCTCAGCTCCAGTCCGACCGCGCCCGCTCGCCGTCCATGATCGCTGCCACCCGTGCAGCCGCCCGCCGCACCCCGGCCCCCGTCGATGGCCCCGACACCCAACGCAGGAGCATGCTGGATGCCAGTTCCAACCACTCCTCCAGCGGCTCGCCGCCCGCGCCCATCTCCGTAAGCGATGCCCGAGCAAGGTTCAATGCCGCTCCCGCAGCTCCGCCCTCCGCCGGCGCGAACGCGACGCTACCCTCCCGGCCGAGCCGCTCTCCTTCGCAGACATCCGATCCCACCGACGCTTCCTCGATACAACCCACAACCTCTCTAGTCAAGATGTTTGAGCAGAACAAGGCCCAACAAGCTGCCTCGCCAAACTCCGCTCGTAGTCCCAAGCCTCCTCCTATTCTTACTTCGAAAGGGGGCCCTCCGCCCATAAAGTCGCCTAAACCGATCCGGAACATCTCCGTGCCCTTTGCTTCTCCAGAGCATCAGAACCAGGACATGGCGAGGCCCCGCCCTGTGAGCGCCGGGAACATCTCTGCGATGAAGCCAAAACCTGCGCCGAAGCCGGCTCCCAAACCAGCCAAATTCTTGGGCGACGTAACCCCGCAGACGAGCCCCCACGTCTCTCCGAAGGTGCCCGCAAAACCAAAGTTTGCAGCCTCGCCGCGCGAGCTTCCGCCAGTGGCAAAAGACGATTCTGAAGACGACGCCGCATACACGTCAGCCCCTGAGACGCAAGGCGACAACCGAGCGAAGCCAATCCTGCCTCCGCCTCGTCGGGGCACAAAGATTTCCCAGACCAATCCTCCCACCAAGAACGGGACAGATTCTGAAAACGCTGCGCCATCTCGGGTGGCCCATCTGCGGAGGCACTCTGCTGTCGCTGAAGGGACATCATCCGCGCCGCCGGCAGGTGGAGGCCGACACCTGCTCCCACCTCCTCCCATCAGCTCCGCCTACAAACGCGAGTCCTTCAAGAAAATAGAGCCACACCTGACCGGCGATTCCCTCGCCAACGCCATGGTTGGCGCCGCATTGGCGGGTTCGCGGGCATCCACGCCAGCCAAATCAACGACCCCTCTTCCGCCGCCTCCCCGCCGCAGCGGCAACCACCACCATCACCACCACCACCCTCACATCTTCCACCACTCGCGCACGCCAAGCCCGCAGAAGAAGCCAGGCAAGCTGATGCCGACCCTCCGCAAGGAGCCCAGCGCCAGCGACTCGGACAACACCAGCGACGACCCAAACGGCAAGCACAAGAAAAAGCGGCACCTCCGGCCCAAGCACCCGAACAAGCACGCCGAGGGCGCGCGCAAGCGCTGGCGCGACACCATCACGGAGCGCGAGCGCAAGCGCTACGAGGGCGTGTGGGCCGCCAACCGCGGCGTGCTGCTCTCGCCGCGGGACCTGCACCCGCGCGTCGCCGCGCACCCCAACGCGTCGCGCGTGGGCCTGCACGACGACGTCAGCGCGCTGGTGGTGCGGGACGTTTGGGGCCGCGCGCGGCTGCCCGCGCACGTGCTCGAGGAGGTGTGGAATCTCGTCGACGGCCGCGGCGTGGGGAGGCTGGCGCGCGACGAGTTCGTCGTCGGCATGTGGCTGATCGATCAGGCGCTCAAGGGGAGGAAGTTGCCGGTGAAGGTGCAGGAGAGCGTGTGGGCGAGCGTGAAGGGCGCGGGGGTGAAGGTGAGGATTAGGTAGTGGTTTTTGTTAGTCGTTCGTTGTTCGGGGGATGTATAGAGGTTGGGGCTCTTTTGTTTCTGGTGTATAATTTGTGTGCTTATAGACCGCAGACGCGGACGCTGGGGGGGCTTTTGTACAGACAGGAAAGAGGTAGTAGTAACGTTTGACAGACTTGGATTCCCTCTTCTGTTTTACTGGTATGCGTTTAGCGTAGAGATACCCCCGTACCCCATGATCAATCAAGAGAGAATTCTGGTTGAATATGATTACATGATTTCTTTCTTTTCCTTGACTATTCTGTTGGATTTTCGAAGTAGACCATGGCTCCTCCGGTACTGCCCTCCGAGGCTAGTGTCAACCAGCATCTCTACTATACTCCCTTATGGTAAATTCTTTTTCCCGACGTTTTTAAAGCCTTAGACTAGACCCGTGCACGTTCGCTGATCGGTGAGAATCCTGCACCGTAGGCCCAAAAAAGCCCTCTTAGCCATCCTCACGGTAGAGACACAAGACACCGAGCCAGTGACTACACCAACGCTTTACCCCAACTACACCGACCCTTCAAATCACCCCCGTCCAAAGATACAAACTGTCTAGCGCGTGAAAAAGGAACAAAACAGTGTAATTGACAAGCAGTAAAAAAATCTCGCGGCCGTTACATGACGCAGCCCTGCAACTCAGACAACAACAAAATAAACGATGTGGACACAACTGTCACAGCGAGACGGAGGTGGCAACAGACAAATAACAATGGAGGCACGAATCGAGACACAAGCGGTAGCTTGGGACTGGTAGGCGGAGTAGCCTGGTATTGGAACTTTAAACCTCTTGTATACTCACGAGGAACATTCCTCAGGCGTGGGGGGGAAAAAACATTGCGGATGCGATGAACAACTTGGCGAGGCGACCTAGTGCTTTTTAGTAATTACCTGGCTGCCTATACTCTTTTAAAACCACTCCTTGGATATAGACTTCGTCGTCGTCGTCGTCGTCGTCCAGTATATATAGCGGCTATAGGCCACGTTAGATTGTATCGTGCCAGTCTTATGGTCGAAGGCCTGTGTGCTATTTTCTCACGGCATATAGTATTAAGCACAACACGGCATGAAATGCAGCGTTGCTAGTTTTCTTAAAAGTAGAGCTCTAAGAAACGTATATACAGCCAGCACTTGTACGCGTTCTCTTTTCTACCCCGCGCTATATTCTTTTATGTTCCGTATCTAATCATCAGGAAAGCACATCCATTTTTCATACCCGAGATGGTAGTAATCTTTTAAATTCTTTTGTTTCCTTTTCGAAGGTTTCGAAAGCTTAATCTAATTAGCGTTCTTTTCCTATCCTGTCCTGCTCCATCTCTTCTTGTACGTGCTGTACCTCTAATTTCCCAATCTAAAAGACAAAACTGCAAAAACCCAAATCCCCATATTATGTCTGCGCCGCCCAAAAATCCGTCCAGTCCGTGTCTACCTTTACCAATAGCCTTGTTCCCAATAGTCTAGTAAGCAATCGGCCGTGACAAAACCATAAAAGAAGAAGATGGGGTATCGTCGTCCGTCATCGTAACGCTTTCAACCAACCCATTCCTTTCCTTTCTTTCTTTCTTTCTTTCTCCCTTTCTCTCTTTCTCTCTCTCCATCAAGCAGTTTCCCAACACTCTGACCTGTTTCCGTAAAGGAAAAAATTGCTGTCCCCCAACCTGGTGTCGTCGTCGTCGAAGCCAAGACAAGCACCACCACCCAAAGAAGCGCCTCGCTGATAACAACAACAACAAAAAAACAAAGCCACCAAGAACCCAACAACGAAACGAAACGAAACGAAACGAAACGAAAGAAGAGCACAAAAACAGCCAACCGACCGATTCGATCACCGCACCGTCCTCGCCAAAAACGCAAAATGCCCCCCGACGACGGGCCTGGCGCGAAAAGTCGAATGGCCCGGACTGGCCATGCCCGAGTTCTTGCCCATGACGAAGAAGCGATCGCAAAACGCGACGGCGTTGAGCCGGTTCGCCAAGAAGGCGTGGATGTCGTCGATGAACGACTCGCCCACCGCGCTCTTCGCGTTGGCGCCCGCGGTGGCGCCGGCGAAGGCCATCCAGTTGCTGGAGCCGTAGTCGCCGCGGGAGTCGATGGGCAAGCCGATGGCGTGGTATTCGTCGGAGCCGGCGTCGGCGTCGTTGTCGCGGTGCGGGGAGGCGGACGAGGCGGCGAAGGCGGCGTGGAGGAGGGTGGCGTTGGCGCGGAGGGTGCGGTAGTACGAGCTCTGGAGGTCGATGATGTCGGAGGAGAAGGTTTCGAGGCCCAAGAGGACGTCCGGGTACAGGTTGAAGGCCGTGGTCCACGACTCGTCGTGGCCGTAGCGCAGGGTGAGGTGCGAGCCGTCGGAGGAGAGGCCGTGGTCTTTGTTTGCGATCTTCTTGGCCATGTCGCGCGCGGATGTGGTTGCCGTCTTGTTGTCGTACATGGCGCCATAAGCGGCGAGGCCAACGGCGGCCTTGATGGCGAGGTTGGTCTGGTTGGGGAGCGGGCCGGCGCCGTCGTTGGTCGAGAGCTGGTTTTCCGGCTTGAGCCCGTTGCGCTCGAGGTAGGTGGCGTAACCGGTGAAGAGCTTCTTGTGGTCCTTCACGAACCGGTCGGCTTCGTCGCGGTTTGTGGCAGCCTTGTGGTACATGCGGGCCAGGATGAGCAGGTTGCCCGACGACTCGAGCGGCATGGATTCGCTGTGGCCGTTGTCGTGGCCCACGGCGCGGGGGTATCCTCCGTCCTGGAACCCGCGGTCGCCCAGGTCGTGCACGGCCCACGGATGCGGCCAGCCGCCGGTTTCCAGGTAAATAGCGATGGGCCGAAGCATCAGACGGATGTAACCGGGGCTCAGCCAGTAGAACAGCGGCGATGCGGGCATGATGATGTCGAGGGTCTGGATGTCGCCGTTGGATGAGATCTCTTTCATCCAAACGTTGGCCTGGCTGGTGTCCTTGGACTTGTACGGGATGGTGACGTCCATGGCGCCGAAGACCTGGCGCAGAGAGAGGGTGGTGATGTCCGAGTAGTTCTGGCCTCCCACCTGCATGGATTCGCTCACGACCTTGTTGTCCAAGCTCGTGCACGAGTCCTGGGTGGCGTCCAAGGCATCGAAAGCGTCCGACACGGCGTTGACAAGCTGTTCCGTCTTGGGGTATTTTGCGCGGTAGAAGTAGGTTTCGTCGCTTCCGTAGAAATTGATTGCCTTGTCGCGCGTCATACCGACGCCGAACACGGCCTTATTTTCTTTGCTGATCTTGCCAAGGTCGTGGGCATAGGCAGACACGGGATTGTTGCTGCCTTGGTACTTGGGGGCGTCGGCTTTGAGTGCTCCCAGCTCAAGCTTGTCGACAAAAGTTTTACGAACATCGTCACGGGCCCCAAAGCTCATGGTCATGACGGACCCGTCCTGAGCGGCGGAAGCGTAGAAGACCTGGCCCCATTTTGCCATGTTGTCATTCTCCCTGTAGACATCGCCCGACTCGCGATCCCAGGTCCACATGTGCGTGGAGCCCTCGGTGGATTTCGAAAGGGCGATGTCCGAGGGAGCTTCGGCAGCACCGAGCCATTCGTGGCCGATGTCCGAGTAAATCTTGACATCCGGCTGGCCCGACTTGGGACGGGCAGTGACGGTGAGGAAGCTGAGCGGGAGACTCTGCTGCCTCAGGCTTGCATCGTCGGTGCCGGGGAAGACGGGGGAGAGGAATGAAAGGGTGAAGGTGGCGTGTCCGGCGGTCAGGTTGAAGTCGGTCCGGGTGGAAGTGTACTCGGCGCCATCGACGACGGCGGCGGTGACGTTGCCCTGCGGGTTGGGCATTCCGAACAAGCTGTACAGTTCATCGTCGACCTGGGCCATGACGCTCCATCCCAGCTTTTGGCCGCGCCAGAATTCGGCTTGGCGGCGCGGCAGTTGCAGGGCCTCACCTCCGGGGATCCATGCTGAGAGGTAGGGGTTTCTGACAGCCAGTGGGTAGGCGGGAGGCAGGATGGGGTTGAAGCCGTGGGGCTGCTGGGGGGCGGCGGGGGCGGTTGAAGTTTCGTGCGACAGGACGACGCTGAGCACGGCGGAAAGAACTATGCAGACGGTGACGAGCATGATGAGGGCGATGAGGATTGGGAGACGCCATCTTGGAGAGACACGATCCAGGTATAAGAGCTTCCACGACTTTGTTTGCTGGGGCGGGGTTTGGACGCCGGTTGGCGGTGTTGGACCCTGAGCGTGTTGCTCGGCCTTGGCAGGCGGGTGGGTGGTGAACAGAGACAACATGGCGCGCCGCCAGGTGGGCTTCGCCAAGGGCGTGTTGGAGTCGGCTGCGCCGCTGCTGTCTGGGGAGGGGGCCATGTTGAGTGCCGATTGCTGATGGAAGATGGGATAATGCGGCGGTGCGACGGACGGACTTGGGGGCCAGGGCTATTTATGGACTTCGTCGTGGGTCGACGCGAGCGCGGTGGCAGTTTGGCCCGCGGTCGACAGTGAAAAAGGGGAGCCGGCCGGGTTAGGACGGTGAGGACAGCATTGGTGGTAGTCGAGGGCAGAGGTGGATGTTTGCGGCGGCGGACGGGCGGGCGAGGGCGGGCGGGAGCGCTGCGAGTGCTGGGGTCTCCGGGGCGCGGAAGCGAGAGCGTGGCCGGGTGTGCAGATAAAGGTAGCGGGCAGCATGATTGTGTGATCCAGGGTTGAAACCGGCGGGAGGGCGGCTAATTTTAGCGCGCTGGACGCCGTTTCGCGTTTTGCGAGGGCAGAGAGGTGTTGTCGAGCAGATCAGCGACAGCAATCTGATCTAGACTGAAGTGGGAACTGGCCAGCGGGAGCTAATCTGGCGCCCCAACCCGCGGCCAAACCACCGCGAGCCGAACGCCCGCGCCCAGACCCTGTGCCCTGGCCCCGACAAGAGCGCGGGGTTGCATGGCCGAGCAGGCGAGAGTGAGGCGCGCCCCGCGCCAAGCGTGGGCAGGTCGCAGCCCCCTCTCGGCGCAGCTAATGTGAGAGCAGCACGAGCAGCTGGGAGCAGCATGGCATTTGTGGGGAACCAGGGAAACAGGCCCTCTCCGCTCTGAGCAGCACCAAGCGCCAGCGCCAGCGCCCCAGCGTCCCAGCGCCGCCGCCCAAGCATGGAAGCAAGCAAGCCAGCGCCCCGGCGGGGACCTGCAGGGCAACTCCGCCGATTGAGGCTGGTCACGTGTGCTGCACTCGCCGCTCAACACCTCCGCACTTCGCTCACGCGAGTCGCGCCGCCCCTCGCCCCGGACGCGCTGCCCATTCTCCGCCCGCTCTCGTCTCCTTCTCCTTTTCTCTCTCTCTCTCTCTGCGCCTCTGCTCTCATTTAAAGCCGGCGCTCGTCTGCCTGTCCGCCGCACGCCAATTCCTCCCTCCTGCCTTGCATCAACCTAAAATCAGACACCCCGGCCCCGAACCCCCCCCGCATCGACCAGCATCCAGCCTGTTCGCCCCCAGCCCGGCAACACCGCCCCATCCTCCCCGAGCAGCCCACCAACGTCGCACGCCCATTCCGCTCGTCAATTGAGCCGCAATCCGCCTTTTTGCTTTTGACCGCATTCCTTCGTCCGTTTTTATATATACGTATATATATATAAATTCGCCCAGCGGACGGGCACTGCTGCATTGCTACCACCTCGTGCACGCTGCGACTCGAGCGCGAGAGCTCCAATCGTTCAGGCCAGCCCGGCCAACCAACCGATCAACCAAACCAAACCAACCGACCAACCAACCACATCGCCCGCCTTGAGCACACCCCGCCCCGTCCTGCTCGCACGCCATCCCCATCCGATGGCACACCAGCTTATTACCACCAGAGGAGGAGGAGGCGGCATCGTCACGCAGAGCCTCCCCCAGGCCCCCCACCAGGATGCCGCCCAGATCGCGCGCATCTGGATGAGTGGCGTGCCGCCGCCTGCGCGATCTGATCAGCAGCAGCCGCAGCCGCCGCAGCGTGAGCTTGAGCTAGTCGCCCCGCCGTGGAAGCAGGAAGAAGACGGCGCCGAAGAACCGGTGAAGAAGGCGCACCCGGGAGGCCCCACATCTGCAGGGTTGGATCGCCGCCCTGCCGCCGCTGATCAAACACAGCCGCCCTGTGCGGCGGCGCAGGCGCAGGCACAGGCGCAGGCACAGGCGGCCGACGGCAGGAACAACAATCACGACGGCGGCGATGACGACGGATCCGCCGTCTGCGCCGCCGATCCCAATGAGCAGCAGCTGCAGCAGCGCTACTCGCAGCTGCAGAGCCCGCTCTTCGGCCAGCTGCCCGCCGAGCTGCGGCTGCAGGTGTGGCGGCACGCGCTCACGCCCGCCGCCGACATCGACCGCCCCGCCGTGGCCGTCGGCCTGCTGGAGACGTGCCGGCGCGCCTACGACGAGACCAAGCTGCTGGTGTACGAGCTGAACCAGATACGCGCGCACCTGCTGCAGTCGCCGCTGCCTCCCAGCAGCAGCAGCACCGCCAACACCAAAACCCGCTGTACCACATCCTCGTCCCCCTCCCACTGGACCCGCCTCCTCTCCCCGCAGCAGCAGCGCCGCACCCACCTGAACCTGTACGTGCAGCCGGGCGCGTCCAGCGCCTGGGGCTGGAACCTGCTGCGGTGGACCAAGCTGGCGGGCTTCGCGCCGGCGACGCTGCAGCTGACGGTGTGGTTCGCGTCGGGCGCCAACTGGTGGCGGCACCACGTCGACGACATGGTCAAGAGCGTGCGCGCGATGCGGGGCCTGCGCCGGTGCGTCTTCGAGGTGCGCGTCGAGCTGGCGCGCTTCTTCGCCGAGGGCTTCGAGGAGCGATTGAGGGAGCTGAGGGCGAGAAGGATCGTGTTGGCGGACGGGAGCGTGTTGGTGAGCGGCGGTCGTGGTGGTGGTGGTGAGGGGGGAGGGGATGACGCGGCGCCGTTGGAGTATCGGGAGGGGAGTCGGGTCATGATGGATAATGTGTTTGGGAGGCCGGCGAGCTTGAGGGAGGAGGAGCAGCCGAGGTGGGTGCCGTGTCGGGATCCGAAGAAGGGTGCGGAGCGCGAGATGCTGGCTACCGTGATTAGGTGGGAGGCGGCTTGATCGCCGGTGGTCTCGTGGCTGATTTACGGTACGTGTGTGGGTTGGATTTGTTTGACTTCAGGCAGGAGGCGTTCTTGGCTTTGGACCCGGGCTCGCTGCGGCGTCGTTACGGAGTAGGATACGAGGAGCGATAATGTGGGGAAGCTTGGCATCTACTTCATCTTTTGGCGGAAGCGAATGGCGTTCATTGGATGGGCTGGCAGGGAATAACAGTAGGCCATGTGAATAATGTGCAGTCCGGTGATTGGAGAGACATAGCAAGACAGAGTATGGAGATGCGTTGAATTGGGAAAGGAGATGCTTGATAGTCGGATTGATTCGAAGACCTCGTCTGACCGTTGCTACACGCAAGCAAAGGTGGGTACGCGGTTCTCAACGCTCTATAGCATCGAGGCGGCCTTCGGCTCCTTGATCATTGGGTTCTATAATGCTCTTGAGCTAGTCAGCATCTTAGTATACCCGATCAAATGCCAGGTACCGGCCTATAGAGCTGCTCTTGTGCGAGTGTAATGTACTGCCATTGATGCCACCGCAGAAGGATGCTCGTAGCAGTAGTCGTCCTGAAATTAGCGCAGATGGGCATACTCACGCACGAACTCTCTCGCTCTTGTCCCGAGACGGATTGACGTGAGACGGACTGGGAGACGTCCAGCGTACAGCATCACGACGTCCTTGGCCGGGATTTCAATCCAACTCGTCCAACTCCTCGTCGGTCGGCTCCGTCAGCGTGTTTTTGAACCAGCACGCTTCGCTGAAAGGCATCACCCGGGCGATTACTTTGCCTCTTATCAGGGCCAGCGGTACCGGTCCGTAGAGCCTCGAGTCGCGCGAGTGCAACTGGTTGTCGCCCGCGACCCAGCAATGGCCTTCTGGGACCTGTTACAGCAAATGGTCCGTCAGCTGCTGATGTGTTTCCCATGTTTTTTCCTTTTTGTAAAAGTCCATCTCTCACGGCACCGAGAAAAAAGACAGAAAAGCCCATACCTGCACCATCAACCCCTGTCCCCTCTCGGCGCCAGGCGTGTCCCTGAGTACAAAATCGCCGGGCATGGCGATGACCCTCTTAATAATACCATAGTCCAAGCAGAAGGGGTTCTCGTAGCTGACCAGGTCGCCAACGACGATGTTGCGGCCGCGGCGGTGGAGCTTGCTGATGACAACGGCGTCGCCGAAGGCGCCCATGGTGGGGGCCATGGAGGGGCCGTAGGTGAACTTGACGTTGTAGCCGTGGGTCAAGACGATGACGTGCAGGCATAAGGCGGAGGCGAAGGTGTGGAAGAGCAGGCGCGGTGCTGTGAGCGGGAGGCTGCCGAAGCGGGGGAGTGGCATCTCTTTTTCTTTTCCCTCCTCTTTTTCGGTGTCCCCGTTTTTATCTCTATCTTCCTCTCTGGTCAATGGCGTGGGGAGGGGCGAAGCGGGATCGCTGGATGGTGGTCCTGGTGTTGGTGGTGATGACGCGCCAGTCGCAGGTGCAGACGGAAGTCCCGGCCGGCCCGGGTCAATCCCGGAAGATTGTTGGTTCTGGGGCTCTGGCCATCGTCCGACTCGTTTTGCAACGCCTTGAGCAACGGGAACATGCAACCCGGGCAGCTTTGCTTGAACGCGTTTTTGATTGTCTCCGTCGTGTTTGAAGCGAGCCTTATTCCCGTCCACGCTCTCCGGACGGTCACACCATTGCATCGCTGGTGGTTTTGCCACTCGGCAAACCTGCCTGACCGTGGTGACATTTCACTCCCACGGCAGGCGAGTCCTGTGGTTGTTCTCCACTGTAGTATTTTGTTGACATCTGCTAGTCTCTGGAGCCTGGGCTCTGTCCGTTCACCCCGCACCATGGCGTCCGAGGATGGTCGACTGCTAGCCGAATCCGTAAGAGGTAGACACCTTTCTTCATTCCTGCCGTGCCTCGCGTCCTACTAAGCCTGGGACAGGTCTGATCACATCCTATCATGAACTCAACCCAAACTGCGTGGACGAGCTCAGAGAGGAGCCAAGCCCTCTAGAGTTCATGAGATACGTCGCGCAAAACCGTCCCTTCGTCGTCAGAGGCGGGGCATCCTCGTGGAAGTCGACGCGGAAATGGAACGCGGCGTACCTAAAGGAAGTCATGGCAGGCCAGCACGTCAACGTCACCATCACCAACCAAGGCAATGCCGACGCCATCGTCGAGAGCGACGAAGACGGGAGCCTGATCTTCGTCGAGCCCTTCGAGAGGGAAGAGCTCTTCTCCGACGTCATCTCCAAGGTCCAGGCACAGGAGGCGCGCAAAGACGGCGAGGGCGGCGGAGCAGAGGTCATCAGATACGCGCAGACACGTTTGTCTCAGAAGCCTGATGGAGCCGCAGAGAAGAGAGCCTGACGAAGAGAGAAATCAGAAAACGACAACCTTCGCAACGAGTACGAAAGCCTCTTTGCCGACGTGCCGCGCGACATCCCCTTCGCGCGCATCGCCCTGCAGCAGCGCGATGGGCCCGACGCCGTCAACTTCTGGCTCGGCTCGTCGCGCAGCACCACGTCGTTGCACAAGGACAACTACGAGAACCTCTACGTCCAGGTCCTCGGCCGCAAGCACTTCACCCTCCTGCCGCCCGTCGAGGCCGCCTGCGTCAACGAGCAGCCCGTGCCAGCCGCCAAGTACGTTCCGAGGACGTCTGCGGAGGAGGTGCTTGAAGAGGGGGACCTGCACCATCTCCGCGTGCAGATGGCGAGTCCTGCGAAGACGGTCAATTGGGCGCTCTGGGATCCGGATCAGCCCGAAGTCAGGCCCACGGCCTTTTCGAAGCTTTCGCAGCCGGTCAGGGTCACGCTTGAGCCTGGCGATATGTTGTATCTGCCGGCCATGTGGTGAGCAGTCTTCCACTTCCCCGCAGTGCTTGACGCTGAGCTTCTGCAGGTATCACAAAGTAGCGCAGAGTTGCTCCGACGAGGGCATCTGCGTCGCGGTGAATTACTGGTGAGTGCCACTTGGGCGAGAAAACGATCAAAAGTGTGTTGGCGCTTACACGCCTGCAGGTATGACATGGATTTCAGCGGGCCGTTCTGGTCACTGTTTTCGTTTGCTCGGAGCGTGGGCGGAATTGCGAACGGCCATCCTTTGACGGAAAGGGGGGCAGACGATTCTTAGACGTTGCTAGAGGATGTTTGTTGTTTGCTCCGCACTTGTAGAACTGCAGACACGGTTATAGGCACGTTACTGGCTACCCGACGATATGCGCCATGGTTCAGGCGGGGCTGGGGTCCGTGCGCTGGACGGTCGAAGAAGCGTCCATGTCATGAACGCATCACTTTTTCCAGCAAACAACCACCATCGCCAATTGGCACCACCCACCTCAACTCTTCGATCCAGCCTATCGCCGACGCACCGCCCCATCTTGTCTTGCTACCCGAGTCGGCTCCAGCGACCCAGCAAACCCCCGACGAACCGCAGACCGGGCTCGAGAAAAATTTCCACCTCGAGCCTTCCGCCGCAAGCGGGACGTCGACACTGCTGACCCAAGGCCACGCGCATCAAGCTTCCTCACGCATACCCACACAATAATACTACCTGCACCATGGCATCGCCATCAGAAGCGCCGTCTGCACCGCCGGACGTGCCCACGCCGGCGACCGACATGCTGCCCGCGGGCGAGCGCGAGGGCTACGCGAAGCTCACGCACCGGCTGTCCATCTGGCTGCTGGTCGTGTGCCCCGCCATCGCCCTGTTGCCGCCGCGCAAGCTGGACCTGTACACCGCCGGGCTGGGCGGCATGTCGCTTGTCGCGGCGGAGCACCTGGCGCGCGAGCGCACCGGCCGCACCATCCTGCAGCGCGTCAGCGGCGGCTTCGACAACGCGGTGCAGCCCGCCGACCACATGCCGACGGAGCGGGCGCGCCAGGTGCGCGAGATGCAGCTGCGGGCCAAGGAAGAACGCGAGGCGGTGCTGCGACAGGCGGGCCAGGAGCAGCAGGAGCGCAAGCAGCAGGCGCAGGCGCAGGCGCACGAGGACAAGGACGGCGTGCTGCAGCGCGTGTGGATGGGCGGCGAGACCGAGGGGTGGCGCGAGAGGAGATTGAAGGAGGAGCGCGAGGCGATTGAGGAGGGCAGAGGCTACGGGGACCTCATCATGGACCAGATCTGGGAGGTGTGGAATTGGGGCAGGGGCAACAAGGGCGACGGCAATGCCTCGGATTCGCAGAGCGGCAAGAATTAGGACTCGTCGCGTCATCTCGCTGCGGCGCGCGCCCTCATTACGGCTACACAGCTCGCCGGGCACGGCCCCCCTCCCAGCCGGCCGCCGGTCTGGAGACGGCGTCGTCCCGCGCGCGAGGCGAGGTGGAGTCGCGGGCAGAGCACGTCGAACGGCCGGCACGCGGCGGGCGGGTGTAGATATTAATCGCGCGTAAGAGACTCCGCTCACTCACAGGTCGGCCTGGTCGCTAACGTGCTGCTGAAGTGCGCCCGAGGCCGTGCGCGGCGTGAGCTCGAGCGTGGGTGCGTGGTCCCCGCTGGTGCCATGTCTCCTGTGCTCCTATCACCGCCCCTATCCCGCAGCCTGCAGCACACCTTAAGTCCAAGGCCAGACAAGGGCCGTCCCACCAACCCCGCGACGCTCATTCGTGCGTGTTGATGACGGAATCGGCGGCGGCCTCGAAGCACCAGGTTCCCGGCAGCATCTCCTCCTCCATCGTCCACCGGTATGCAACCCCCCGCACACCCTGTCCCCGGCCCGCCGTCCCCCATTACCGCCTCTTCCGCGAGAGCCTGTCTACCTCCGGCTCGGATCGCGGCCGAGCGCCGGTCCCATGGTCCCATGGCCCAGGACGCCCCACGCGCGCCAGCAACGGGGCGTCCGGCACCACGCCAAAACCGCGTTTGCGTTTCGGCTAGCAGACGCCGCCCGATGCAATTATACATTACCGTTGCCTCAAGTGCTAGATCCCTGACTCTGTGCCCGTCCTCCAGTGATTGATAAGGCCATGCCGCCGCCGGCACAATCCGCGCGCCCGACGTCCCTGTTCGCGGCCTCCTCGCTGCTCTCGCCGCTGTCCGCGACCGCCCCAAGCAGCAGCTGCGGCAGCAACAGTAACAGCTCCTCGTCGCCGTCTCCACAGCACCTCGAGCCACCCCAGCAGTCCGGATCCGCTATGAACCGCCTATCGCTCGACTCGGCGCTGATGCGCAAGAACCCCTTCGCCCGCGCCAACGCCAGCCAACTCTCCATCTCCACCGAGAGCCCCAGCGACCACGACATCGAGCCCGGCCTCAAGAGCGCGCCCCCCGTCCCGGACGGCCAGAAACGCCACAGCGCCAACTTTCCGCTGGCAGACCGCCTGCTGGCTTCCTTTTCCTCCGTCTCGCTGTCCTCCAGCAACGACGACCCGCCCATGCCGACCGACGCCGCCGCCGCCACCGGCGTCGGCTGCGAGGTGTCCGACGACGAGATGCAGGCCCTGCTGGAGCACGTCCGCCGCTCCGAGAACGAGCGCGCCCGCGCCGAGCACGAGCTGCAGCGCCGCGAGAAGGAGCTGGCCCGGGTCAAGAACGAACTGCGCAAGGCGGAGCGCGAGATCGAGGAGCTGCGCAACCGCCTGCGCCGCCACGAGCAGCACCGCGGCGCCCTCGACGGCACCCTCAACCCGGAGGAGCTCGGCGTGCTGCCGCCGCCCACCAGCCGCCACGACAGCCTCGACCCGAACCACACGAGAGCCAGCAGCTGTTCCACCACCGGTGCCGGCGCCGGCCCTACCGCCGCCACTTCGGTCCCCTCTCCCGTCGGCGAAAGCCCGTACTACGTCTCGGGCGAGGTCTACGGCGCCAGCACCAGCACCATGGACCTCAGCCCGACGACGGCCACGGCCACGGCCAACGCGACCCCGAGCCTGCGCCCGCTCAGCTGCAGCGCCGCCCTCCCCCCGCGCTTCGGCAACGGCTCCAGCCCGCGCCTGCAGACGCAGCCGTCCATGACGTCCATCAGCGAAGCCATCCCCGCCGCCGCCGCCGCCGCATCCTCCTCGGGCAGCCCCGTCGACCAGCACGAATACTCGCCTTCTTACCCCCAGGCCACCGAGGAGAACCCCTACCAGTACCGCCCGTACCAGTTCCCTCCCCCAACCACCACCACCATCCCCCAAGCCGGCGAGCACTACGAGCACCACCAACACCAACAGCACGCCGCCGACATCGCCGCCGCCGCCGCCGCCCTCGAAGGCAACGCCCCTCCCATCCCCGGCGACGACGCCGCCCACGGCGCGTCCAAGAGCGGCAGCGGCCGCCGCTTCCTGCGTTCCCGCCACGGCAAAGAAAAATCGGCGTCGGCGCCCCGTCCGAAGAGCTCGTATGCCGGCGCCGGCGCGCCGCAAGAGGGCGGGCTCAAGATCAAGGAGAAGAAGTCGGCGGGCCGCCTGCGTGAGAAGTTCTCGCGCATGTCGCTGTTTGGCGGGAAGAGGGATGATGCTGCTGCCCCCGCTGGCGGTGCTGGTGTTCCGTCTGAGCCTGTGCCGGCTGTGCCGGCTATGGAGGCGTAAAAAGGGAAAGTGGGAAGGGGGGAAAAGGGAAGGTTGAGGTTGAGGTTGAGGTTTATACCCGCTTTTGTTTTGTATGTACAATGAAAAGAGAATTAATCGTGCCGATGCGAGGAGAAGCAAAAGCAAAGCAGAGCAGAGCAGCGGAGATGGGTGTACACGTTATTTAGAGAGATACCACAGCAAAGGCCCAGCGGGAAGTGTAAGTTTCTTATTTTTTTGTATATATATACAACTCCAACTGATGGGAAGTACTCATGCCGGGGAAGGGGGGAGGAGTAGTTGGCGTTTCTCCTTGTTTCAACTTTTTGTTTTGCTCTCATTGCGATTGGAGTTTTTCCCCTTTTATGTATATTTTTTTAGGGAGGGGGTGGGGATGTCTGATATCTGGTAGAAGGGAAGGGGGGCGTACGGCGCGCGACTTTGGGTGTTTATTGGATAGGGAAAGGCGAAGCCTTTGTCTTTTTTTAACGAAATGTTGAAACTATTAACTGTAACCATTATTCCCCCTCTTTGCGCGCGCGCTCTGTCTGTCCGTCTATCTATTTCTCGTATATATGTATTCCTTCTTAACTCCCTTGTCTTGGCATACTACTCATGACAAACATATATACACTTAATACTTTTTTTTCTCATATTTATGACCGCGATGTTCGTATTCTCCTATTTGGCGAATCGCTCATTTCCACCTCGTGGCTGACGCACATCTGGATGATTTGTTGGACCTCTTTGTTCTGCGGTCTCGTGTCTTCTATTACCCTTGTCGACACAAATACACATACACATACACACGCTCTCTCCCGTCCGCTTTACAACGAGAAAAGGATTTGTTTTTCATAGTTTTTAAATTCCCATCTACCTAATTGATATCTGAGAGGAAAAGGAGACCGCCTTTCTTCTAATTAGTAATTACATCTTATTTACCTATTCCTTTTTGTAAAAATTTATCTAGATGTAAACCGAACGTCCAGCTCAACACACACACAGACACACAGACACAAATTTTTCCCGGTTGCAAGTTTCTGCAAAACTCCTCTTTCCCTCCCTCCCCCCAATTCCTCCTCCTCCTCCTCCTCCTCCTCCTCCTTAGTTGTAACAATACTCAGCCAAACACACATCACACTCGTCCGGCAGCGCCTCGCCGCTCTTCCTGACCATGATGCCGCACGCCAGGCACGCCGGCCAGCGAGCGTCGCCGCCTTGTGTCGCCACCTCCTGACCGTTGGCGATCATGCCTATCAAGCAAAAAAAGAGATTGTCAGTACCGAAGTGATGCGCCTCTCACTCTCGCTCCAAAACAAGGGGGATGATGGAAAGGAGAGGGACGTGGGGGGAAACAAGAAAAAAAAATTGTCTATTGGATAGAGTTGGAAGGAAGAGGAGGAGTAAAACTCACCACTCGTCTCGTTGCTCGAATACTGCAACTTCAGCGTCGCGACGTTGCTGTCGAACGTGAAATTGTTGTTCGGCACCCACAAGATCGTCAGCACATCCGACGTCGCGTTGCAGCCGAAAAACGTCGGCCGCTTGTTCAAGCCCTCGGCGACGAAGACGTCCGGGGTGGGGATGTCGGGCATGCGCGAGTTGGCGCCCAGCTGGGCCGTGGCCTGGGTCCACGTGTTGCGGATCTCGGTGCCGTTGGGCCAGTTGTCGTCCGTGTCGGCGGAATTGTCGTTGACGATGAGGACGTCGATCAGGTCGGCGGAGCGGTGCAGCAGCGGCCAGATGGGGTTGTTCTGGTTGGACACGCCGCCGTCGACGAGGTGCAGCTCCTTCTGCGCCGTGGTGGCGTCGTCCGCCGCGGCGGGGTCGTAAAACGGGTTCGGGTACAGGGCGAACAGGTCGTTCGTCGCCAGCTCGTGCAGGTCGGACACGAGATCGGCGAGGTGCTCGCCCAGCTCCGTTTGGTTGATGTTGACGGGCAGGCACACGCTGTTGAAGAGCGAGGACGAGGTGCCGAAGACGAAGCCGAGGTTGTCGAAGCCGGTCACGCAGCTGCTGTTGCTGCTGTTGCTGGCGACGCCGTTGACCAAGGAAGAGCCCAGGTACTTGGCCGGGGTGAAGGCGGCCACGCCCGCGTCCCACGAGCCAAACTCGTAGGGGGTGAACTCGTACTGCGTCGCGTCGGCATCCGGGTCGCAGTCGCCCTCCCACGTCTTGACGCCGAGGGCGGTGATGATGGGGAACGGCACCTGGTGCGCAGCGAAACGTGAATCGTCGACGAGGCCGCTCAGGGTCTTGTTGACGCCGCCGTTGTCGCCGTACAGGAACTGGTATGACAGCAGCCGGGCCCAGGCGTCCGTCAGCGTCACGTCGAAGCCGGCGCCCTCCTTGGCCGCCAGATCGCCCACGATGTCGATGCTGCCGTCGGACGTGTCGGAGAGGAAGAGCGTCTTCTCGAGCATCGCGGACCAGAGGCCGTCCCGCAGCGACGACACGGTGGGCCAGTCGTTGCCCGCCAGCGACGACAGAAGCCACGAGCCGCCAGAGAGTCCGGCCTGGTAGGACAGTGCCTGGTAAAGACCCGAGGTCGACGTGTTGCTGTCGCGCGAGTCCAGGCCCTGGATCACGCCTGCGCCGGTAAGCATGCTGCGGTAGCCGCCGCCACTGACGGTCAGACCGATGGTCGGGAGGTCACTGCTGCTACTGTTGCTGTAGGCGGCATTGGTCTTGGTGAGCCAGGAAAGCAAGGCTGCCTGTGCAACAGGCTTGCGCGCCGAAATGTACGAAGCCTCATCGGTGCTCACGCCGTCGGCTGCGGAGCGGACAAGGCCAGTGGCGGGACATGGTGCGCTGACAGGGCCGTACGGAGAGGCGGCGAGGGCGGTGGTGAGAAGGATTGAAAGCGCCCCGAGGTTGACCATTGACGACATGATGGCCCCGCGAAAGGAAGGGTGTTGTTGCGACGGCTGCTGCTACCCCGCTCGATAAATACCTAGGCATGCTGAAACGGAGCTATATATTTAGGTCCCTCTAGAATCTACCGGGCATTGCGGAGTTATTGAAGTGTATAGATGCCGGGCCGTCGTACCTATCACTGGCAAGTCCGGCAGCACGCGGCGGCTGGCGCCGTGGGAGCGACGCGCACGCGGCAGTGATAGACGCGGCGTATGCCCAGAAGGGCGATGGAAACGAGATGGGCGATGGGCGAATCGGCAATTTAGAAGGAAAAAACGGGGACCCGCCTTGCCCTTTTCTGCCGCCCTACGCGAAATCTGCCATGGGTGCGCCGAGGGGCAGTCGAAAGATGTCAAGGCGCTCACACATTCTGGATCAGGGCGAAGGGGGGTCGTGAGGTTGCGTGTTTGCGAACAAGAAGGCCCGATCGGGGACGGCAGATTGATTACTAACATACGGGGAGACAATGGCAGGCCGTCCTGGGATATTCAGGTGGCAGACAGCATGTAGACTTGGCTCGGGCGTCTCGTCTCCCATCCGCCGCAACTTCCTAAAACAGGATGAGGCGCGGCCGGACGTAGTACATGGACATGTCCGCCGAGGCACCGCACGTGAGAGCGTGGGGACTTAGCGTGTGACGGGCAGGCGGCATGCCTGCATATGTCATTTCCACATTTACAGTTTCGACTTCAGCAGATTGGCAATCATCTCGCGGCCGGTTATCCTGGTGGTGGCCCACAGGGTAGGGAAGTCGAGAGTGCTGGAGAAGGTGTCGGCGTAGCCAAAGAAGAGCATGGGCGGGATCCAGCCGCGGGCGTACTCCATGGCGAAGCACGACGAGTCCATCTTGTACTGCTTGACCTCGCCGCGGCGGAGGTGGTGCACGCTGCCGGCGGGGTAGACCTGGGTGTCTGGGTCAGCACAGGCTTCGGACATGGCGGCCTCGGTCAATACCTCGGGCTCGTATTCTCCAGGCACGTATGCGAGCTGGGTGCCGGTCAGGATGTTGAAGTAGTCGTCGGCCGTGTGGCGGCCACTGTGGCCCTCGGTGCCGATGGCGGTGCCTTTTGCCGTCAGTGTCTCGGGTCGCGTCTTCGCGGATTCACGGCCTACCGAAGATAATCAGGTACTCGGTGATGCCTGCAGTCGGTCAGCGCGCAGCCCCCTCTCGGACAAAGTCGGGCGAGCCTCACTGGCATGGATGATGTACATGGCACCCATGGCACCGCCGGCGTTGTTGAAGACCCACTCCTCGTCCAGGTTGACATAGCTGGTAAGATGGTCGCGGCCGGACAGCTCCGAGGTGATGTAGCTGACGATGGCTCTGGTGTCGTTGCCGTGGGCGGTGATGGCGCGGTTCGCAAGGTCGTGCAGGTCCTTGTGGTCAAAGATGTAGAAGGACTCGAGGTTCTTCTCCAGGTACGTGTAGAGGGGGAAGAACAAGGCGGCCAGGACGGCGACGATGCTGAGAGAGCGGATGGAAGCCATTGCGACGGACGGGACCGATGGGTTGCAACGAGATGCGGACAGGTCAATTGACTTGTAGTCGAGCACGCGGCGCGAAAGGAGAGGCCCGGGTGCCGAGTCGCGCGAAGGATGGCAGCTTTGCTGGGGGACGCGTTCAGGCCTTCTGCAGCAAACGCCGCCCCTTCACCGCCTGCGACCGATCGTTGCCTTCTGCATTGCGACCACGCACCGCCGCCCCCGTTATTCGTCACTGGTACGAGTGACTGCCAGCGCACTCCGCCGTCTCCGGCACCGAAGCAGCGCATTTTGCAGACTGACACTTGGCAGATCGACACATTTAATTCTGCGCAACATGGACTTCAAAATCCTAATCATCATGATCGTCATGCCCAAGAAACAGCAGATCAGAAAGTCTGCTTCACCAACTCCTCGCTAAACTTCCAAAGCCTGTCCGCAATCTCCACATCAACCGCATAGGGTTCCGCATCCTTGAGCTGGCAGTCATCGAGGTAGATGCTGCTGGCGCTCTTGACATCTGTTTTGTTTTCTCATCAGCTTGACCGTCCACTGGCCATCCGTCATCGCCGAAGCACTCACCCTTCAGCGCAGGATCCAGCGCGGCAACCATGGTCGTGGCCGCACCCTCATCGGTGCTCGCCTTGGGGTTGAGCGCACCCAAGAAGCTATCCAGCGCGTCTTGGGACTCCACGCTCCTGCCGACCTCGGTGAAGATGGCTTAATTTTCATCAAAGTCAGCAAAGAAGAACGATGCCTCGATGGACGACGGTAAAGACCTACTCCCCGGATGCACCACGTACGCCACCACCCCGGTCCCCTTCAACACGCGCTCGTTCAGCCCCACCGTGAACAGCACGTTCGCCGTCTTGCTCTGCCCGTACGCGGAGAACCCCACGTAGCCGTCGCGCGGCTCGACCAGCGCCTTGGGCATGGCGTCCGGCATCGGCCGCATCTCCTCTTCGGCCGGCACGGGCTTGCCCTCGATGTTGTGGTCGTGGAACCGGAACGGCTGGACGCGGTGGCCCTCGCTGGTGAGGCTGACCACGCGCGTCGCGCCCGCTTCCTTCTTCCCATCCGCCGCGGCCGCGGCGACGAGCTCGTCCCGCAGCAGGTTGGTCAGCAGGAACGGGCCGATGTGGTTGCCGGCGAGCTGGCTCTCGATGCCCTCGGGCGAGTAGGTGCGCTGCTCGAGGAAGAAGCCGGCGTTGTTGACGAGCACGTCGATGCGCGTGGTCAGCGCCTTGATGTCCGCCGCCGCCCGCCGCACCGTCGCCTGCGACGTGAGGTCGACGAGCACCGACGTGACGGCCGCCGCGGGCAGCGACGGGTTGGCCGCGCGGATGTCGGATATCACGTCGTCGAGCTTGGACTGCGTGCGCGACACGAGGATGAGGAGGGATGGGTTCTGCCGCGCGAAGGCGAGGGCCGTCGCCCCGCCGAGGCCGCCGCGGGAGACGCCGGTGACGACGACTGTGGGGAGGGGGGGTTTGTTAGGAGGGTCGGCGAAGCGGGGAGGGAGGGAGAGAGGGAGGGAGGGGGGGGAATCCGGGTTTCGTACCAACGCGGCCTTTGATTTGGCTTGCGAATGTGTCTGCTACCTCGCTGGCCTTGGTGGCATGGCCGAAATCAGGATGAGAAGTCATTGTTCTGGTTTGTGCACTTGATCATGTGTTGCAGCTGCTAACTCGAGCATTCCATCACCAGCGAATTCGTGAGGCTTATATAGCTCCATCATCATGCTAGGTGCATTAGTAGTATCTGTGGAGAAGAGTAAGCGTCTGGGATTGGCACTGCATGTGGGTAGTGCTAACCGAACATAGGACGGGGGGGCCAATCACAGCCCACCGCATTGGAAATCCAGAGCGTCTTTTGCATCCCTCGGGATCTTTTCTGCATTCAGTAATTCTCCGTGTCCACCTCAGTCCTAGATTTCTCGTATCCGGTAGCTTAACCGCCTGCGAGTGATGAGGAAGAAGAGAGTTCGCACGACTGGTGACTATGCGGGCGAACTTTCGTCCGGAGACTACATCATGAGTGGCCCGTTTGTAATCCTGGCGGAACTAGTCAAGTGAGGTGCCTCTAGCTTGCTTATTATTTCCGTCTAGATCCTTCTGCCATCTGACAAGGTACTCCGCATTGATACTGCTGATCCCAAGCTTCTTGGCTCGAGGCTGCTGATGCCCTCTCACTTTGGTGAGAGACCCGAGCAAAGGGGTCCAATGACAATGCCGTGTCAGGATGAGTTTCGTTTGTGTGATATGATGCAACCATCTTGGCGTTCGTGCTGATGACTCTGGGCCCGAAGAGAGCCGGAATCGACATGGGATTTGAGACAGGCCAAGCTTTGGCTGACAATTTTCCTATCTTGCTATCATCTCTCGAGTGGTCTGATCTTTATCCTCCGCATCCATAGCAATGACGTAGAGTGGTTTTTTAGTGCGTGTCTGCACCAGTCCATGAACTATTCTGAGGTTCAGCTATTTACCATTCTGACCCCTCCTTTTTCCCTTTAATAATACTCATTGGTTAAGATTTCAAGCCACCCTCGAGACCAGTATGTCTACTGCTGTGAGCTCGCTGAAGCTTATTTCATGCGAAAAGTGATTGATCTCTCTGTCTCCTGTCTTGCCTCGATCAAAGTTTCGTGCTGTTCGTGCAAAGCAGGTGAAATTATGAAAGAGAAACTAAAAGTAAGTTGCCCCCTTTCTTTCCACCCGAATTGTTTTTTTTTTTGAGTAAGCCATTGCTTCGTCTCAGGTTGCAGCTACGGATCTTCCTGTCCACATAGCTCACTCCCATGCACTCCTGTGGGCAGTGGAGGAAGCAGATAAAGAGACACCATCGTCGCCGTCTCCATCGGGCTGCTCTCCGGACATGTAGTATGCATCAGCACGGCGCATAGGGGCCGCCGGCTCTTTGGGGGACTGCATAAACGCATCCGATCTGTAACGCTTCTTGTATAGCTCATCATCGATAAGCTGGGCCGCAACATTCTCGAGACGCTTGCTCTTCTTCTTTCTGGCCTTCTCTCCGACAAAGGTTGCATCGTTTTCCTTGGCAAGAGTAGTCGAAGCGGTAGAAGTCTTCTCACGAGCCGGCGCGAATGACTTCTCAGTCATTTCCGGTACGTAATCCTGGAACGGCTGCGGGTAGATGTTTGCTGTGGAGTGGTAGACTTTCCTGGACTTTGACAGCGGAACAGCCAGATTCATGTTGTCTTGGATGTGGGGACCACGGCTGGAGCCACGACTGACTTCGTCCCAGGAACGACCAATCTGCGTGTTGTTTCCAAAGCCCTCCCTGGGCCAGTCAAGAGGAAGAGTGGACTCGTACTTGATCATTCCAATCTTGTATCCACTACCACGTTCCTTCTTATCATGCTTCTTGTCGACGTACCTATCTTGGCGGTCTGCGAGAGTGAAGTCAGGGCGCTGTGCATCCTTGGCCCCGAGGAATCCTCCAGAGAATTGGTCAATGGCCTGTCCGAAACGATCAGAACGGGAGATGCCGCATTCAGAAGTGGGCGCCTCGCAGTGGGCGACAAGCGCAGTGGTGCTCCTGAATAGCTTCAGACATTGCGGGCATCGCTGCTGAGAGATACCATGGATCGTGTTGATGTGCTCCTCCAGCATAAAAGGCTCCTGGAAGTTGTCATCACACTGCGGAAACGGGCAGGCGTACATCTCGATGACAGGGTTGTAGAAGCGTTCGGGATTGTAGTCCTTGTGGGTTGGGTCCCAGTAGCGCTGCATGAGCATGTTGGTGGAGTTTGCACTTTCATACTCCAGCTCCCTGGCCTTCAATGCAGCGTCCCACTCGTGTGTGAGCGGAGTTTTCTGTGCTCCGGCGAATAGGGTTTCTGACGCGCGAGGCTTGGTCCATACTTGCGATGCCAAATCTGTGGGACCCTTTTCTGATGTGGAAGGTCTCGCGGTAGAGTCTGAGGGTGACAGAGACGGAGCTTTGAGAGAGGGTACTCCACAGGATGGCAAACGAGCGCCACCACTGGATCCGGAAATTGACATACGACCCATGCTGCTGCTAAGATCGGTAGGACCAGAGGCCCTGCCGGTGTCCTGTGAAGGTAGCGCAGGCCAACGTTCGCCCACACGAGGCGCGTGAGGACCTCGAGGCTGCGCCCGCGGCTCCAATGGCTTTATGACAGAGCCGCCGGGTTGGAATGACTCGAGTGGGTTGGCCTTCTCTTCCTCATCAAGCAGAGAGGCCGATTCACTCAAGGAGATGCCGCCAGAAGTATCCGTATCATTGACTTGGAAATCAAACACTTTCGAGGTCATGACGTCCGGATCGCTCAAGAGCTTGTTGACCATATGCTTGTGCTGGATATTCGATTTGAACTGCTGGGCAGAGATCTTGCTGCAGTGGTCGAATTCCAAGTGCTCGATTAGAGCAGCGGCACGTACAAAGTGTTCGTTGCAGCCGATGCAGCGGATGTCCTGGTCGACAGGGTGAAGCTGCGACAAGCTGTTAGTACAGAGCTGCAGCGGCGGGTCTGGTTTACCTTACCTGTCTGATGTGACGGTCACGGCCGCTGGCAGACTTGAAATCCTGACCGCAGAACTTGCAGCAGAGGTGGACGATGGGCGAGGTTGCCTTGTGGTGTGTAAGGTCGTCCCAGTCTTTGGCTAGGTAGTCGCATTTTTTGCAGTAGTCGTGGTCGTCATCGGCATTGCAGTGCCTCATGCGAGCTTTGTCGGACGTGAAGGTCTGGCCGCAGCCAGGCTTAGGACATTTGACGTTCATGGTGGCGGTGTTGCCAGGTCGTTTGAACGGCGCGTGGGTGGGTGGTGAGGTTGCGGCGAGCAGAACAGCTGTCGAGTAAAGTTATTCGTGTGGAATCAGAGACCGGAAGGAGCCAGCCAGCAGAAGAAGGCATCCCGATTAGGCAGCAACCCAGGGTCCACCTCTTTCCTGGTTTGCTCCAACCACATCACTGGGCTGCGCCCAAATCAGCGCATCATACCCTGCGCTCCAACAAATGATGCTCAGAGTACGGTGAGGAAGGCGTGCCAGGAAATCCCCACAAGAGCGGGCTTGCGATCAGTTAAAGTGGCACAATGCGCGACGGGAGAATATCGACTCTGCCACGTGACCTTGATCCCAGGCGACGCTGGCTTCAATACCTCTTTTGCCTCACTTCCCGGTCTGGGAAACCGCGCGTAAACGAAATCAGCTGCAACGCTCGCGTAAGTGATAACACAAAGACTCCATTAACGATTATTCTATGGCTTCTTGCAGAATGCATATTGCTAGTTAGAAGTCCAGCTCCATATGGGGATACGGTTGTGCTTAGAAACGAGAGTACGGGAGCCTATCTGCGGTCAGAACTGAAGGGTCAGATGGGTACGTGAGACATACCACTTGCCGCGGAGCGTAATGACAGCCCAATCACCCTTCTCGTCGGTCTCCTTCTTTACAGAGGTGGAGAAAGAGATGGCGCTCATGATGCCGTCACCAAACTTCTCGTTGAGGACGGCCTTGTAAGCATAGCCGTAGTTCTGCACAATCTCGTACAGACGGTAGATGAGAGGCTCTCGCGGAGGCATCTCCAGGGTGCGGCCGCGGTCCGGGTGGCCAGCGAGCTGGCTCCGAAGCGTCTCGACGGGGATCCCGAGCAGCTCCGACAGGTTCTTGGTGTCCTCGTCGCTTGCGGCGGCCTGGCCGTAGAACAGCGCGGCGACGGCAACTTCTTCGCGGCCGAGCTTCTTGGCAATGGCCTCGAAGGAGAGGTTCTTCGCCTTCTTCGCCTCAAACAGAGTAGGGGAAGACTCGGGCAAGCGGGGGATGAGAGAGGCCTGTGGCTGTCAGTCTATGCACGTGCAGCATCGGCCACAGCACATACGTCAAGAGTGGTGATGGGGTGCTGCGAGGCCATTGCGGATGACTGATGGAAAAGGCGGTGCTGGTGGACGGCGAAAGCGGGGCGGGCAAGCCTGGCGGACAAGGGGAGCAGAGCGCGGGGAGCGATGCGGGTGGACAGCGATGCGGAGGCCATGGAGAGAGACGACGTATATATCCTTCTGCGCGATGCGGCTCAGTGATTCGAGGGGATCTGGGATGCAGAAGGAGGGGTAAGGTGCGGGTGCACGTGGGAGTATATGCCGGCTGGGCCAGCCGGGCATCGGGCTGCAGTACGCAGAAATGAGGTCATCACCCTTCTAGAAAAGCGTTGACGTCTGTTTGTCATCCTATCTCCACACTGCTCTCCGCGATCGCCAGGGCCGCTCGCCCGCTGGCGAATAATGGACCGTCTTGGGCGCCGCTGGTGGACGCTGGAGGTCTGTTAGGGGGCGCTAGGCGGCGCGGGTTGCCGGCTGCGGGGAGGAGCTCGGCAGAGCAGACAGCGAGATCAGGATTGACGATGGCGGCACCTTGGTGGTCAGGTCGCGTCCTCGGGCGCGCAGGAGCTCAGGGCAGCACGGCAGGGCGACGCCGCTGGGGGCAGCGCGATCACGGGCGGGAGCAGACGGGAGCAAGGATCAAGTGGGGTACGCGTTTTAAGGCCAATCGCCAAAAGTCGTGGCCGCGAGCACGATACGACCCCCTCAAGCCACGACCGGGCGGCGCAACACCACCGGTCCCGGCGCGCAACCCTCTCCTAACTGTCCCAGCAGCATCAATTCCTGGGTCGGCGTCCGCCACAGGCTTTTTGGCGCTGTCTGGACCCTGAACCGCGACTCAGCTTTCACGAGCCTGCCCTACAACTGTGGGGAGCGTCACCGCTTTCCGACCACCCGTTGATTGTCTCACCGCTGGACCCACCGTAAAGTTCGTGCACAGGCCGCTCCTCGAGCAACAATGCCCAATGATCAAGACGACCACCTGGCCTATGGAGACTACCATGGCGGCGCGCGCGACGAAAGTGGAGAGCGCGGCTTCGTCGGCCACTTTGGCCGCCGCATTCTTGGGGAGAGAGCTGAGGCTGAGCCGTCTGTGAGTAGTGCACCGCCGCAGCCCGCCGAGGATCATGACAAGCCCGCAGTCCACGTTGTTTCAGCTTGACTCCGCTGATCTGTTGTCCTCGTAGGATATAACTCCTGCGGACCCCCCACCGCACCACCGACCCTTCTCCCACCACCCCGCCGAGCCGCAGCAAGGCGAGCCTGACCACTACGAGCCCTATTCCACCCAGAAACCGCCCCCGATGGCTTCGTTCTTCAACAAGATCGGCGAGATGATCTCTGGCCACGAGGAGGAGGAGCCGACCACCCACGAGCAGGTCAGCGCCGTCGCCGCTGAGACTGCCCAGGAGGGCGCTCCCAAGTTCGCCGACCACCGCTATCTCAGCTTTGCTCCCGAGCGCCGTGACAACAACGTCAAGTGGTTCGTCGATGGCTGCGGCTACATGTGGGCTGTGTCTGAGGCGCTGGAGCACGCCAAGGAGTCCATCTGGATCCTCGATTGTGAGACGTCCGTTGTCGTGCGACGGTACACAGCGCTGACTCGCCTTAGGGTGGCTTTCCCCGGAGCTGTACCTGCGTCGCCCGCCCGCCAAGAACCAGATGTACCGCCTTGACCGCATGCTGCAGGCCGCTGCCGAGCGCGGCGTCAAGGTCAATGTCATCGTCTACAAGGAGGTCGAGCAGGCCCTGACCCGTAAGTACCTGAGCCCGTGGCTCCCTGGATATCTCCATTCCCTCTTCCCCGACTCGACCGACCCAGTTACCAAGGCGCTTGCCCGCGTCGGATTGGACGTCATATTCAAGTCTTTGGACTATGCTGAGGCAACGGACCCGCTGATTGCCCCGCCTGTTACAGTTTCCTCCAAGCACACCAAGCACCACCTCGAGGGCCTGCACCCCAACATCGCCGTTCAGCGTCACCCCGACCACTATGTCGACAGCAACACCCTCACACAAGATCTCATCGACGAGTTCAAGAACTTCAACTTGAGCGCCAAGGCCATTTCCACAGCTCCTTGGGATGCCTTCAAGGCCGTCTACGGTTCCACCGAAGACACCGTCCTTTTCTGGGCCCATCACGAGAAGCTGTGCATTGTCGATGGCAAGACCGTCTTCATGGGTGGTCTTGACCTCTGCTATGGCCGTTGGGATACCAACCAGCACCAAATCGCCGATGTCCATCCCGGCGACCTGAACGAGATCGTCTGGCCCGGTCAGGACTACAACAACGCTCGCATCATGGATTTCCAGGATGTTGAGAACTGGCAGAACAACAAGCTCGATCGTCAGGAGAGCTCTCGCATGGGCTGGTCCGACGTTGCTCTGAGCATGAACGGTCCCATCGTGGCGGATCTGCAGGAGCACTTCACCCAGCGGTGGAACTACATCTTCCACGAGAAGTACAAGATCAAGAACGACGGCAGGTTCCAGCGTCTGGACGTGAAGAAGCCCGCCGCTCGGCAAGAGGACAACGACCTTGCCTATGGCGAGGAGCAGGAGAGCGGCTACGGCTTCCGCAAGACCCTCACCAGCCTTTCGCACCACGCACACCACCAATTCGAGCGTGCTGAACACCACCTCGGCTATGGTCAGCAGGACAGCTCTGAGGGTCAGCACCAAATCGATTCGAACGACCGGGCCGGCACTGGTGAAGCTGCGATTCAACTGACTCGTAGCTGCGCTGAGTGGAGCCACGGCTGCACGGTTGAGGTACGTTTCAGACGGCTATCAGATTGTACATCAAGGCTAACCCATCGCAGCACTCGATCCAAAATGCGTACATCGAGAACATCAAGAACAGCAAGCATTTCATCTACATTGAAAACCAGTTCTTCATCACGGCAACATGCGAGGACCAGAAGCCCATCAAGAACATGATCGGTGCCGCCATCGTCGAGCGTGTTCTGCGCGCCCACAAGAACGGCGAGAAGTGGAAGGCCATCATCATGATTCCGGCTGTCCCTGCTTTCCCTGGAGACCTCAAGGCAGATGAGGCTTTGAGCACTCGCGCCATCATGGAGTTCCAGTACAAGTCGATCAACCGTGGTCACGGCAAGAGTATCTACGAGACCATCGCTGCCGAAGGCATCAACCCGTTGGAGTACATCCGCTTTTACAACCTTCGTAACTACGACAGACTCAACATCAGCGGCTCTCTTGAGAAAGCCGAGGAGAATGGCGGTGTGTCGTATGAAGACGCTCGTGACGAGCACGACCGCCGTACTGGCGGTCGCTACCAGGAGCGCGATGGTAGTGAGGACGGCTACCCCCGCGGTGATGATGAGGATGGCCGCTACGAGGATTACCAGCGTGGTGCCCGTAATCTCAGCCGGGACAGAGGCCTGGGCAGCGGGCGCTGGGACAGCGTTGCCGAGTGCTACATGCTTGGTGGCGAGGACATCAGGAATGTTCCCTGGTCCGGCACCATTGACGAGATTGACGCCTTCATCACCGAGGAGCTTTACATCCACTCGAAGCTTCTCATCGCTGATGACCGCGTCGTCATCTGCGGTTCCGCCAACCTCAATGACCGCAGTCAACTGGGCAACCACGACTCTGAAATTGCCGTCGTCATTGAAGACCCCACTCCCTGTGACTCGCTTATGGATGGTCGGGAGTGGCGTGCATCCAAGTTCGCCGCCAGTCTGCGTCGCCAGATTACGCGCAAGCATCTTGGCCTTCTCCCTGCGCAGGACTACAGGCGTCCCGATGAGAACTTCCGCCCGATCGGCGTTCCGAACATCTACGATTGGGGCAGCCGCGAGGACGAGCTCGTCGTCGATCCCGTGTCGGACGACTTCCTCAGCCTCTGGAACACCACGGCGAAGACCAACACCGACGCCTTTGCCGAGGTCTTCCACGCTGTGCCGTATGACGGCGTGCGTACCTGGGACCAGTACGACGAGTACTACGAGCGCTACTTCAAGGAAGACACTGCGGAGAAGGAGGAGAAGGACGAGGAGGCCAAGGAAGATGGGGGCAGGGAGGGCGCGCCTCGCCGGTACAAGCGTGGCCACGTCATTACCGAGAACTTTGCACCGGGTGAGGAGGGTGCCCGCCAGGTCAAGGACATTCTCAGCAGGGTTAGGGGCACGCTCGTCGAGATGCCGCTGCTCTTCCTCAAGGACGAGGACGTTGCGAAGAGCGGTGTTCAGCTGAATGCTTTCACCGAAGAGGTCTACACTTGAGCGTTGTGTACACTTGACCTATTCCGAATAGGGATGTTGTTGATGATTGTGGTTTAACCGAGGCCTCGGCCATCTTTCTCAAAAGCACGGCGCAGTATTTATTACAATACCATCTGTAGATGGAGGGCACGCGGCTCTGGAACTGGGCACTGCTAGGTCGTTTGACTGTACGTAACTGAAAGAATGATTTACGACTCTTGACTGTAGATGCCTCGGTATCATGACTTCTTTGTGTGCGTGAAGCATCGTGTTCGTTAGTGTCTTGGCAGGAGAAGAACAATACTACAATATCGGGGAACAATATCAAGATCCTAGTGATCGCTCGACGCAGAACTTCTTTATGCAGATATCGTTTGCTCGACGGCTGGAGGTGCCACTGGGGTTTCGGTCTCGGCCGAGGGTAGCACGTAGAGTCAAGAAAGTCTGAATGGCTGAATCATTCTGGCTAGGGGCGTTGCTGAGAGACGACCTTGAAAATAGCTATAGTCACCGAACCCTTTTTTTTTCGTGCATCGTCCTCATACCGTGATACAGCAAATTCTATCCTCTTTGACAATACTCCGAGAATCCTACGTTACTCCGCGAATCCTGGCAAATGGCACGCGGGGGCGGTACGGGCCAGTGATCAGCCTTCCTAGCGGTCTCCGTGCACCAGTGCAACAACGCAAAGTACAGCTTCATGGCCCACTATTTCCGACAAGCATCGCCACGTCATGATTGATGTTCCTGTTTGTCCAAAGTGGCCAATGGTTGCGAGGGAACAGGACAATACTAGTGGCGGGAGACAATACCAACTGGGGGAATACAATACCAACGCTCCCACTTCGCCAAGGCCTGAGACGGCCGTTCTTAGTTCAACGAGGCGCGGCCTACATGCATCTCCCAAAGAGACGGTAGCCAACAGGAGCTTCTTTTCGTCCAAGCGCACACCACGTGGCGAAGAGAAGGGTATGACCAGACGGCATTGGTAAGGGCTCGAGCAGTATAAAGAGTCCCTGCTTCCGGCAGAGAGGAGCCACTCACCCATCACCACACTCACTACGAACACCCGTTCTCAAGTAAGTTGCTGACAGACAAGCAAATCCGCAAAGGACAGATTGCTCACGTGAAGAAACAATCACAACAGACAAGCCCATCTCCAAACACTCAAGATGTACGCTGCTACTATCGCCCCGGTCAACTCCCAGAACGGCATCGCCAGCGGTGGCCACGGCTGCACCGTCATGAACACGGAGCCGGTCAACTTCCAGAACGGCATCGCCAGCGGCGGCCACGGCTGCACCGTCATGAACTCGGAGGAGCCGGTCAACTACCAGAACGGCATCGCTAGCGGTGGCCACGGCTGCACCATCATGTAAATGCAGCAACATTGCGCCAGACATGACGGTCTCGGTGCCGACGACCCCGCGCGCATACAGTGAAGATATCTGGTGAAGTGGAGGACGGAGAGGAGATATAGATACCAGCAACCCCGTTGTTCTTCTCATCTCTTGCTTCATCAGCGCGTCGGCAGGGCGGCATGGAGAGAATCGGTCGATTGTATAGGGAAAACGGATGGATGGATTCGTTTCTTTCGATGGGAGAGCCCAGGGTGCTTTACCCTTGGGCGATATATAGGCTTTTGTCATTTCGATGGGAATGCCGCTGGTGTTCTCGAGGCTGGATGATCGTTTCCTATTGGGGGCGCACCGTCTGGCCTAATTTACTTTGCTTCTCCTTTCTTCCCTGTGTTAGATACCATGCAGAAGCAGGGCACTGTCCTGCAGATAGTGGAACGCAGTGTCTTTGATTGCCTCTTGTGCGGAATGCCGGTAATTTATGTGTCAGCAGAAGTTCGAAACTGGAAGGTCTTGAGTCAACATGGCTGGTGCTTCTTAAGATTCAGTTACTGAATAGCGTGGAGATGGTCATATAGCGCGGCGATCACCCGCTGCCAGAGCCTTGGGTTGCGCACAGGGCGTCTATCAGGTAAAAAAAAAAAAAAAAGTTTCCGGTGCTGGCGTAGATGGCGGATTACCAGATTTGGTAGCCGACGATACAGAAGCCTCTTACTGGACGAATACCCCTTTTCCTTCTCGGAAAACATCAGGCGGTGAGGGGCGGTGGGCAGAAGCGGAGACGAAGGTCCCTCGAGTCGGACAAGGCGGAGTGTTTGATACGCTTGTTCTCCGGGTAGGGCTGAGTGGCTGGACGCGACACGGGCGATGGTCGGCTGTCAAGTAGGTTCGGAAGGGTGCCACCCTCAGAGAAGCGGATGCTGGCTGTCGAAGAGAGGCGACGGAGCGGGCAGAGGGGACAGCGGATGGCGAAGCACGGCGGGCGGAGGGGTGGAGAAGCGCGGGAATCTTGTTATCGTTATTTCCGCGGCGAGATGCGGCACCGGCGTCAGATCGCTGGGCCATCACGTGGAGCTGCGCCACCCGATCCAAGGCACAGCAGGCGGTGCTTCCCATTCGACACCTGCAGCCGCTGGCGCTACCCAGACATCCTCCACGCCTCCAGCCTCCCGCTCGCCGCCGCCGACGCGTCGCTCTGCCGCTGAAACGCATCGCAGACAAGCCCCGCCAGAGCGACCCGCCAGAGCGACCCGCCCCAGAGACGCCCGGCAAACGCCATGACGAGCCGCAGCTGAGCCAGACACCGCCGAGCGCATCCGCCTACACGCCTCCAGACCTGCATTTCTCCCTAACCAAGCCCCCTAATCACCCTCCCTGCTGCCGATTCCGCTAGAACCACCCGCTTCCTCCCGCCACGACCCGCATTCATACTCGACCACCACCGCGCCTCCCGGCCAAGCGCCATGGCCACGCTCGCTGAACTCGCGCCCTCACCACCGCACTCGCCCTCCCTCGCCATGCGTCGCAAGAGCTGGGCCCGCCGCTGCGAGCGCTACTGCTGCAACGTCGTTTCATACTTCCCGCTGTGCATTGTCTATGGCCTCACCACCTGGGCTGTGTGGGTCTCGTACAAGATCGGCGTGCAGGAGAAGCTCAGCACAAACAGAGGTATCCCTCCACCTGCTCCCTGAACCCGTCCCTCTTGGCTGACCAGCCTCTCGCGAGTCCCAGACTACTTCTGCACCTGGCTGGCCGTGGTCCTGTACGCCATGGCCAATTGGTGCTACACCACCGCCGTCTTCAGGGACCCCGGTTCGCCCGTCGACCAGACCAAGGGCGGCTACAACTCGCTGCCCACCCAGGAGCTGTCGCGCCCCTACACCTCCTTCACCGTCAAGTCCAATGGAGAGCTGCGCTACTGCAAGAAGTGCCAGACCAAGAAGCCGGACCGCGCCCACCACTGCTCCACCTGCAAGCGCTGTGTGCTGAAGATGGACCACCACTGTCCGTGGCTGGCCGCGTGCATCGGCCTGCGCAACTACAAGCCCTTTTTGCTGTTCCTGATCTACCTGTCGCTGTTCTGCTGGGCCTGTTTCGCGCTGTCGGGCGTGTGGTGCTGGAAGGAATTCACAACAGACCAGTACATGGACAACCTGACGCCCGTCAACTACATCGTGCTCGCCGTCATCTCGGGCATCGTCGGACTGGTCATCACCGGCTTCACCGCCTGGCACCTCATGCTGGCCGCGCGCAACATGACGACCATCGAGAGCCTGGAGAAAACCCGGTACCTGTCGCCGCTGCGCAAGTCGATGCAGCAGCACTTCAACAACCAGGGCCAACGCCACTTTGTCGATGCCGCCGAGGGCCGGCCCAGTATCGGCGACCAACTCGTCGAGATCCACGCCAACGCGCTACCGGGCGTGACGCGGCCAGAGGAGGGCGAGGACTACCGGGCTACGTCGCCGGCGCAGCGTTCGCTGCAGCGCAACTGGGCGGATTCCGAGGCACAGCGTGAGCGCGAGCGCTATGACGAGTACCTGGACGAGCTGGACTCGGAGAAACTGCCCAACGCCTTTGACATGGGCTGGCGACTCAACCTCACGCACGTCTTCGGCGAGAGCCCGTGGCTGTGGGGGATACCAGTCTGCAACACGACGGGCGACGGGTGGCGGTGGGATGCGAGCCCGCGGTGGGTCGAAGCGCGCGAGCAAATCGCCGCCGAACGCTTCAGCCAGATGCAGCGCCAGAAGGACCGCGAACGAGCCGCCGGCTGGGGCATACCCGACTCGCCGCCGCGCTCGTCCACCGCGAGCCCGCCGCAATTCACATCCACTTACTACAAGGCCCAGCCCGGACCCCCGCCGCCGCGCCCGAGCAACCGCAACAGCCGCTTCCTCACCACCAGCAGCGGCGTCGCCACCGTGCCGCGGGAGGGCCGCCGCAGCCCCGGCAAGGCCGACGCCATCCTCGGTCGCGCTCCCGGCCTGTACTCGGACGATCCGGGCATGATGGGCCTCGGCGGCAGCGGTGGCGGCGGCGGCGTGCCCATGCAGTACATGCCCAGCCTCCGCCACGGCCGGCCGCGCGCTTCGTACGACGACTTGGACGACTTTGACGACGACGACGATGACGACGACGAGGGCGAAAACGAAGACGAAGACGAGTACGACGACAGCAGCGACGAGGCCGAGGGCAGCGGCAGTAACGGCAAGAACAGGAAGGGCAGCAGCGTCGGCATCAACGGAACCTCTTCCTCACGCTCATCTTCGAAACCTCCCACCAGCACCTCTTCCGCCGCGGCCGTCCCTGCGATCAAGACGGAAAATTGGAACGATCTGCCGGCAGAAATGATGGGAGGACGGACAAGGAGAGGGCCGACGGCGAGGAAGTCGCCGAAGAAGTCGACGGCGACGACGGCAAAGGCGGCGGAAGAGGAGTGGCAAGAATGGGGCCCGAAGTAAAGTGGAGTACCTACTTGGTCGGGAAAGAAAGGTGTTTGGATCAGTGAAGGTTTTTATTCTTTTTTCATCCATCTTTTTTCTTCTTCTTGATCAAAAAGACTTGGTGTGGCTTGCGTTATTTTTTGGATAGACACGAAGCGAGTAAAGAGCTGAAGACCATTTGGACCGATTTTTGCGGAGAGGCCGGAAGTAAGCATCGAAGACACGCCCACTATTTTTTGCTGCCTCGGGATGAAGCTTACGCCATTTGTACAATAAACCTCATTTCTTTTCTTTTTTCATCTTATATAGTTGTATGTACGTATAACATGTACGTATGAAACGGAGGAAAAAGAGATAATAATGCCATCTAAGAAAAATTAATCAAAGAAGATACTATCTATTGCGTTATTCGCTTGAGCTACGTGATGGACGCTTTTGAGATAAGACTGCGGTTCTGAGTTCACTGCGAACATGCTAGTTGGACGCCGCGCAGACGGTTGTGTTCTCTGGATTGGAATATCACAGCAGGTTGCAAAAGAACAGAGCCAACTCACGTCCATCTTATTGGAAGCTCTATGCGCAGCGGCTTCAAGTTCCTGACTATGCTGCAATACCTCTGCCAATTTGTTCGCTCATGCCTCACTATTTCGACTGTGGCGGCAACCAGTGTCGTTCAGAGTAGAGTTTCGGGAGCCAGCCCAGCCGCAAGGTGAGGGAACAAAGGTTGGCTAACACTGTTAGCATCTATTGTTGCCACATAAAGTCACACCAGGATGCCTAGCGGCCATGATTCACGAGCAGTGCCGATTAGATGACCGCGACAAGGATGAGAATCGTAGTGGTAGGGAAGATATTACGAGTTGCGGCGGCGGACAGCTTCGGTATGTGACCGCCGCGTGCTCGCAGCTTCCACAGAACAAATTGACGCGCCCGCGTGCTTGCCTAATTTGCCGTTTGTGTGACGCTGAGCGCGAAGGACTGCGTATATAAGGGCGCGCGCTTCACTCATCTTGCGCTCCTCACCCTCGACTCCACTTCAACAACATCCACGAACGCAAGCTCTATCTTCCAATCCCAGACATTTCGGCGGTGCTGCCGTCGATCAGGACCCTCGTGCGCTGCGCTTCGCCCCGAAGGGCGCAGCGGAGCTTCGTGATCGTCCACGGCGACAGTCTGCACCGTACCGCTTCTGGAAGATCTCACTTTACGACCAGCCCAGCCTCTTGCATCGGGTCAGCCTGCGCTCAGATCTTCTGACTCATCAGCGCGGCCCATCGCGCATGAGGTTCGTCCCGTCTCGCGCCCGACGTGACTCTAACACACTTCTTGAACGACTCCAGGCTCAGCAGACAGCACAGTCTTAACACTTGCATCACCTCCGCGCCGCTCGAGCTAAACACAAGATCAACGCAGCTTCAGATCGTGTCGGGTTTTAAAGCAACCCATACTTCATCCTTCTTCCATTTCTCTTCTGTAAGTCACCCACACCTACTATACCAAACGCATTTCCTCATTCAAATGTTTGGTCCCAAGCTTGAGGTCCATGCTACCGACCATGGCAGCACCGACAGCAACTCCTCTATCGAGCGCCTCAAGGGCATCAGCTTCAGTCTATTCGACAAGATCTCCAGCATGGAGGACGCGACAGTGCCCTCGGATTCGGCGGTTGCGGCGTCGTCTTGTGCTTCGGGGCTTCCGGAGTACAACATCAGCACAATCGACTTCGCGAATGCCGCTGCCACGCCCAGCACCAGGGCGTCATTCAACATCACGTCGACACCCACGACGACGTCTTCTAAGCTGAAGCGCCGTCACCAGGTGATGGACAGGGTCAAGCGCGTGCTTTCAATCAGCACGCTGAGAGGCAGCCGGTCGACATCGATGCGCGGCACCAATAGTAGCAGCAGCACTGGCCTTCTTGGTGCCGGCACCAGTGACACGTCGGTCGAGGGCGACACGCCTCCTCGCGCCTTGCCTTTGTCGAGCGTCCCAACGGTTGCCATCACGACGCCTACGTCGGATGGTAGTAACACTGGCTCACGGACGGCGTCGATGCGCACCATTCATCGTCTCAACCCGCTGTTCCTTTCTCCACGCAGCGCGAGGACGCGTGCCAGGTCGCCGCACTATCGTAGGAGCATGTCCCCGAGCCCTTCTCCCAGAGCCGGCTTTCCCAGGCGCATGAGCAGCTTGAGGCACAGTAATGAGTTTCCGTTCAATCCAAACTCGCCGAATCCACGCACCGACGACTCTCACCTGTACCAGAGCAGCCCGACGTCTCCCGTCAGCGAAAGGAGCAGGCTCCCGGTGCCGCCGCCATTTCAGTCCCCCGGAGGAGCAGCCTCGTCGCCAGCTCTCGTTGCCAACAGCAGCACTGCAGGCTCGCCACTGAACAAGCCTCTTCCCCTGCTTCCACAGAGGGAGGCATCGGCATTGCCCATCTCCGTCACGCCCTCGGCCGCCGACGACGTCTTCTTCGATGCGACGGCCCCATCGACGGCGGCTCCAAGCTGGCCGTTGCCCACTGACCGCCAATCCGTCTACGGCACCGAACTGACGCACCCGCCCCAGCACAGTCCGCCGCTCCCGCCCATGCCCGCTTCGCGCCCAGTTCCCAGCAACTCTCCGGCGGCGGGCCCGATTGCCGACCCTCCCACGGCTGCCGCCGAGGCCAAGGCAGGCGACGCCACCAACACGGACAACGGCGGCAGCAGCATCGGCGACAGTCCGACTCTCGTCTTCAACTCCAGCGCCGCGACGCCCAGCTTCCCCGCCATGGCCGCCCGCGGCCGCGTCCCTTCGGGCTCGAGCGACCTGTCCATGTACGGCTTTCACTATTACTCCCCGCTGGACGAACGCGTGCTGGACGCCCGACTGACCCAGATCCGCACGACGCTCGGTGCAGGTGGGAACGTTGACGACCACAACGAGGATAATGGCAACATGGACAACGGTGGTGGCACTCACTCTTCGAGCAGCTCTGCGTCTCCGAAGGCGGTCATCGGCAACTGCTTCGTGTCCCCCGACGACGACGACGCCGATGCCGAAGAGGATCTCATTGCGCCGTTGCTGCCGCAGAACAGGTTCGCGGGTCAGCGGGCCAACAGCATCAACCGCGATAGCGTGGCATCGGTGATGACGGATGCGACGGGCATGTCGTTCGTCACGGCGTTCGAGGGCGTTGACGACGATGACGAGGATGACGAGGATGATGTCGTCGAGGAGATGGAGGTCGAGGAAGGTGCAGCCGGAACGAGCTCGGGCCACTGGCTGCCGCTTCTTTCACCCGCAAACGAGAGGCTTGCCCATGACATCGACGACGACGACGACGATGCTGAGGCTGACATCACGCTCGTTCCTGCCGCTCGGGAAGAGGAGTCTGACGTGGAAATGGCCGGGGACGAGGCCGAGTTCGAGCCGGATACTTTCCAGATCGTCTCCAGGGATGGCAAGAACACTACTGTCATGGCCGACCTCGACACCGCCGAGGAAGCTTCTTCCGACGATGATTCCGCCGACTGCTCTGATCACAGCGGCGCCGTCGGTGACTCTTTTTCCTCCAAAGAGTCCATTGACCTTTCCGAGCCTCTTTACCTTTCCCACGCTAGTCCGCCGGAGCTCTCCACTGAGCTGGCTAAGGGCAAGGTGATCTGGGAGTACAACCCTTGGTCGACCAGCTATGACCCCAAGTGGACTGCCGAACCTGACGTCGAAGCTATCAGGAACATTGCCCGAATCCACTACAAGATTTTGGAATTGCCCAACGACAACGTCACTGTCGAGTTCCTCGCTGAAGGCTCGTTTAACAAGGCCTACACAGTCACCAGCACCGACAACGTCACCGGCGCTCTGCACGAGTGCATCTTCCGTTGCTATCTTCCGATCGCTCCTTGGTACAAGCTCCAGAGCGAGGTTGCTACCATGGAGTTCATTCGTAGGACCACCACCATCCCCGTTCCCAGGGTCTTCGCCTTTGATTCCTCCATGGAGAACCCCTTCGGACTGGAGTGGATGCTGATGGAGAAGATCAACGGCCGAAGCTACGACGGCCTTGAGAACCAGATTCCGTTCGACACCAAAGTCAAGCTCTACCGCCAAGCTGCCGAGTGGATCGATCAACTTTCCAGACTCAAGTTCGACAGCATCGGTGCCCTCTACCATGACTGGAGCCGGTCTTTGGCTGCAAAGAGCTCCTACAAGGTCGGCCCTCTTTGCACAACAGACTTCATCGTCGATCTCCGCCTTGACTATGCCATCAACCGCGGTCCCTTCACCACCTTCGAGCAGTACTACCAGGCCCACATCAGCTACACTCACCACGAAGCCATCGACCCACGCCACAAAGAGCGTGTCGAAGCCTGCAACAAGCAGGAGGAAATGAAGGCAGCCGGAGAGGAGATCGCCAAAAAGGTCCCCGAGACCAACTACACCCTAGACGCTCTCTCCCGCATCCCCAAGCTCTGCCTCGCACTGCAGAGCGTCCTCCCCACCGCTCTCAGCGGCAAGCACCTCGGCCCCGCCTCCACCCGCCTCCACCACTTCGACATCGCCAAGCGCAACATCCTCGTCGACACCGACGGCAACGCCCTGGCCCTGACCGGCTGGGAGACGTCCTGCATCACCTCCCCCGACAACATCCCCCGCTACCCGCCGCTCGTCAACGCGGACGACGTGCGCGAGCCGCCGCCGCCGTGGGATGAGGGCGACGAGGGCAAGGATGAGGAGCGCCTGCAGGAGGAGAAGAAGGCCTGGGAGGAGAGGCTGTTGAGAGACGCGTTCGATTGCCGGCTCAAGGAGCTGGCTTCTCCGCACCTCGAGGCCGGTCGTGGTGATGGTGCTGAGCTGGTGGAGCTGAAGACGATCGTCGGCGCGCTTGACAGCTGGGACGACTTTTCTTTCGTGGAGCGCATGCGTGAGAAGATGCGCAGGATTTTCTGAGATTCTGACGGACGAGGTTGCAATTTTGCTGTAGGGAGCCTAGGTTTCGGAGGCTTTTTCACGATTTTCGACGGGGGTTTCACAGGACAGGCCTTGATGGGCTTGCTTTTAACCATTTTCGACAGGCTTCACCCACCTTGATGGGCTTGCTTTGATTTTGCTGATACACTTTTCTTTCCTTTTCTGTTTACACACTGGCCTCTATGGACTCCTGTGCTGGGTTCAGCACCACTGAGATGGCCGTTCAGGGAGCAGGTTTATGGTAGCTTCTGTGTCCCTTTACAGTGACGACTGGTCGCGAGTGGACCAAGTAGCTTCACTGATTCGATTCTCATATGTTGTTGTTAGTGCTTTAGATAAAGAACAAAATCGAAAACCCTTTTGCTAAACATCTCATTCATTGCATACAAGTAATAGACGTATGACAAACTTGAAATTCGTATTTTGAATATATCTTGCATGTGACGTCTCCGCGCCGAGAGTTTCTCAAGCACAACCGTTGAAATGTGCTTTACGAATTTGAACGACCAGAAGGTATACTTGAATTTTCCCAAAGAAAAAAGAACTACCATTGATCATATCCGTACAGAGACTGTATTAGAAAGGACAACGTTGAGAAGATCTTATTACCATCCTGTTTTCATACTTTGCCCTGCCTTTACCGGGATCCTCGTAAACCTACCGCATATTTTTCGGGCCAAGTGGGAACCCTGTTACGAATCGATAGTAAATTGACATTTAGCTACGTTCTATTTACGAAAAGTTTTTGATAGGAAAGAGAAGAAGGTAAAGGAGAAGGCCTGCTTTAATAATAAAGTAGGCGGTGGAAGAAACGAGTTTCGCCGAAATAAGTGAACTGGTAATTCGTACGAATCCAACATACCCCGTAGCAACAACCTCTAGAAAGGTCCCGCCGAAAGTCCCGCTCCACTTAAGAAGGCGCGAACATAGTAGGCGACGGAACAAATTGGCATACGGCGACTATTTGTGCCCGCAGTTAAAGTAGATGTTCCGACGTAGATGTAGGTTAATTATACATGCTTTCTCATAATGGAGGTGAAGAAAAAAACCAAAGGTAAACGCAAGGTTTAGAAAAATTTAAATGTTTCCAGATATATGATCCCAATATCCACGAGAGACGTAGGTGGAGTCGACTTCATTCTGCACCTCCTGTGCGAATTCAGCCACTTCCACCTCCGACCAATCATTCCATCGAGGACAAGAGAATGAAAGAAGAGAGAGAGAGAGAGAAAAAAAAAGAGAGAGATGAGGTCCATATAAGCACGTCTCTTTAGCTTCGTGCCAGTCTGATGGGGGCGCGCGGTGAGGCTGTGCAAATAAGATCGGGGACCCATCCTCAAGCGAAGCCCTTGTTTTTCCACCGCCCCACCCCCGCATCAGAAGACGTGTTCAACCGGCGGGAGCGCCCGCTGACAGGATGCATCATGATCTGTAAGCCGTGGAGCCTTTTGGTCTCTACGCTAGAATGGCGGGACTGGATTGAGGTGTTCCGGCTGCCTGGGTCTTTGGTTGGTGGCTGTTCACCTCCGGATCAAGGGGGACAGGGTCCCGATAGCATGCTTATGTGAGAAGGAGTTGTCAGGTAGCCTGTAGCGAAGGAATATCACACATTGTAAGTTACATATGGGTAGTTCGTCGCTCGGAGATATCATTGTTGCGAAGTGTTTCTGTTAGTGCAGTAATTGGTCGGTGCCAAGACCTGATGCTGAGAACCACATGAAGCCTCCATGACAAAGCGCCTGCGTAAGCACTGTAAGCACGACACTCGCAAAAAGTCACTAGGTGTATGCTGCTAAAGATCGTAGTTGTATTAACATGATAGTAGTGACCGTGATGGAAGATGCCGCGAAATGCGGCACTACACGCTTCTCAGTAGCGAGTGGTATCTTTTAATTTAATGAAATGGCCTGCTTGCCCGACCGCCTGAGACACGAGAAAAAAAAGTAAAGAAGACAAGCTTCGAAAAACATCTCGTCGTAATACTAGAGGTCGACTCATAGTGGGATAAGTCATGTCGATCAATAGCACCTGGTTTTCTTGTTAACCATACTCCGAAAACGGTTCAGACAAAGCTTACCCAGCCGAATGCTGTACGGAAACATTGCATCGCCCCCCTCTTCCCCTGATTACCGCGATGTATACAGTGTTGGGAAATCGCCGCTGGATCAAGTGCGAGCTTCCGTTGAAAGTGGCATTAAACGTTTCGATGGCGGTGCCGAGAATTAGACCGCCAAGCTCTTGTTGCGCCGACCGCTCCAGGACACTGTGGAAACCCTTGGGTTCCAGAGCAAAGTAATGCGAAGCGAGACGGAAGCAAGCGAGACGGAAGCAAGCGAGGGGGAGGGGGATGACGGTCTTCCAGAGGAAGAAGAGTATGGTGAGACCAAGAATAATGTAGACGACGGCCTTTTCCCAAAACTCCATGACGTAGAGGCCATAGGTGACTTCGAAGCGGTAGAAAAAATCCTTGGTGCTCTGCTTGGCGGCGACAACGAAGCCGGAGCGGTAGGAGGGCTTGACGGGCGGCTCCATTACCCAGCTGTCCTTGGTGGCGAAGTCCATGGTGATATCAGGTAAGAAGCAACGGGAAATATCCAAAAGCACAGGACACTAAAACTTGATCAGTCAAGCACTGGGGGAGAAACGAGGGGCACTATGATGAAATCATTGACCTTCACACAGCAGAAACCTATCAAAAGATATCCGAAGAGTAAAACTCAACACTGGAAATCGGGCGGAACACAGTGAAGAGAGGAAGTGAGAGCGGACCTGGGACCATGAAATAGAGGCTGACGGCGCATCGGCCACATGCGAACGACGGCAGGTGTGATGGATAAAGATTTGGTCATGGCAGCGATGGGGAGCAATTGCCTAGCTGGTTCCATGGAGCAGCTCGGACATAGACGGCGCGGGCTTCTATGCTGCAATAAGCATTGGCGGGAGCTTGCCGCTGAGCCTGTAGCCGGCACCATGCCTTATCGGTGCATGGGCAATCTCAGGCGCAAACACTATTGGGTCTTGGTCAGCACGCTCGGTGATGTTCGGTGAGATATGTGAGTGCAGTCTCTGTTCCGGGAGTTCCGCTGGGGAGCATTCCCACGTCATTGAAGCCTGAGGCCTTGTCCCGCGGCATGCGGCTCGCCCGAGATTCGCGCTGGGGGTGGTGTGAGGCGAGCGATGCGAAAGCACTTCTGCATCGGAGTTGGTAGTCGGCATCGACCTTTGGCGAAAAAGACGCGCCTGCTCTTTCCCCAGCAGCAGGGATGGTGGGTGGTGGGTGCTGGTCGTGCACAGGGTCTGAAGGAGCAAAGTCGGCCTTCGGCTGTCACCCATGCCCAGTCCGCCCGAGCTTCGGCGTGTGCACGCTCAGCAGAGCAGCAAAACACAGCCTTTCGTTGCTGCCCGGCAAAGAGTGATGAGGCGGTTGTTCTGCTCTCCGCAACGGCGAGCGTCCACTTGGGCGACCACTACGCCAATGGCGCGCCCAACAACTGGCCCTCGCGTCCGCTATTTACAGGGGGGTCCTACTATGGCGGCGACGCTGGTGCATGCCGCTTGACTTCATGTTAGCTATTCGCGACTTCCCTACTGGGCAGTGAGCGGCGAGCGGCGGGTCATTCGGTTGGCGGCACCTTCCAACTCCGAGTATCAAGCGGCGGCGCTGATCCTGTTGCTGCTCATTGAGTTGGCGGTACGTTGCTTCTGATCGTGGATGAATCGCACTAGTGATGTGAAGGGAATCTCCCGGCCTGCGGCCTCTTGAGAAGTGTTTCTGTTGTGGCGAGGTGACGTGGGGAAGGCTGGGCTGACTCAAGCAAACGCTTACATCACCCAGCTTTGAGTCATGCGTGGAAGCGACGCGTCCGTCGATTGAGAGGCGCGTCACCGCGACGCTCTCGCGACTGAACACGCTCGGCTCTGCCATTCTTTCAACCACCCGGCCGCACCCTCTGTCGACAAATGTGAGCTGCGGCTTCCCAAACCCTGCCACAATGCCCGCCGCAAGCCTTGCCCCAGCGAAACGCGTTTTGACCGAGACGACCAACGCTCGCCGCAACATTGCCGATTCCCCGCAGTCAGCAGCGAAGAAGCGCAAGCTCAACGCCAACCCCCTCAAAGCTCCCTCGAAGCCTGCCGGTGCAAATGTCATCGGCTCGAGCCAGCCGAAGAGCCGGTTCGAGGAGGAGCTGGAAAAACTCGGCGAGAACATTCAGGATCTGAAGAAGCTCAATGTCGAAAAGGATCAACAATGGGCGCGTCCGCCTTTGGACGACTTCGACCCAGCCACCCATGACTTGTGCTTTCAACAGATCGATGTCGAGGAGGGAACCCTCCACGGCGGTAGAGCTGCTGTGAAGCTCTATGGCGTTACTCAGGTAAGTCTTCTACCCCCGCCTCTCCCGCCCCGCTAACACCATGGCTCCAGACTGGCCATTCCGTCCTGCTTCACGTCACCGGCTTCATGCACTACCTATACGTTCCCGCTCCCGTGTCTTTCACACAAGCCGATTGCCAGCCTTTCAAAGCCTACCTCGAGTCCCAGATCGCCCAGCACCAGCCCGCTATCCATGCCGTGCAAATGACCATGAGGGAGAGCATCTACGGCTTCCAGGGTAACCAGAAGAGCCCCTACCTCAAGATTTCTGTAACGGAGCCAAAGTACATCAACAGGCTGCGCACAACAATTGAATCTGGAAATGCCAATTACAAGGGTCTCTGGAAGGCTTCGGATGGGTCCGTTTTGACCTTTGACAACCTACAATACGTGCTTCGCTTCATGGTAGATTGCAAGGTATGTGTTCCCCGAGTGGAATTCGCCGACCATCCTTCTTACGCATTGTTAGATCGCCGGCATGTCCTGGGTCGAGGCGAAGGCCGGTAAGTACCATATGATTGACCACAGGGAACGCCACTCGACCTCCCAGATCGAGGCCTACGTGCACTACCGTGATCTTATCTCATATCCCGCCGATGGAGAGTGGGCCAAGACGGCCCCCCTGCGTATCCTGTCCTTCGACATCGAATGTGCTGGCCGTAAAGGTATCTTCCCGGAACCTAACGTGGACCCCGTCATTCAGATCGCCAATGTCGTCCAGATCGCTGGAGCAGAGCAGCCATTCATCCGCAACGTCTTTTGCTTAGACACCTGCAACTTGATCGTGAATGCTCAAGTACTCGAGTACGATGCTGAGGACAAGATGCTGATGGGATGGAGAGACTTCCTGGAGAAGGTGGATCCGGACGTCATCATCGGCTACAACATTTCCAACTTCGATTTTCCCTACTTGCTTGATCGTGCCAAGCACTTGAAATGCGGGAAATTCCCGTACTGGTCGAGACTGAAAAACACCATGTCGGTGGCCAAAGAGACGAATTTTTCCAGCAAACAAATGGGTAACCGTGACACCAAGTCGACAAATACGAACGGCCGTCTTCAGCTTGACCTCCTCCAGCTGGTGCAGCGCGACTATCACCTCAGAAGTTATACACTCAACTCTGTTTGCGCCCATTTCCTCGGAGAGCAAAAAGAAGATGTGCATCATACAATGATCACGGAACTGTTCAACGGCGACGCCGACTCTAGGCGCCGTCTTGCAGTCTACTGCTTGAAGGATGCCTATCTCCCCATGAGGTTGCTCGATAAGCTCATGTGTTTGGTCAACTACACCGAAATGGCAAGGGTCACGGGAGTCCCCTTCAGCTTCCTCCTCTCTCGTGGCCAACAAGTCAAGTTCCTCAGTCAACTTTACCGGAAAGCTTTAGAGCACCAGTTGGTCATCCCCAATCTCCGCTCTGAGAGCTCCGAGGATCAATACGAAGGCGCCACGGTCATCGAACCCACTCGCGGCTACTACGAAGTTCCCATCGCCACGCTGGATTTTGCGTCGCTATACCCCAGTATTATCCAGGCGCACAACCTTTGTTACACTACTCTGTTGAACAAAACCTCGGTTGAGAAGCTGAATTTGAAGAAGGACGACGACTACATCGTCACTCCCAATGGCGACCTGTTTGCAACCACGAAGGTCCGCAAGGGCCTATTGACGCAAATTTTCGAGGAATTGCTCGGTGCAAGAAAGCAAGCAAAGAAGGAGATGGGAATGGAGGAGGATCCGTTCAAGAAAGCAATCCTTAACGGTCGTCAGCTGGCGTTGAAGATCAGCGCCAACAGTGTGTACGGTCTCACTGGCGCCACAAACGGCAAACTCCCCTGCTTGGCAATCGCGAGTAGTACAACGAGTTACGGCCGTCAGATGATTGAGAAGACAAAGGACGTGGTGGAACAACACTACACCATCGCAAACGGCTATTCTCACGATGCTCAGGTCATTTACGGTGACACAGATTCCGTCATGGTCAAGTTTGGCCCCAAGGATCTCGAATCGGCCATGAAGCTGGGTGAGGAAGCGGCCGCGTACGTTTCGTCGCATTTCATCAAGCCCATCAAGCTCGAGTTCGAGAAGGTGTACTTTCCCTATCTGCTCATCAACAAGAAGCGTTACGCTGGCCTCTACTGGACGAACCCGACCAAGTGGGACAAGATGGACACGAAGGGCATCGAGACGGTCCGGCGTGACAACTGCCGACTGGTGCAAACTGTCATCGAGACGTCGCTGCGCATGCTCTTGATCGACCGCGACGTCAACGGTGCGCAAGAGTAAGTGGAAGACCCACGACAGCTGGTCATGGCATGTCGCTAACGATTTCCAGTTTCGTCAAAGAGACAATCTCCGATCTGTTGCAGAACAAGATCGATATGTCGAATCTCGTGATCACAAAAGCTCTGGCCAAGTCAGACTACGCGGCGAAGCAGGCCCACGTTGAACTTGCCGAGCGGATGAAGAAGCGTGACGCGGGCTCGGCGCCGGCATTGGGAGACCGTGTTGCGTACGTCATATGCAAGGGAGCGGCTGACTCGAAGAACTACGAGAAGTCGGAGGATCCAATCTACGTGTTGGAGAACAACTTACCCATCGACACCAAGTACTACCTCGACAATCAGCTTGCCAAGCCACTCGGTAGGATTTTCGAGCCCATCCTTGGAGACAAGAAGGCGGCGTCGCTCTTGACGGGAGCGCATACGCGGAGCATCTCGGTTGCGGCACCTACGATGGGTGGTCTGATGAAGTTCGCGAAGAAGACGGCGACGTGCATGGGATGCAAGAAGCCCATGACCAGCGCCCACGAGCGTGACGGGGCGGTGTGCGAGGACTGCCGGCCGCGTTTCAGCGAACTGTATCAAAAGACGCTGTCCAAAGTCAGCGATCTGGAGGTCCGTTTCGCCAGGCTGTGGACGCAGTGCCAGCGGTGCCAGGGAAGCATGCACAACGAGGTCATCTGCAGCAGCAGAGATTGCCCCATCTTCTACATGCGCATGAAAGCCAAGAAGGACGTCGAGGACGTGGGCAAGGAGCTGGTGCGCTTCGACAAGGATGCGGTATTATGGTAAAGGGAATGGTTGCGTTTACGAGCATCGCTTATTTTGCATGCTACTCCTTGCCGGGTACCGAAATGTGGACACCTCAACGTGAGGCAGAGCTGTGAGTCTGACGGTTTATGGGAGCAGATTTCAAGAGAGGAAAAAAGTCTTCTCAAGGCGTTCAGAACAGGATCCGGAGTTTTCAATAGTCTTTGCATCAAGATACCGAGAATGACAATGGAGTGTTTTCAGGGCTGAAGAAGTCATCTGCTGCTACGTAGGCAATATGCGGTATGAGCTAGAAAAAGCCGCGCTGTGATTGGCTACAAGCAAGAGCTCTGGCTGTTTGGCGGGTTTGCACCATGGCGATAAGCGATAAAGCTCTAGGCTACTGTCCCACCCGGGCAACGACATCACCTCCCCTCAACATCCAACTCGCACTCTTGCCACATCGCGCCATCATGGAGCAAGCCATGAAGAGCTGGGGTAGGCCTCCCCCCCACAGTCCCAATTCCCGTCCACAACGAGCAGCAAAGCATCTGACAAAAGCCGTCTCGCCGCAGAGTTGGAAAACTCCATCAAGCTCGTCGACCCCACGCGCGACGCGCTCTACAACTACGACGCGGACGCGCAAAAGGCGCTCGGCAACGCGAAGCCGTGGAAGGGCGACCCGCACCACTTCCAGCACGTGCGCATCAGCGCGGTGGCGATGCTCAAGATGGTGATGCACGCGCGGGCGGGGGGCGCCATCGAGGTCATGGGCATCATGCTGGGCTACGTGCGCGAGGCGACGTTCGTCGTGACGGACGCGCTGCGCCTGCCGGTCGAGGGCACCGAGACGCGCGTCAACGCCCAGGACGAGGCCAACGAGTACCTCGTGCAGTACCTCGAGCGCGCGCGCGACGCCGGCCAGCTCGAGAACGCCGTCGGCTGGTACCACAGCCACCCCGGCTACGGCTGCTGGCTGTCGGGCATCGACGTCGGCACCCAGGCCACGCAGCAGACGTTTGGCGACCCCTTCCTCGCCGTCGTCATCGACCCCGACCGCACCGTCTCGGCCGGCAAGGTCGAGATCGGCGCGTTCCGCACCTATCCCGAGGGCTACAAGCCCGAAGCGGCCATGGGCGGCGGCGGCGGTGCGTCTTCATCGTCGGCGTCCAACGGCGACGGCTTCCAGACGATCCCGCTGGGCAAGATCGAGGACTTTGGCGCGCACTCGGACCGGTACTACGCGCTGGAGGTGTCGCACTACAAGAGCACGCTCGACTCGCGCATCCTCGAGAGCCTGTGGAACAAGTACTGGGTCGGCACGCTGTCGAGCTCGCCGCTGCTGACGAACCGCGACTACGTCACCAACCAGATCGCCGACCTGGCCCGGAAAGTGCACGAGGCGGAGCTGGCCCGCAACGGGTTCGGCATGGGCCTCGTCGGCAAGCTGAAGAGCGAGCGCGCCAACACGGGCGAGGACGAGCGGCTGGAGAAGCTGGCGCGGGCGGCGGCCAAGATCACGCAGGAGGAGCGGACGGGCTTGTTGGCGGCAGAGGTCAAGGAGAAGGTCTTTGTGGGACGGTCGCTGGCTGATAGTGCTGCTGCTGCTGCTGCTCCCGCTGCGGTACAAGGAGATGATGGCGATACCGAGATGAAGGCTTGAGCTAGATGGAAGAAGGGGAGGCCGACCTTTTTTTTCCCCCGAGCATGCGGGAATTCAAGACGATGGATGGAGGAATGATCACACATTTTACGGCTACGAGACATTTTGCTTTGCATGGCATGGCCAGGCGTTGAAGATGGAAATGGGGTTTTGCTGGCTTTTTATTTCATTTTTCTTTTTTCCCCTCTATATCCGAAAAGCCGGTGGTGAGGGGGGACGTATGATGCTGGTTACGAGTACGAATCCAAGACACGTTGAACTTCCTATAGAGACACCATACATTGGTTCGGCACTTGACTCTATGCATTTGCTTCAGGGACAGAACGGTCCTTTTAGGCTTGTTGCTGTGCGGCTGATGTAATGCGTATGACCATGGCAGAGTTTCAATGCTGTCGCTCCTGTAGTAAGTTTGCAAGGTGGCCTGCACCTAGTTGCCCGCGTTCTTTGCTGAAGAGGTATCGAAAACGCTAAACTTCTGAGAAATGTTTGATATCATGGGAGAGAATGTTCAAGCCAAATTAATCACCGAGCAAGCGGAGTGGCATGTACAACGTGTAAGTGCGTGATGCTCGTTGACACGACGGTGATCATTTGGTCAGTATATCAATATCGAAGCTCTATACGGTGCAGGGGCCCAGGCTTCAATATTCCTCAAATACATTCATATATATATATATCATTTCATAGAGCTCGAGCCCACATAAATGGTCGAGTGTCATCGACCGTCAATCAGAACATGCCTCATCATCCATCATCCCCCTTCCGCCAAAGCCGCCTCGGACCACCTACAACTACTCAAACGCGTCGACCCCGCTCTGAATGGCGTCGTGGATCGCGGCCACGACGCCCTCGCCCACGGCCGTCAGCGTCTCGTTCCCGGCGTACGCCTTGGCCAGCAGCGCCGCGCTGAACGTGTCGTGGTCGCTCAGCAGCAGCCGCAGGCTCGCGGCCACGACGCCCGTCATGCCCGCCGCCGCGAACGCGGCCCTCTTTCCCTCCAGCACCCGCACCGACGCCGGGATCGACACGGCGACGGTGGCGGCCGTGTGCTGGAAGACGCGCGCCGTGCCGGGCTCGTCGATGGGCGCGGCGAGTTCGGCGTCGGCGAAGCCCTTGCGGTTGGCGGCGTGGATGGCGGCGACGGTGGCGAGCACGGGGGCGCCTTGCAGGAGCGAGGTTAGGACGGTGCCGCCAGAGTAGGCCTGCGTCGCGCGCGTGTTGGCGAGGACGCCGGCGTGGATGGCGGTGATGTCTTGGATCAGGGTGTCGGCGGTGATGGTGGTGACGTCGCCGGCGCGCTTGGGGAGGAGGAGCTCATGGCGAGATGACGACGGCGGTACTAGTAATGGCGATGCGGCTGCGGCTGCGGCTGAGGCGGCGAGGAGCAGGGTGATTATTGGCGGGAAATGCATCGTGGAGGGATCTTGATATTGCGCAAATCTCGGTTCCGGGAGCACGAGGCATTGACGGGTTTTTTAATAGCAGACTCGCCTGCGCCCTCTTAAATATGAATGGTCTAAAATAGCCTGCCTTCTCTTCTTGAACGCCAGCCTCGGCAATTCTGGGGGATCGACACAGGAGAGATCCAGATCCAATATGGTGGCGGCGCTCATGGCTTGAAGCTAGAAGACGGGTTCCACTTTGGCCGTCACTACGGTGGTCAGAAGCTGGAATTGGAATTCGTGAGGCTCTGTTCGAGAAGGCGTCCCAGTTTTCTTTCGAACTGCGACGAAAAAGGCAATCGGATCGCGCCTGGTCCAAGCGCCACAATTGACTCGGGGGCACGGCCTCGTCAACGGTTCCGTGCTCGGATGTCTTTGAACGTTTGGGCGTTTGGACGGCCACATGGTCATCAATGCGAGAGGATCACCGGCTGAGCCCTCCGGGGGCGCCAGTGAAACCCCAAGAGGCGCCATGCGGCTATACGATCGTCTTTATGCCTGCCCACGCGTAAACGGCGGCCGGGCCGGCAGCCACACGCCGGGCAGGGGCAGGGCCCGGGTCAATTTTAAACTCGCCTACCGTGGCCGGGCTGACTGCTGCGACGGCAACGATCAACACCCGTCCCTTCGACGACGGCCGCGGGATTTTCGATGGCCTCGTCCTGGAGCCTGGACGCACCTGTGCGGGGCGGCAAGCAATCGCGATTACATCAAAGTTGCTGATCCCGCCGCCGGTGAACGCGGTGAAAGGGTGGGCGGGATGTTCTCCTGATCCGCACCCTTAAGGCCGGCCTGCTCCATGCTCATAGCGTCGTCCACCTGCGCCCCTCTCGCTCCCTCACCGTATTGCGCCGTTGTACAGCAGTCAAAGACGCCTGGGTCCCACTCGCTCCCCCCGTCTTCTGATCGATTTTTCCCTTTTTCTATCTCTCCCTCCCCTTCCTCTCCCCTTCTCATTTCCCCCCGCCGCAAATCAATCATTCTGCCTGTTTCCTTTCCCCGGACCAGCCCGTTCCAATCTGGGGGAGCAGTGTCGATAGTGCTGTGAGATCTGCAGCCCCGTCGACCTCGAGGCCTCTTTTGCATCTTGTCGTGACCTCTTCTTGCCGTACTTTTCAGCACTTTCGTCCGTGGCAGCACTTCTGCATCCCTCCTCCTGTTGCAGCGTGACTCAAAAACAAAACACGCTCATCATGAAGACTGCAACCGTCCTTCTCCTCGCTCTCTCCATCGCGAGCAGCGCCTCCGCCGCCGCCGTTGTCGACCCCAGCGCAAACACACGTGAGTAGAGCTCGAACAACTGTCCCCTATTCTCTTCATCCACGAAGTCAGAAGAAAAAAAAAGAAAACAAAAACACAGTGCACTCTCTCTCATCAGTGACGCCAAACTTCCAAGCTACAATCATGACTCGTCGGGTCACAAAAAAGGCAAAAAGGCTCACACATCGCTCAAACAGGCCGCATCGGACCGCCGGGCAGCGGCAACAACAGCTACAACAACACCCCTCGCTCACCCATTGCCGCCGCCGCCGCCGCCGCCCCTCCCGGCCCCTACAACGCCACATCCACGCCATCTCCCTCCTCCCCCGCCCACATCACCTCCCTCAAAGCCGCCTCGCGCCGCCGACCCTGGGGCGACTGGGGCAGCTCACGCAGCATGAAGCAGCGACGATCGAGCGACAGCTCCGACGACGACGACGACGACGTGGCCGCCTTCGTCGTGTCCTCCGGCCTGCTCAAGGGCACCGGCACCAAGAGCGGCAGCGCCAACGCCGGGAGCATCGACACTCCCAGCAACAGCAACAGCAACAGCAACGCCGAGAGCAACAACATCGGCACTACTAGCAACGACAACACCAACACCGTCAACCCCTCCGCCGCTACCACTGACAACAACAACGACGACGACGACTACGCCGCGCCCCGCCGCCGCCCAGGCGGGTGGCCGCACTTCCGCCTACCACGCTCTAGCTCATCTACTTCTGACGACGACGATGACGACAACAGCAAACCCACCTACACGCCCATCGCCACCTGGGCCGGCATCATCGTGGGCGCGTCGGCGGGGGCGTCGCTGCTGGCGGCGGGGCTGTACGCGGGCGTGGTGAAGCGGCGGCAGCGGAGCGCGAGCCGCGCGGAGCGGCAGGCGCTGTACGCCGAGAAGCGGGAGGAGGATGATCGGCGGGTCTGGGAGGGCGATGACGAGCATGATGTTGGGGATTGGGGCGTCGGGCATGGGACCAGGGCGGGCGAGGTGGTGGTTGGGGGGGATCCGGAGAAGGGGGGCGTGGTGGTGGAGGTGCAGGATTATAGGGGGGTTAGTAGGGGGTGAGGACCGGAAGAAGGGAAAGGAAGAAAGGAAGAAAGAAAGAAAGAAAAAGAAAAAGTGAAAATTGGGGGTGGAAGATTAGCTGGACGGGGAGGCGGCCTGAGAGTTTTGGGTAATTGGGGTCTTGGGATGAGAAACAGACAGTGGGGGAATAATAAAAGCGGGCAGGCGATGTGTGAGGTGCTTGTTGGCGAGCATCTCACGGAGGTGGAGTGAAAGGTAGGCGGAAAGTCGGAATATGTGACGTCCAGGACTGTCCTCACCAACGAGGAGCCTGGTAGTAATGTGTAACCCTCCCTCTTCGGAATAATGAAATCCAAACGATCATTCCAGCTCAATTCGTATACAGAAATATATATATTGTTACCAAACGAAATCCGGAAATGATGCAAGTGATTAGATGAAAATGAGCAAAGTAGTCCACCTTCACTTCCAATGATGTATACAGCTATGACTACAGCCAGTCTTGTGAATGACTATGCACAGACGTAGTTCATCATTCTCGCCAAACACTCGTCCCTCCCCAGCACCTCCATCATATCCGCAATGCCTGGGCCGTGCTCTCCATCTGCCAACGCCGTCCTGAGATGTTTGTATACATCTTTCTTCGCCTCTTTTACCACCGAAATATCCGGGTCCGAGTTTGGCTCTGTCCGAGCCTCCACCAACATATTCGCTGCATCATTAATGCACTCGTGCAAGGCCGCTGCCGTCCAATCTTCTGGAATGAACGCTTGCTCGAAGACTTGCTGGACCACATCTCTTTGAGACTCCGGGCAGCTAATCGAAGGCGTAAAGTCCGTGAAGAAGTATTCATGTTCGACCAGGAAGTCATGATGTTTCGTAAAGTTTTTGGCGTCTATCCGTAGCACTGCCGCAACGTAGTCCCTCAAGGGCGTGCTCTCGAGAAGGCGTTGACTGCATGAGATGGGATTCCCGCTTTCGAGCAGAGGCACTAACTGCTCTACTGTCTGGTCGAAGAAAGGGTCACCGGGGACCAGGCGCCGAAGCGAGTGTTGATGCTGTAGGTAATGCAGCTTATCGTCCGTGACAGTCGTGTTTCCCTTTGTGAATTTGACCGTAAACTGCATACACGGTCAGTGTTGTCAAGGCGATGATGACCCAAATGAGACGGCTTACGTTATCAATCAGTTCTTGCATAGACATCACATCGCTCCGATTTCTATGTGACCACCCCAGCAGAGCAACAAAATTGTTGACCACTTCGGGCAGGTAGCCATTCCTTCGGTACGACGCAACGTCAATGTCCATGTTCCTCTTGCTGAGCTTGTTCCCTTCCTCGTCCACAAGGAGGCCGACGTGAGCAAACGCTGGTGGCTCCCACCCAAACGCATTGTACATTGCCACGTGTCTCGGGGTAGACGGTAGCCACTCGGTGCCTCTGATGACGTGCGTGATTTTCATGTGGTGGTCGTCGACCACGTTGGCCAAGTGATAGGTAGGCAGCCCATCCGACTTCAGCACAATGGGATCATCGTAAGCGTCGTCAACCTTCTTCGTCGCTACTTTCGTGCCTTTTCCGCCCCTTCCCACCGTGCCGTAGACGAGGTCGGAAAACGACGGGTATTTGTCCGGAACGAGAAGCCGTACGACGTGCGCTTCGCCATTGGAAGCTCTGTCTTCTGCCTCTTCCTTCGGTATGTGCGCACATTTGCGGTCGTAGTCGGTTGGTAGCCCCAACTGGGCGCGGTGCTGAGCGAGGTCGTTCAGTCTTTCCGGTGTGCAGAAGCAGCGGTAGGCGTGGCCGGTCTCGAGCAGCTTCGTCGCATGGTCCTGATAGAGCTTCGTTCGTTCGGACTGCCGGTAGGGCCCATACGGGCCTTCGACCTCAGGACCTGTTGCTGTCAATACACTGCCTTGAGCATGCGGGCAGACCACAACACTCACCCTCGTCCCACTGCAAACCTGCCCATCTCAAGTCATCCAGCAGCCGTGCCTCTGCATCCGGAACGGTCCTTTTCTTCTTCCGTAAGCCAATTGCCCTCGCGGAACGGATGCGCCGAACTTCAACGGACCTGGTCTGTATCCTCTATTCTCAGCAGGAATTGGCCACCGGTGCGTTTGGCCAGAAGATAGTTGAAAAGCGCGGTCCGCAGGGAGCCCAGATGCAAGTATCCGGTGGGCGAGGGTGCGAATCGCGTCCTTGCAGGTCCGTCTGGCAACGCGTTCTTCTTCAGTGGCTTCTGGAGCGGCGCGTGGTTCGACTTGCGTCTAAGGGCTGCGCGCGACAACCGCAGGCAACACGACGTGCAAACAAAGTTGGCACGCCGCGGCGCCAACGATAGCAACAGCGCCATGGCTTGTGCGTCCGTGAATTGCGAATGGGAGAGAAGAATGACGGAGCTTCAGTGTCGTGTCAAAGCAGCTGGGAAAAACTCCGGCGGGAAGACGCGATCCCGGGAGCTGCACGCGCATCAGCACCCCACCGTGCGTCACGACCCCCCGGCCAGTGCCACCACCCCTCAGCCTGCTGCTGCTTGCTTGCTCGCTCGCACCCCGCCCAAAACAACTTCGCAACGAGCCATTCATGCCGCGCCGCATCCGCCACCACTGCCTCCTGCTCGCGCGCGCCCTCAAACCGCACCACCCACCATGACGTCGCCCGCCTGGCTGTCCGACTACTCCACCGCCCTGCGCGCCCGCGACCTCCGCGAGAAGGCGCAGGAGGCCCACATCAACGCCTGTACGTACATCCCGGCCCAGCAGCAAGTCCCTTGTCGCAGCTCACCTACCAACCCCCCTTAAAATAAATCTCCCGAATTAACGTCTTCCCCCCCGCCGCTCTGCACAGACACCAAGCTCGCCGACCGCACCGCTCGCCTCGAAGCCGAGCGCACCAACGCACCACCACCCCCGACACCGACCGCAGCCGCCTCCCCGCAGCAAGCGACAAAGAGCAAGCCCAGCCCCTCACGCTTCGGGCGGTCCAGCCCAGCCGCAGCCGCAACCGCAGCCCCGGACGCGGACCCGGCCAGCGGCATCGGCGGCGGTGGCAGCAGCGGCGCAGGTGGAGACGGAGGAGGCAACGGCGGAGCCCTCTCGCGGCTGCGGGCCGACCTGACCGCGACGCAGACGTCGCGGGCGACGCTTTCGACGCAGCTGGCGGGGGCGACGGACGCGCTCGCGGCGCTCAAGACGCGGGCGGCGCGCGACGAGAAGGCGCTGGGGGAGCTGCGGGCGGCGCGCGCGGCGCTGGAGCGCAAGCTGCGCGACCGCGAGAGCGAGATCAAGGGCAAGAACCGCCTCGTCGAGGAGGTGCAGGACGAGCTGGTCAGCGTCAACCTGCAGCTCAACATGGCCGAGCAGCGCAGCGAGGAGCTCGAGCGCGAGAACAAGGAGCTGGTCGACCGCTGGATGAAGTATAAGCGGGAGGAGGCGGAGAGGATCAATACGCAGTCGAACTGGCGGTGAATCACCGGTGTCTGGTCGATGGCGGCGGCGTTCCTTTTCGTGAGGACTGGGATTAGGGTGCTTTTTCTCGTTGGGACCTGGTGTGCTGGTTATGCTTTTTGGACGGTATTATGAAGTTTACTGTTCGATGAAGAGCTATCAATATCCCTGCATCTAACTGCAAGGGAAGTATGAGCGAAACTCGACAAGAGCTGCAACAAGCTCACGCTTGTGTGTTCATTCTTCGTACCGTTTATAACAACCGGCGATAGCATCGCAACTGATCCTGGTGCTCTCCAGACCAGAGTCCGCATTGATGAAGTGATATATCGATCTCAAGACCACCATGTATGAATGAAGATTACATGCTCAACCGCGTGCCGAGCGAAATGCTGAGTGTAGAGAATCGACAACTCCATCTCGATCCCTTGTCAAGATACCTCTCTGTAACCCAACTGACCGGCATGACCCTTTTTAAACCGCAACGAACCGGGAAATCTAATCCATCCAGAACCGCAAACGCCTCCCCGATGCAGCTTTCACTCGTTCCGGGGGCCCTACACCCTCCTAAAACCGCTGTTCGTGTTAATAACAAGCATTTACTGCGTAGCGCACTGAGGACCACCCTCCATGTCATCATCATCATCCTCCCAAGCGTTTGCGGCACGCGGGTCGTCCGAGTTGGCTCCGAAGTCATCCAGATCGACATCAGCCTCGAACTCGACGTCCTCGACGTCGTCAGCCTTAATCGCCGGCTCAGGTCCGGGGAGCAGCTCCCTGATCTTCTTCAGCGCGGCCTCGTCCTGAATGTAGCCGTCCTCGGGGAACTTGATCTGGACAACGAGGTACAGATCACCCCGAGCGTCGCTCTTCTTGATAGGCATGCCCTCACCAGGCACCTTGAACACCTCACCAGGCCGGAGGATCTTGCCCTGGGGCTGCTTGACATTGAGGGATATGCCGCGGTCGTCCAGGTGGGCCAGGACAACGCGGTGGAAGCCGGTCAGCGCCTCGGCGAGGGTGACGTGCAGGTCGGCGGCCAGGTCGGCGCCGGCGCGACGGAAGACGGGGTGCTCCTTCTCGACGAGCTCGAAGACGATGTCGCCGGGCTCTTGGTCGGGCTGCTGGTCGGCCTCGCCGGCGAGCACGATGCGCTCGCCCTCGCGGGCGCCGCGGGGGATGTAGAGCTCGAGGATCTTGCGCTTCTCGACGACGCGCTTGCCCTTGCACTTCTTGCACTTTTCCTTGTCCTTGAACACCTTGCCAGAGCCGCTGCAGTTGGCGCACTGGGTCGTGACTTGGCTGAGCATGCCGCCAATAGTCTGAATCCGAAGCGTCGAGCCTGGAAATGCGCGTCAGTTCAACTCCATGGAGGAGAGTATGCGTGCCCACTCGCACAGGGTAAACGAACCTTGGCCGGCGCATACCGAGCAGTCGTGCGGCTTCGCCTTGTCCTTTCCGCCCGAGCCCTTGCACGTCTCGCAGATGACGTTCTTAGTGCTCGCGAACCGCGTCGTCTTGCCCTTGTACAGCTCCTCCAGCGTGACCTCGTACTCTTGCACCTCGTCCTTGCCCTTGCGCGGCCGGCGTGGTCCTCCTCCGCCGCCCATCCCTCCCATTCCCGGCATGCCGCCCATGCCGCCGCCCATGCCGAACATCTGCGACAGCAGGTCGTCGAGGTCTACGTCGCCGCCGCCCATGCCGCCCGGACCGGGCCGGCTGCCGTCGAAGGCGGACATGCCGTGCATGTCGTATACCTCGCGCTTCTCGTCATCGAACAGGATTTCGTAGGCTTGGGAGACGGCCTTGAAACGGGCTTCGGCAGCCTCGCGCTCGTCCTCGGAAACTTTGTCGGGGTGTGAGGATAATGCGGCCTGTACGCGAGGAGGGAAAGATGAGTGATTCAGCGGCGAACTGTCTCCACGGCGGAAGAATAGTGTCCGTTGTTTCGTACCTTGTGGTAGGCCTTCTTGACTTCGGATTTGCTTGCGCCTCGCTCGATGCCGAGGACCTCTTTGCAAATTATTAAACGTATAAACGTAAGAAGTTTTAGATCTTACCGTAGAGGTCGGTTTCACCGGAGCCGCTCATTTCTGTGCAGTGGAGCAAAAGAGGTCAGCGAGTCTTGTCCCAACAGTGCGCGCAGTCTGCGCAATACGCAAGGCGGAACCCACTTATTTCGCGACGAGTTTGTGCGGGTACTCGATTATTTTTGGGGTGCGGAAGCTTCGGCAGAGAGAGTCGATGTCAGGAAAAGCAGTATGACCGACCCAAAAATTTGACGGCAGCTTGAAAAAGCTGTTGTGGCGGGGGAAAAAAGTTGTTGTTGCATCAGCGACAAACTTCCAGTACGGTTGCCTGTAAGAGGGTCCGCGCCAGCTAGCCAAAACGGCGACGGCTACTGCCCTCAGTATCCTACTACTTGACTTTCCCCCTTAGTATTTCTAATAATCTTTATGTCTACTTTGCGCACTATAATAACGCGTTCTATCGGGTCAGGGCCACCCGCACCACGCCATGTCCTCCCTCTCTGCATGCTACTACTACTACTGCTGCTGCCGCCGCTGTTATATTTAACCCGCTGTATCTTCTCGCCCCGCCCCTCCTAAATATACCTACGTCACTCCGGGCTGTGCGATAACTACTTAGTGTTTTCTCGGCGATTTACGTTTTTATTGCCACTACTAAGCAATTATATTTGATAAGGCCGCGGGCATACGTATTTAGCTAGGTAGGCTAGCTGGCGCGGACCCTCTTACAGGCAACCGTACTTGAAATGGCACGGACCAACCAGCGGCGGGAAGATTTCCCAAGTACCTCCGCACCATCTGCAACACCACCGGCACCGCAACTCCACAGCCCCCCATTCCCGCCATGGCAAGCAGAGGGGCAGCAGGCTCCCTGAGGGGCCTCGTCAACTCCGCCACCCGAACCAATCTTCAATGCTTCCGCAATGCCGTATGCCGCCAAACACTGTCGATACAGCTCTCGCCGCACAGCTAACCCGTCGACAACGCAGTCCGCGCCCTCGATAACACGCTCAATGGCAACCGAAGCCCCTCTCGAAAACGCATCCCCCTCCACCATCGCCACCGCCGCGGCCGCAATCCCGTCCATCACCACCACCGGCTCCACCATCCCCATCGCAAACCTCAACCTCTACTCGCCGCCCATCCCCGAGCACATCCGCCCGTCCACCGTGCCGACGACCATCTACCGCTTCCCGACCATGGAGCCGCTGCGCTTCCTCTCCTACCCGTCGTCGCACCTGCTGCTGCCGCTGCGGCGCGACATCCTGCACCGGGCCGTCGTCTACGAGGGGGACGCGACGCGGCAGGGGACGGCGTCGGTGAAATGGCGCGACGACGTGCACGGCAGCGGGCGCAAGATCCGGCCGCAGAAGGGCAGCGGCCGCGCGCGTCTGGGCGACCGCAAGAGCCCCATGCTGCGCGGCGGCGGCGTCGCCCACGGCCCGCACCCCCGCGACTTCGCGACCGCCCTGCCCCGCAAGATCTACGACCTCGCGTGGCGCACCGCGCTGTCGTACCGCTACCGTCGCGGCGAGCTGATCGTCGTCGAGGACGGCGCAGAGATTCCTGAGCCCACGGCCAAGTATCTCGCTGGCGTGTTCGAGCTTAATGGCTGGGGCAACAAGAATGGCAGGAGCTTGGTTGTGACGCAGGAGCCGAGGAAGAACTTGTGGGCGGCGATTGAGAATGCGGGACGGCACGGTGTGGTGAAGACGTGGATGGAGGTGGATGTCAAGAATCTGCTGGAGTTGGGCAGGCTGATTGTGGAGAAGAGCGCATTGGATCTGATCCTCGAGCATCACCAGACTGACCTTCAGAGGCCGAAGACTGGTATCCTGAAGGCATGAGATAGTGGCTTGGGCTTGTATTTTACAAGTCGGTATAGCGAGAATATTCCATGTAAAATTGGAGTATTGCATTATTTGTGTACACCACACTTTGTACGTACTTCTCTGCATGGTATGGAGTTTGATCCGATCAGCCCGTTCAGAAGGCTACATATAGGAACACGGTCCTGCCATGCTGTGCGGGTTCAAAAGTATTACGTCGTTACTGCTACAATACGTGCAGAGTTGAAACGGACATCCAGACGCATATACTCTTTTAGCAGTCGCGACGATATTAACATTCCGACGACTCCTTAAAATCCTCACGCCTGCTGGAAAAAGCAGGTTGTAGTACTAATACTAATGGAATTTTCTCTTTTTCATTCGTCTTTGGCTGTTCAACTGCGTTCTCCATATATATACAATTGTGCCAGTCAAATGGCTCTACATTCCACGCTGAATCTATCTGCCCCACGTGCCTCCGCCATAGCCGGCTCTCCCGAAAGCATCAAAGCCCTGATTATACCTACCGCCTCCCATGGCTTGCTGCCTCTGCCACCTTTCCTGCCTAATCCTTTCTTCCTCAAAAGCTATCCTTTCCTTCTCTAGCTTTTCAGCTTCAGCCTGCTTTCTCCTCTCCTCCTCCTTGACCTTCCACCTTGAAACCTTAGGCTGGTCCTTCTTCCCATTCGCCGCATTCTCCGCGACTTCCATCTCTTTCTCTTGTTGAATTCGTTGCTTCTTCGCTTCCTCGTCCACCTTCGGACCATCAAAGGACAATACCATGATGGCCCCCAACTGACCTTCCGGCTCGATCCTCTCCTTCGCACCCTCAACCTCGGCCACAGTCTGCCTCACGGTCTCCAGAACATGACTTGCCTCGGCCATGGTCGCCTTCCTGCCCCTCTTCTTGGGGCCCATGGCCACCTCGACGCGCCTGCCCTCCTGCAGAAACTCCTTCAGGCGCTTCATCCAGTGCTGCAAGTCGTTCGGGCTGACGGCCCAGTTGAGCTCGATCGTCTTGGCCAGCTCGTCGGGGTTCTTCTTGGCCTTCAGCCGGGCCTTTGTGCGCTCCTGCTCGCGCAGCGCGGTCTTGGCCACGATCTTGCAGACGGGGAACGGGTGCTCCGACTCCTCCGTCGGCGCGTCCAGCTGCACCAGGTGGTTCATGATGCGGTCCATGTCGTTGAGCACGGTTCTGAGCCGCTGGCGCGGCCGGAAGACGCCCTCTTCATCGATGAGGTTGATGTAGATGGACCCGATCTCCTCGTCGTACGGCTTCGAGCGCTCGACCGGCGGCCGATACTTGCTTGCCGCGCGGCGCTGGTTGTGCGGCGTGAGGGCTGGGATGAAGATTGTCGGGGCCGCTGAGGGCCGGATGAACGAGGCGGCTCGTGGCGTTGCGGGCGCGACGGAGACGGTGGGTTGGATGAAGACGCGGAAGAGAGCTTGCGCGGTGGTGGAGATTTGCCGCGTGTGTGCCATCTTTCTCTTCTTTCCAGCAATGGCTTCGCAGTTGGAATGCAGTTGGAATGCAGTTGGAATGCAGTTAATGAAAGAGCGAATTGATGCGACGCTGAGAGGGTTGACGAAAGCAAAAAACAGAAGGGTGAGTGGTGGTGTGGTGCAGGTTGGAGGAGCTTGGGTGAAGCTTTCCTGGCTCCGCCGCGGCGGCCAACCAGCGGCTCCAAAAAATCTCGGGGGACGTGATCATCGGCCGCCCGCGTCCGCCTACCCACACCTCGACCACCCACAACAACACTCAATTGCCGCCCCAACCCGACTCCGATCATGTCCGCTGCGAAGCAGGCCGCGCGCCCGCTGCAGACGTGCATTCGCTGCTCACGGACGCCCGTGTCGCTGCAGTCCCGGACCTTCACCAGCAGCGCCCCAGCCGCCGACGAGGCCCAGGTCCAGAAGCCGCAGCAGTCATCCGCGCCGGCCCCCTCGTCCACCGATGCCGCGAGCCTCGATCCGAACACCGTCGTTACGCGCCGTGAGGAGAAGAAGCTGATCAAGTCGGGCGTCTACCCCATCGGCTCTCGGAGACGTCGCGCGGCGCTGGCGCAGTCGCAGAACATTCCATTCGAGCAGCTCCCGTACCAATGCTTTCAGGAGGCGCGGAAGGTGCTCAAGGCGGATCGGGCGGAAAAGGTAGCGGCGATTGAGGAACAGCTCGCGCGGCTGGCTCGCTTGCGGGCGCAGGACCCGGCCGTGTCGGGCGGCGAGAAGGAGAAGAATGTGCGGTTGATGAGCATGCAGAACCGTTTGGAGAAGCTGAAGATCCTGGCCGATATCAACGATCCGCTCGTTAAGAAGAACTTTGAAGATGGGAAAGGTGAGATGCTGCTGCTGCTGCTGCTGTTTGAAAAACTATTCAGGAAGCGATGCTGACTTTGGGGGACGACAGGCAATATGCTCAAACCCGTCTACCGTTACCTGGCGGAGAGGAAATGGCGCGAGTACAAGAGGCTGCTCGTCGAGCAGCGCATCACCACGATGCATATCATCCCCGACGTTCTTCCCGCTATGGAGCAGAAGGCCGACGTCAGCATAATGTTTGGGGATCGCAAAGTCCAGCCCGGCGACTTTGTCGCTTCCAAAACTAGCGAGATCCCGCTCACCCTCAGAGTGCAAGTGTTCGACAAGGGTGAGAGGCTGGTGTCGATTGTGGTCGTAGACTCGGACGTACCGAACATGGAGAAGGACGGCTTCGACTACCGCTGCCACTACATTGCCGCAAACATTCCGATTTCTCCTGTGAAGGGATGGGTTCGACTTGGGAACTTGTCGGCAGACTCTCAGGTTGCGCTTCCCTGGCTCCCACCGTTTGCCCAGAAGGGCAGCCCTTATCACAGGTACTCTGTCTTCATCCTCGAGCAACCCGAGGGCAAGACGTTGGACATTGCAAATGTCAAGGCTCAAGTCAAGCGGGATGGATTCATTCTGCGTGGCTTCATCGATAAGCACCATCTGACGCCTGTGGGTATCAACATGTTTAGAGCGGAGTGGGATGAGAACACGGACGAAGTGATGGAGAGAGCCGGCATCGAGGGAGCGGACATCGAGTACAAGAGGAACAAACCGGAGAAGCTGCCGTACAAGAAGAAGGACGGCGCTCGGTATAGGTGAGGTGCTTGATGGGCACATGGCACGAGGACTGTAACATATGTACGAACACATCAAGTGGGCTGTCTGGTCCGGATGTGACGGGAAGGGTAAAAGAAAATCCACATGAAATCTTCCAGCTTTGCAGGCATCTCTCCATGAGCAGGCTTCGAGAAGCTATGCTGGGTGCGAGGAGACGGGAGAACTGCACCTTCTCGTGAAGTCAGCCGTGCAGGGAGGCTAAAGCAACGGGGCAGCCCAAAGACTGTAAGGGAGCGTCTGTCTCTAGCGGGCTCACCGGCCGATTAATTGATAGGTAAGACCTGGTGGGTGGCAGCGACCCGGACCGTCTCTGACGTCGCCCCTTCCCTCTGGGCTTCGCTTGTTCCCCAACCTTCCCTCCAGCCCACACCGAGCGCCAACCAAACGTGCAAACGCAAATGCAGTCAAAATGCGGCAGGTTTCAGCCGGAATCCGCATTCTCTATTAAATCTCCAAGTAGCGGTACCCGGAAGACCCTGTTCGCGCGCGCTGGCTCCAACAGCTTGTGCAATGGCTCAGCGGCGGACGCCACGCAGTGTCCAAGCCTCCGAAACATTGCCTTCAAAACTTCATCTGGCCTATGCCATTGCCGTTGTTCAATCGAAGCCTCCCGACCTCAGTGTCAAAGGTAAGTCCCACCCTCTCTGACCTGGTAGTTGCGGGGACATGGCCGAGGAATCTATATCTTACCAAGCATACTCAATGGATGGTTTAATTTTTCCTAGACTACATTCTACACCTTCGGGAACACTTGCGGCCTAAGAGCAAGGTCGATATCAGGGCTGGCCCAGAAAGACACCTCAATTCTGCCAGCTACTGGGTAGAGAGGTTCCACCAAGCAGATGCTGCTCGGGCGAAGCTTGAGACCAAGGTCACCGAGTACGAGAGAGAGATAGAGCGCTTGAAGTCTGAGCTTCGCTCTATACAAAGCGGATCTACCACCCGACCAGCTGCACCAATGAAAAGGCGGAAAGATGAAGTACCACTGGGATCATCGGCTCCAGCAACAAAGCGACGCAAGATCGAGCATGCTGACTCATACGCCTCCTCTGTTGAGACGGTTGATGATACGCTCCCCGAAAACATGGAATCTTTGAGTGCCGTTCATGAAGGTGAGAAAGCATACACTTTTCTACCTATTCCAAGGGAAATAATGACCATATTATAGAGGGGTCAAAGCTGACCCAACATCTGTATCACGCTCACAAACACTACAAAGGCCACTCTCGCGGAGGCCACCAATTAGCGTGCCACCTCGTGCAGGCCGCCAACTGCCTGGCGCCTCTGCTCACCTCTGCGTGCCAACGACATCACCAACGCGTGGGATGCGCGAAATCGCGACCCAGCGGATCCAATGATTCCGTGCCGGAACCTGTCCTGGCTGCGTACGACAACGAGCTAATATCAACATTCGAGGCTGCAGCTCGAATCTTCATGTCCCTCTTCTTTGGCCTGAAAAAGCTGAATGCGGAGACGTCAACCCCAGAAGACCGTGGAGCCGTCACATACAGCTTCGTCCGCATGTTTAGCCACGTGCTCGACACTCTCACACAGAGCTCATCATCCCAGGCAGCCGAGGAGGCGGCTCTCACCCTCGCCGTCAACTCCAGAAGGCAGATGACCACCCGTGGAAGCCAGAAGGTCTTCGGCAGGACAAACCAGGACCCGTTGGCAACGCGACTGCTCTCGAATTTTCTCTCCAACGTTCTCAGCGCGCCCTCCGCCGGCGGCAGCGAGCCTCACCACCACCATCACCACGAGCTGGCGGAAGGCTTCCTCTTCGTCCTCTTCCGGCGCCTGGGCGACCGCATCTTTCTCTGCACCTTCGGACACCGCAAACGCGCTTCGGTCGCGGACGACATCGACGCCTGGGCCGATCCCGACGCAGAGCCTCCGGCGCCGCCTGACGATGAAGGAGGAGGAGGAGGAGGCCCACCGCCGGCGACGGCGACGGCGACGGAAGACGGTGGCAACAGAGAAAAGCAGATCGAGCAGCGGGCGCTGGCGATCGAACTGCCGCTGCTCGTGGCCCTGCTCGAACGCGGCCTCGCAATGGCGCGGCACCACATCGCGCCGCTATCGTCATCATCATCATCATCATCGTCCGCCGCCGCTCCCTCCTCTTCCTCGCGCAAGCAGAAACAGCACGGGGCCACGACGAGAGCGGCAACCGCAACGGCAACGACAGCCTTTTCCGTCCCGAAATCTTCGGGGACGAGCGGAAGCAGCGGCAGCAGGCCGTCGCCGGAAGCCCTGAAGGCTGGGCTGAGCTTGCTTGCGCGGAAGAAGCTGGAGCGGACGCTCGCGCATGCCATTTTCTTCAGCGGCGGCGGCGGCGACGACGACGGCGACGACGATGATGAGGGGGCGGGAGAGGACGAGATGAGCGAGTGTTTGACCATGCCGGTGAAGCAGGCGTTGATGGAGGTGGTGGCGGTGGGGGGCTCTTCGGCGCGGAAGCAGAAGACGAAGAAGATGAGTTGGGAGCGGGGTGATGGTGAGGAGGAGAAGGATGTGAAGGCGTGGTTTGTGGAGAGGGTTTGGGGCTTGGTCGGGTGGGAGGCTGTGCTTGAGATGAGGTAGGAGGGATGATGGCGGGGGTGTCTGAGAGCGTTGTTGCTGGGAGGGAGGGTGTGGCTATGTGGAGCGAGAGGCATCATCGTTTGCTCGGATTTTCTCCAAAGGAGTGATGTGTGGAGAACGGTCCTCGAACTTTCTGAATGGATAGCTACTCCTGAGATAATTTCGGCAGTCTAAGCACTTAAACCACTGCTTTAGCTTTCGTTTCTCTCTTCCTCAATGTTACTCTTTCGTGGAAGGAAAAGAACGACGTTCCTACTTCTTTCTCAGAAGTGTCTAACCGCCCTCGTTGATTTATGCAGTCTCAAGAAGACCCATATCTACGCCCAGCCGGATCCATGCTTCAGATTGTCCATGTCATAACGTCATGGTGTCCTCTTCTTCCATGAGGGAGATCACAGACAAAATTGAATCTCTTGCACCCAACTTTGGGAAATTGGGGGGAGGGGAATCCGACTGTATCTGTGACGATATGCACTGTTCGACTCGAGGTAATGTAGATGATCGGAGTATGCATTCGTGGAGCGAGGGCACTAGCATCGGCCGAGAATTTCGGCCATCGGGCAAGGTCAACAGTGCCAGCCAACTGATGGCGAGTACCTTGATTATCGGGAGCATGCATTGCATGAGTGTGCGGATGGTATTCCTTCCGCTGCTCGATCCCAGTCAAGGAGAGGAGGATTGATGTATCGAAACGATGTTCATCTTCACGGAGGGGGTCCGCCTCTTGTCCAAAGGCCGTGATGATGATGATGGGGGGAGATTGGCAAAAGACAGTTTGCTCACGCCGGTAGCACGTCGTCGATGAAGGATGCCAGACAGCCGAGCAGAAAGGATGAGCAGAGGTGGCGGCTGACGCCCAACATGTGGGCTCCTCTTCACTCGTCTCTCCTATAGTTAATGAGGGTATTTGAGAAGCCACCAGCCACAAGACATTCTCCGGTGGTGACAGGTGGAAAAGAAAGCGAGAGCGTGACACAAAACGAGGGGCAGCATCAAGCCCTCGGGCGGCACAGTCACAAGCGAGCGTCGACGAGAAACAAAAAGAAAATGTCACCACACGTGGCGTGCATCTCTCGGATGCGTGTCGAGGCTCGTGGCGCGCGCCTCGTCTTGCTGGCCGTTGTTCCTTTCGCCATGGCGCGGTGGAGGATGCGGCGCATCGTGCCCCGGGGGTGAAAGCAGGCTAGGGCCAGACGCCTCCTTTTCGTCCTTTCATCGGCAGCAGATAAGAGGGCGAAGTGGATTGGGTGGATTGGGCAGAAAAGCTTTCTGGTCGAACGCCGCAGCCGAGCATGAGGTGCGTCTGGGCGCATTCTGGGCGGGGGGTCCGTCGGGATTTCTGGCCGACGTTCCCGCAGGAGGGAGGTATTTTTAATTTGGCGAGGAACTGACGAGAGCACCCGGGCAGAGTCGAAGGATTGGATAGGATGGCAAAAGGTGTTTCATGGATAAGCGGGCCTGCGTGCTTTTCAGCCCTTCTGCGCGTGGAACAATCTGCAGAGAAGAGGCGGACCCGGCAATTAAGCAAAATGTCCGCACAGGGGAGCGATGTGCATTGGATTTTGGTGAAACAGTTGCAGCTTGTGTTTGAGAGCGTGGTCCAGGGCGTGCTGCGTGCGGCGATCAGGGCGAGGATGCAATACGGGCGGCAGGCGATGGTGGTGTCTGCTGTGCCGCACACGGACTCGAAGGATCTCGTTCTAGTCTGGTTCGATGCAGGGCCGTGATCCCCGTGGGGAACAGCGTGTCTGCGGTGGGTGATGCGGACGGGCGACGGCTGGCGCAGCACGGGCGGCGACGGGAGGCGACGGGCGGACTGGGCGGGTGGTGCGTCTCCGGGGCCCAGATTGAGGCACGGGCTGACCCCAGACTCGACGAGGGTGTGGGGAGAGTCGGACGCTGGCCCTCCGCGATGGTTGCGACCAAGTGCCGCCAATGATTTACCCGAAACCCTTGCGCCTGCCCGGTGGCACGGCATGGCCCGGCACGGCAAGCGGCTGCCCAACCCTGTCTCCACGCCACACCAACTCTCTCTCCTCCTGCGTGAGCTGACCTGCAGCCCACCGCGCTGCTTGGCGCCCCGATGCTGCTGCTCCGTACATATATTCCACAACTCCCCCACCGGAGCCCCGACTAGCTCCCCAAACACCATCCAGACCCACTTCCACCCCAGACCATGGATTCCAAGGACGTCACCACCGTCCACGACGAGCTTCAGGTGCGAGCCGTCCCTCAGCGCCCCCCGCACGCCTGCTAACCCGCTCCAGCTCGACGAGAAGGCCAATGTCGCCGCCGTCAAGGAAATCACCGGCAACGAGGCCTACAACGAAGCCCTCATCAAGGAGCCGCCGCGCCCCTTCAGCGGCCCCAGCATCGTCCTCTACTGCTGCTGCCTGGTCGGCTTCTGCTGTTCCACCATGAACGGCTACGACGGCTCGCTGCTGAACGGCCTGCTCGCCAGCGATGACTTCAAGGCCTTCTTCGGCGGCAGTGAGGACGGCATCTGGGCCGGCATCGTCACTGCCATGTACCAGATCGGCTCCGTTGTCGCTCTGCCCTTCGTCGGCCCGGCCATCGACAGCTTCGGCCGCAAGGGCGGCATGCTCATCGGCGCCCTGCTGATCGTCCTGGGCACCATCATCAACGCCACTACCTACTACACCGCCAGCATCGGCCAGTTCGAGGCCGGTCGCTTCATCCTCGGCTTTGGAGTCTCCATTGCCACCGCCGCCGGTCCCATGTTCGTCGTCGAAGTCACCCACCCGGCCTACCGCGGAGGTACAGTCCCTGCCCCTGACCTTGCAACTCTAAACTGACTCCTGCAGTTGTCACCGCCCTGTACAACACCTTCTGGTTCACTGGTTCCATTCTCGCCGCCGGTGCTGTGCGCGGCTCACTGGACAGCTCTGCCGCACACGCCTGGGTCATCCCCGTCTGGCTTCAGCTCCTCTTCTCCGGCATCATCGTCCTCTTCGTGTGGTTCCTGCCCGAGTCGCCCCGTTGGTTGTACGTCCACGGCAAGCGCGACGAGTGCCGCCGCGTCCTCGCCAAGTACCATGGCAACGGCAACACTGACAGCATCTGGGTCTCGATGCAGTTGCGCGAGTACGAGGAGTACCTTGAGATGGACGGCTCCGACAAGAGGTGGTGGGACTACAGCGCTTTGTTCAAGACCCGTGCGGCCCGGTACCGCATCTCTTGCAACATTGCCATCTCCGTCTTTGGCCAGTGGGCTGGTAACGGTCAGTCTTTCAGTCTGCCACCCCTTCCAACGTTCTTGCACTGACGTCTCTCAACAGCCGTCTTGTCCTATTACATGGCCTCCCTCCTGAGCTCTGCTGGCTACGACACCCAGATCAGCAAGGCCAACATCAACCTGTTCTACTCCTGCGAGCAGTTCCTCATCGCCGTCTGCGGTGCCTTGTTCGTCGACAAGCTCGGCCGTCGTCCGCTCCTCCTCTTCTCCATGATCGGTTGCTCCGTCGTCTGGATCGGCATGACCGTCGCCACTTCAGTGTATGACGCGCATAAGATCCTCGATGCCGACGGAAACGCCCTTCCGGCAACCGGTATTGCCGCCAACGCGTCCAAGGCCGCCACCGCCATGATCTTCTTGTTCGGCGCCGTCTTCTCTTTCGGTATCACCCCGCTACAGGCTCTCTACCCCGTCGAAGTCCTCAGCTTTGAGATGCGAGCCAAGGGCATGGCCTTCTCCAGTTTCTCTCTCAACGCCGGTAAGTGTTCTTAAGAAACCCCCCAAATTATTTTTCTCTGCCAGCGAACTTCTCCACTGACATGTACCCCTTTTTTCCAGCCATGCTTCTCAACCAGTTCGCCTGGCCCGTGTCAATGGAGCGCATCGGCTGGTACACGTACATCATCTTCGTCGTCTGGGATGCCATCCAGGCCGTCATCATCTATTTCTTCATCCCCGAGACCAAGAACCGCACCCTCGAGGAGCTCGACGACATCTTCCACGCCAAGAACCCGACCAAGGCCAGCCTACAGAAGCGCAAGGTCGCTCTCGACCATCACTCCAACGTCGTCAAGGTCGTGCCGGTCGATAGCGACAGTGCGTAGACGTTCGGCTAGAGGCGCCGGTCATTAAGTTTCAGTGATAGAAAGAGAGCTTGATGGTGGTTTGCAGTATTCTTAAACTGGTCGATGGTTCACGGCGACGTAGGGTTTTGCTGGGATTACGACAATTTTTAATGAAAGCGTTGGGCGTAGCAAGGGCGGTGGGCGGCGGTGTTGTTGGATGCTAAGGGAAATTTTCTTGTTCCTGAATTTCCGCAGGATGGGAGGAGGGTTTGCTATTGGTTATATATCCAAATGGGTCTTCTTCGTTAGTGTCACTAGAGCAAGATATTATTTGCTTGTTTTTCTCCAATTCTGCCCTTGTCTCATGCCGCCACCGCAATGCTGTGATTCTCTTTTGCGATTCAGGAGGGAGCATGTGTACGCATATATTTGGGTGTCATTTTGTCCCCCCACAGACCAAAGCAAGAAGAACGGCCCCACGCCAACCAGCAGGTCTAGATACCGTGCATTGTCTCACGGCGCAAACCGCCCGTCCCGTCCCGTCCCGTCCCGTCCCGTCCCCACCCACCACGCATGGGAAAGACTACATGTAGCAACCCGCAACCCACGCATCCCTGAAAATCGAAACCACCCCAAAAACAGCCACGAAACAAACCCTGCAAGCCGCGAAACATACACCCAGTCCATCCCACCACCGCGAGCTTCATGGGTATTCCTTAGCCGCTGCCCAGTATGCACCTTATTTACTAAAACGTCAATTCGCTTTTTATCAGATCAAGGCATCTGGCGTGGTGCCAGAGTGGTTAATGGGTGAGACTCGAATCCTGCTTCGCATTGCAAGCAGCGTATAAGATATCTCATGACTTCGGTCGCGCAAGTTCGAATCTTGTCCACGTCGCATAATCTCCGAAATTATCTTTTTTCTTTTTTGCCCTCTCGATTTGCGTGACGAGGGGAAGTGATGGGAGTTGGGGGATGGCGATGTTGTGGTTGGGGGGTGGCGGTGGGGGGAGGCAGGCAAGCGAAGGCGGATGCAGACCCTGCCGCCGTGTCCCCAGGGTTGTTGTACTTGAATTTGTTTTGTTTTCTTTCTCTCATTTCCGTTGCCGTCCATTTTTGCTGTTTCTTCGACTCGCCCGTGTGGCTGTTGCGGCTTCGTGTTTTTTATGGCTTGACTTGAAGGCGTTGCGGGGTCTAAGGTACTGATGGAGAAGTGGTGAACCCATGCGGCGGAGGGAGAAAAAAATGTAAGGGTCTGGCCGAGCGCATTTCGAGAACTGCCGTTATGGGTCATGGTGGGATATTACTGAATGGTAGAGATACTTGGTGACAGTGGTAAAGTTTCGAAGTGGTACACGAATCGTAGTACGATAGTTAATTATTCCACGCAGGTGGAATCAAAATTGCAATGTTCCCACGAGTAGTACGTTAGCGCAATGCTGTTTTAAAGAAGCGCGGCTTGTATATATTCTCCGTTACTACACCCTCGGTACTTCCAGCGTTCGCTTTTTAATGTCTATGAAGCAAAAAGAGAAAAAAAAAGGCTACATAAATGTTACCACAGTTTGAATTAGAGGATTCGCCTTTATACTTTGCTTAATTATAGCTCTTTTCTCCAAAGCTCTCATCATCTCTTTCCACGTCGAAAGACGAGAGACTTGCATTCTACACCACCAAAAAGCACTCGACAGCCCCCAGCGACTGGCAGTGAACTGTAAGGGAGCAAAAAGAAGATCCGACGCCGGCAAGATTCGAACTTGCGCTCCCGAAGGAAATAGATTTCTAGTCTATCGCGTTAACCGCTCCGCCACAGCGCCAAGAGTATCAGATTTGATAAAGTAAATTTTGGGTAATTTGAATATGTTCTATAGTGCCGTGGGTATCGATAAGAATGCTGCAAGACGTCTGGTGCTGACTAGGAATAACTGGAAACCATGTACTTTCAGGCCGATTACTATCGTCAGTAGGGCCTGTATGGAACAGAAATGTTCCTCTTGTGCAGACTTTAATGGGTAAAGGTGTGGCTGCTGGGTTGTGAATTGGGAATTGGCGCCGGACGATAGAATCTGATGATTCTGCAGAGTTCTGTGGTTGATAGGAACTCCGAAGGTAGTAACATGCTGTACTACTGAGTAACGTCGCGAGACGACATCGTTTAGAGGGGACTTCCTCTGAAAAGAAAACGTAGACCTTGACAGATTCATTGAAAATTATATTTTGAGCTTCACACGTCCCTGGAGAAAGGCGGGAAAAATAGCAAGTTGCCAGTAGCCGGTTGAGCCTGACTGGCGAATATAGACGTCGATGCCAAGGGTGTCTCGGCCGTTTTTTTTCTTTCCAATACCTGACTGAACCGAAACATATTCCGCGTTTCTGTGTCTCCCATTCTCGTTTTAGCACGAGCGGATGAGCGGTGATTCCGCCACTTTTACTCACCCTACGACGTCTGTTCACAGATCAAGCTTCAATATCCTCGCTGCATTGCCTCCCAAGACGGCCTCGGCAGCCGATTCATCCCCATCAAACGCTTTCTTTATGGCAGCATAGTTGGTCTTCACGCTCAGCCATTCCGTCTCCTCACCATCCAGCGGTGGAAAGAAGGGGTGGTCGGTACCTGTCGAATTCAACAGCGTCAGCACTGCTCTTCGTTCGCCCATGGCCACAAAAAAACTCAAACTCAAACTCAAACTCACCAAACATGATCCTATCCTGCCCACTCGCCTCCACCGCCGCCCTCAACCCCACCTCCGAATACACCACCGCATCGAGATAGACATTCCGCTTCAACACATCCCACAGACTCCGCATCCGCTCCAACCTCCCCTCCTTCTTCAAATGCCCATCATGCGCCACACAGCTCTCGATGCGGCCCGCCAAAAACGGCAGCGTCCCGCCCGAATGGGCCAGCAGCACCGTCAGCGCGGGATGGCGCTCCCACACGCCGCCCAGCAGCATGCGTGCGACGGCGACGGTCGTCTCGACGGGGAAGCCGATGGCGAGCGGCAGGACGTGGCCGTAGTCGGCGGCGGCGCGGGGCCCGTACACGTCCGACGGCAGGCCGTAGTGGGGGTGGATGAAGACGAGCATCTCTCGAGCGGCGAGCGCCGCCCAGACGGGTTCGAGGCGGGCGTCGTCGAGGCCGGCGCCGAGGCCGGACGTGCCCATGATGACACCGCGGCAGTGGGGGAGCGAGGCGAGGTGGGCGATTTCGGCGCAGACGGCGGGGGCGGGGGCGGAGAGCGGGAGCGTGCCGAAGTGGTAGAGGCGGGTGGGGTGTTGGGCGCAGAGGGATTCGATCTCGGCGTTGATGCTGGAGGCGGCGGCGGGGGCGGCGGCGGGCTCGAGGAAGTCGAGCCAGGGGTTGGCGAGGGAGATGACCGAGGCGGCGATGTGGTGGGCGTCCATGAAGGCGAGCTTGTGGGCGATGGAGTGGTATTCGGGCCCGATGGGGCGGCCGCGCGAGGTGCTGGGCGTGCTGGCCGAGTCCTCGCCCGGGAGGATAATGAGGCGGGCCGAGTCGGGGGCGTCGGGGAAGTTGCGGATGTAGGGGACGGTGGTGCGGGAGCGGAGGAGCGACATGTAGGACGGGGGGTAGACGTGGGTGTGGACGTCGACGGTCGGCATGGTTGCGGTGGCCACCTGGTGTTCTCCCTTGTCTGATTCCTTGCTCTTTGCTCGGTTGGATGATGGCGGGTGGTGGTTTGTGCAGAGGATGGGGTTGGAGGACGAGGTGGTGGGAGAAAAGACAAGTAGTCAGCGGCCAGCCAGTAACTCAAAGAGGAAGGAGGGGCAGGGCGGGGCAAGACTGTGGGAGGCTTCTATCGGCAGCGACGGTCGCGAGCCGCAGCAAGGATGTGGCCGACGGCGCGACGTCTCCCACTCTTCTGTCGAGGAGGTGTACCTGCATGAGTTAGCCCGCCTCAGCAGCTCCGCGATAAGCCCCGCACCCTTATCGCCCACCATCCTCCCGTTTCGGAATCTCCACGGCGGGCGCCGATGCTTCGAAGCCATGCTCTCCACGCCGCGCTCATGTCTCCTGATCCGACCGCATCAGCGCCATTGCTGCGCCGCGTCCAGACTGATCGTGAGACGTGATAGCTCGCAGCGCCCATATAGCCAGCCCCGCGCCTCCGCCATCCGCCGTCTCACCCCCGAGAATCTGATCAGAGACGCTGGTCCACATTTCTTAGTTCAGAAAATACGAGCATTGTCGCAGCTCCCCTACTCCACCATGGCCTCCATACAAGTCGACTCGGCCGTCGAAAAGGACGACCTGTTCATCCCCGTACGTCGACTCCCTCCAACCCCTTCCTCAACACCACGAAAGAAAGAGAAAGTGAAAAAAGAAAGAAAAAAGAACCGACAAACTCACCACCACTCCCCCCTCTCCCCCAGCTCATCGACTTCTCCCACTTCGCGTCCCCCACCTCCACGCCCTCGACCCGCCTCGCCACCGCGCGCGCCCTCCTCTCGGGCTTCCAACGCGCGGGCTTCGTCTACCTCCGCAACCACGGCATCCCCGCCGCCGACGTCCGCGCCGTCTTCGCGCACTCGGCCGGCTTCTTCGCGCGGCCGCAGCCGCAAAAGGACGCGCTGGCGTGGTACTCGCCGCGCGCCAACCGCGGCTACGTCGCCCACGGCCGCGAAAAGGTCACGCGCGCCGACTACGCCGGCGACGTCGCCCAGCTGCGCGCCGCCGTGCCCGACCTCAAGGAGAGCATGGAGATTGGCCGCGAGGGCGAGGACGGGTGCCCGAATATGTGGCCGTCGGCGGAGGAGGAGGCGGGCGCCGCGTTTCGCGAGGTGATGGAGGCGTTTCATGGGATGTGTAAGGAGTTGCATCGTGGTGTGATGCGCGCGGTTGCGTTGGGCATGGGGTTGGAGGATGAGGGGTGGTTTGATGAGTATACGCGGCGTGGTGATAATACGTTGAGGTTGTTGCATTATCCTGAGGTGGAGAAAAGCGTGTTTGAGAGGGAGGATGGCCAGGTGCAGGTCAGGGCCGGGGAGCATTCGGATTATGGTGGGTTTCTCTTTTTTTCTTCTCTTTCTGCGGGGTCATCTTCTTTTTCGGTTTCCTTCGTTCTCGCCTTTGCGAGGAAAGAGACGATTGCACGTGTGCGTGAGGCTGGTTACTGATGGGTGCTCCCAGGCTCCTTGACCCTCCTCTTCCAAGACGACCGCGGCGGTTTGCAGGTCCTGTCGCCCAAGGGCACCTTTGTTGACGCCACACCCATCCCGGACACGATCGTAGTCAACGCCGGCGACCTGCTGGAGCGCTGGGCCAACGACACCATCAAGAGTACCAAGCACCGTGTCGTCGAGCCGCCGCCTAAACCCGGCCAGGAGTCGCTCGAAAAGTACCCCGCCCGGTACAGCGTCGCTTATTTCTGCAACCCGGACTTCGACAAGCTCATCGAAGCCATTCCGGGGACGTATGAGGAAGGGAAGCAAAAGTATCCCGGTGTTTTGAGTGGTGATTATTTGGCTAAGAGGTTGAGTGAAACGTATGGAGATCTGGATAAGTATGATCTGAAAGTGTAGAGGATTGAAGATGGTGAGACGACCGCAGAATAAATATCCGGAATGAAAATGGGAATCGGGAGTGGGTTTTGAAAATGAACAAACAACCTGAACGACATGGACTATATGAAGCGCGCTACTTGCTGCATCGTATGAGAATGAACTCGGCAATGAGAACCAACTTGGAAATCATGCACCAGCGGAGTTGCACGAGACTAACAATGCGGACAGCCAATATCAACGAATCAAGACGTGTGACGTAAGTTAATTTGGCAGTCTATGCTGTCAATTTGCATCTTTCATATTTATCGCCATCTCTCTCTCTCTCTCTCTCTCCACAACACCGTGCTGACGTCTCAAGGATGCCGCGGAGTCTGGATAAACAGTGCATTTATCCTCATTCGATGAAGCGGAGAGAACTGGTCTGCGCCTACTAATAGTATACATTACATTTTCCGCGCACAGCCTTCTCTTCATGGAGACGCAGACCCCCGCCCTCGTACGGAAAGAAGGAAATAAAAGAAAAGAGATTTGGTCTTGAGCGGAACGCCGTCGTGATATCTTCATCGCCTTCAATCAAGGACACGATGCATCAGCGCCCGATTCGCCCCGATGAATCGGAGGTACAGCTCCTTCTTCTGGGCCAGAAACATGTCCGGCTGGAACGGGACGCTGTACGCCTCGAGAAGGGCCGTGATTGCATCATCTATGTTCACGATACTTGCAATTAGTACAGGAACTGCGCAAGACATGGAGAGAGAGGTCTTGAAATGTGGAAATTCACGTACGATCAGAATTCCTGATCTCCTGCGCGTTGGGAGGAACGTCCCATGGGATTTCCTCGAGGTCGGTTTCCATCTGCATCGAACGCGGCAGGGGCTCCAGCGGTTCGTCAAGCTCCGTGACAGCGAAGTTCCTGTTGCGTTTCTCAAGGCATTTCCTGCGGGTCGTTAGCCGTCCATCACTTCCGAGGTCTCGGCCGGTGGGTAGTCGAAAGGGTAAGATCGACAATCAAGGTGAAGGACATGAGGGGTAAAAAAGGGGAAAAAAAGGAAACAAAAAGCAGAAGCAAGACTCTCACCTCTCCAACTCCCCCTTCTCCTCCCCCTCCCCCCTCTCCTCCACCGCCTCCCTCACCCACCCGCTCAACCCCTCGCACTCCCTGCCAATCCGCTCCACAAACCCCTGTATGCCCAAAATCAGCGTATCCTGCTCGCGACGTCTCTCCACCAGCCTCGCCAACCCCATTTCTCCTCCTCCTCCTCCTCCTCCTCCTCCTCCGTACCGGCCGCCCACCCCTTCAGCAACACCACAATCACCACCACCACCACCACCACCACCACCCCCCGGCTCCGGCGTCCACATCCTCTGATGCAGCGCATGCCGCTCCTCCACCGCCACCGCCACCGCCACCGCCGCATCCTCATCCCGCCCAGCAGCAGCACCGGTCTCGTCGTCCCCATCCTCCTCCTCCTCCACAATCACCATCCCAGCCGACGTACTCCTCGGCGCTGACGTCGGGCCCGCCACCGCCGCTGCCGTCGACGACGACATCAGCAACCGCCGCTGCTGTCTCTGCCGCTGCTGTCTCTGCCGCTGGAGGACGTTGACGTTACTCCCGCCGGAGGGGTGCGGGTGCGGGCGGTGGGGGAAAGGGTGGGGGCCGGTGGGGTGGTGGGAGGAAGGAAGGGGGGAGGAGGAAGAAGAGGAGGAGGAGGGCGAGGAAGCTGGGCGGGGGGAGGGGTAGGGGGAGGGGTAGGGGGCTTGGCGGTGGAGGTGGAGGTGGCGGTGGTGGTGGTGTTGGCGCTGCGGGTGTGGGTGTGGATGTGGGGGTGCTCCATTTTGTCGTCCGGAGACGTTTGATGGTGATGGTGGTGATGGTGATGATGATGGCGACGACGTCGTCGTCGTCGTCATCGTCGTCGTAGTTGGGGCGGTGTTGCTGCGAGTCCTACCCCTTGCGCTGATACCACCACTCTCCCGCTGATGCTGCTGCTGTTGACGAGGCGAATCAGCAGTAACAGTAGCGCCAGCAACAGCGCCGAACGATCGCACGGGACTGAACGCCGGACTGCCACCGCTACTGCCACTGCCACCGCTGCCGTCGGCCGGCGGAGGGAACGGATGATGAGGATGAGCACGATAAGGCGCGGGAGACGGGGCGGTGCTGCGTGACGCCGACGACGACGACGACGATAACGACGGCGGCGACAGTACTCCCTGCATGACCGGCGTGCCGATGCGCACGGTGCCGGACGATCTGCTCAGCAGGTTGACGTTGGGCTCGCGGTCCTGCCCCTGCACGGTTTGGTAATATCCGGTCGGGGCCGTTTGGCGTGGTGGTCCTGTCGCGGCGGCGGCAGGAGGGTAAGGGTGCTGACGCGGCCGCGGCTGGCCGATGAAGTGGCCGCTTTGGCGGTGGAAGGTGATTTGGACTGGTGGTGGGGGTGCCGGTGTGTTTGATGGGTTTGAGGAGAAGGAGGAGGAGGAGGAGCTTGATGGCTGCTGTTGTTGCTGCTGGGCTTGGAGGTGCTGCCGTCGCTGCTGCTGCTGCTGCTGCTGCTGCTGCTGCGCCTGGGGATACGGATGCGGATATGGCGGTGGGTTCGGCGAAGAGGCGTATTGTTGTTGGTGGTGCGATGGGCCAGGAGCATGGGGTAGTGCTTGGTTGTGAGGGAGGACCGTAATGCGTGGCGGCAGTTGATGATGGGGTCGGTCCATCAGACTTCTGTCGTCTTCCTGCATCAGACTGTCCTGCAGTTTCTGGTGGAGTGTGAAGCACGTTCTGGGCTGATGATCGACGTCGACGGGATCTGGCAACTGGTCGTTGAGCGGAAAGGCCACTGGGCTGTCGTACGGTTCGGTATAAGCATCATCGTGCAAGCTAAGGTGGTTCGAGTAGCGACGAGCGGTCGGCGCCGGTAGCGGCGGTTGACCAGGCGTAGGCGGACATGAAAGCGAGGTCCTGATGTAGTCTTCGCCGAAGAGCCGGTGGTTGGCCGGGTGAAAGGGCGAGGTAGCATGCGTGGCCAGGCTATCGTCGCTACCGGAGAAGTCGGTGGCTGGACCGGGAGAGCTGAGAGCAGAGGGGTTGACGGTCTCGAAAGGAGGCGGTGTCCCGCAGCTGGCGGCAAGCATGGCGTGGAGCTGCTCATCGGTGAGGTCCCGGAGGGTGGGCGCCCGCTGGCTCTGTGGCTCTGTGGCCGCCAGTACTGGGGCCGAAGCTTGTTGCTGCTCTTGGGAAAATGTCGATTTGGGGGACAGAAGACCGAGAATGCCGTCGTTGGCATCACCAGGAATGACGGCCATAGGCGCGTCAGGGAGCACGTCGTCCAGCATCATGGGGGAGAGATTCTGGTACTCCAGCTCTGGGAACCAAGAAAATCAAATGCTATTAGTGGCAGCGCGTGTCAAGGAAAACCAGGAAGCACATATGGGATCGAAGTGAAGGCAAAACAAAGTAGAGTTTGGAACGTGAAGCGGATCAGTAGCAGGCAAGAAATAGGAGCTGCATGTTTCTCGCCCAAGCAGGCCCCTTTCATCTTTGAGACCTAGAGCTAGACAAACGCGCTGAAGATGCCTGACGGCGGGATCCGCGGGGTCTGACTTGCTGGCAGCCTGGCGTTGGTCGGCGCGTCGCCCGGTACATGTTTGGTCTCGGGTAGTTGCAGAGCCTCGTCAGATCTGACGGGAAGTTTCCTTTTCGAGCACTGCACACAAATCTAGTTCCTTGAGTTTTAGAATGAGGCGTAGGGCTGAATCATCTTATGGAATTCTAAGCTGTGACATCGCTACTTGGACAAGGCGTGTAGTGGCATTATGGCCATGCACCTACCATAAGCCACCCACGGAAATGCTGCCGTTTGTAGCGCCTCCGAGCTAATGCAAGCGAGCCATGCGACAAGGCTGCATGTATTGACAGGGCAGTGCAACCTCCCGCCTTGGAACCTACTGATCAATGCCACTTGCGTCACCCACCATCTCGGACGAGACTGGAACAACTGCATTATGAATCTTTCACACCAGCTGCGTACGCGATGAGCGGCGGAAAAACATACCATTACGTGCATTGAATGCAAATCAGTGTGCTCACTCTACAGTTGCTTGGTGCGGAGTGGATTTCTGGACAAACCTCAGTCGCTGTGTAAAAGCGCGCTGGAACACCTTCTCGTGTCAGCAAGGCAGGAAAACTCTTGCAAGACCTACGAAGTGAGGGTCCCTCTTCAACTGTCTGATGTATACATTGGGTCAATGTTTGGCAGTATTGTCATCAATCAAGCAGCCGGCTGAGGGCATTTGTATCAGGTTGACCGGTCATAAACAGTTGTAATTGCGCAATCTAACCAAAGCTATATACAAAAGCTTGTACATAGGACGAAACGAAAGAGAAAGGCGTATGCTCGGGATCCTCGAGGAAAGGGATTGAGCATCTTGTCGAGACGTTTGCAGCCCAGAGAGCGACCGGCAACGCATTTAGCAGCCAGCGTAGATGGCTACGAGTATCCGTTAGCGGGACTGCATCGTACATGCTAAGTGCAGGTGATTGTGACATACCGTTGGAGTACAGGGCATAAGTGTCGGCATTGTTGAGAGCCTGACTGGCAGACAGGGCAGTAGCAGCGCTGTAGCCGTAGCCAAGGTCATCAGTGCCCTTGATCTCAGTAAGGTGGGTAGCCTCGTGGAGAGTGGTGGTGGCCTGGTCCTGAGAGTGGCAAGAGCTGGTGAGAGCGGGGAGGGCGCTGTAGTACAGAGGGCAGTTGACAACGATGGACTGGGACGGGATGGTGTAGGCCAGGACGTTGCTCTCGCAGTAGCCGTAGACGTCGGTGCAGTAGTAGTCCGAAGCACCGCTGGTGGTGCTGCCGCACTCGGTGGCGACCTTGGAGAAGGTGGCGGCGACGGCGCTGCGGGTGCTGGAAGAGGTGGTCTTGAAGTACTCGGAGAACTTGGACGAGGAGCCAGAGACAGCAGCCGAGGAGGCGGCAAGGGCAAGGCTGCGGCAGTTGGTGAGAGCAGTGCGAGTAGCAGTGCCACGGGTGCTGGTGCAGTCGGACTGAAGGGCAGCGCGCTTGGAGAAGTCACGGCGGACCTTGGCGGCCTCGGCGCCGTTGACGTTGGCGCTGATCTTGTTGCTCAGGTAGGACAGAGCGCCAGTGAGCTCGGTGGAGTCGGCCTCAGCGAAGGGAATGGCTCCCTGGGCCAGGATGTCGTAGGAGCCACCGGTGCTCAGATCGTGGGTGGAGCCAACGTCGAAGGTGACCTCGATGGTCTCGCCGGCGGCAATGCTCTGGAAAGCATCATCGCTGAGGCTGCTGGTCAGCGTGCGGAGGCGCACACCCTGGAAGTTGACACGGCTCTCTGGAGAATGTCAGTGCGGGTTGGTTGGCAGGCACGGGAAGCAACTTACCGGCAGAGTAGATCTCAGCCTTCTCAACCGCAGCAGAGTCCAAGAAGGAACCGGCCTTGTAAAGCTTGAGGGCAGAGTCACCGTTGTTGGTGACGGTGGCCTTGACCTCGGTGTTGCCGACCATCTCAAGCTTGACGTCCAGAGGAGTGTCGCGCTTGTTCAGGTTGAGGGAGACGGCGCTCACGGCCGAGGCCAGGGCGGCAATGGAAAGACCAGTGAAGAACTTCATCTTGAACGGTGGTTGGGGTTGATGGCGGAAGAGTAGGCGAGGCTCTGACTGAGTGATCTGGGCTGCTGGGTGCTGCTGATGGTGCTACCAAGGAGGAGAAACATGGGCTCTTTATAGTGTTTGCGGGCAGTGCGGATCGAGGTTGGGAACTGGCTATGCCCTGATCAGACGGCTCAGCCGACGACTCTGGAGCCAAGCGCAAAACAGAAGGAAGGATAGCATGCGTGGGGATGATCACCTGTGGCAAGATAGCAGCTGCAGTGCAGACATGGAGCACGGGGATTGTGCCCATGGCCGGAGCGGGGGTGGTAGCCATGGGCGGGTCTTAATCTCCAGGGAGCACCATGCATGGCCTCGCTGGCAGGTACAACAGCAGACAGCCAGCTGCGCAGAAATCAAGCCGTTGCATGGTTCAGGCTAGATAGATGCAAAGGCGATGGCATCGTGTTGGTCGTGGTTTGGTGGTGGGAATGCCACGGCGAGCCAAGCCGAGTCACTGAGCACTACGGAGCCTTCTTTGCCCTTGGCTACAAATTGGCGTACTCTTGATGGCTCGGTGAGAGTGGCGCAAGGGGACACAGATCAGCGACGGGGGCAAGTAGATTCGGGCGTAGCTCAGCGATTAGACGCAGTGCTGAGTTCTGGCCGTCGATCCGGGCGCCCGATAGAGGCAAGCACAGAAGGCGGCGCGGAGGAGCGGGAGTGCCTGGGCCCGGGCGAGCGCTGACATAACAGGTGGGCATGGCCAATGGCATGGCTCGATCGGGTGCGACCAGGGGAGATAAGAGCAGGCTTCATTAAAGCTGCGGTTGGTGCGAAGAGGCGGCGAGCACAGCCGCGATGGACGAAACAACTGCCGCATGAGGAAGGCAAAAGGAGCGGGGCAGGGAAGCTGGAGACTGCGGACGGCTGTCTCGCGATGCAGCGGGCTTGGCGGGCGGCATTGTGAGCAGATGGCGCGGTGGTGAGAGGAGTCGGCGATGGTGGTTGGGCGGAGGTCAGCGAAGCCTTTTGCGGGCAGCTGCAGCCGGAGCTTGGCATGCGCCCTTGCCCTTCTTGCTCCCTCCCGCGCGCCTCCCGCACCATACAAACCTCTATCGCACTCCTGCGCCCTCTGCCCATCGCCAGCGCCACTGACGCTCGTTGCCATGTCCAGCTCCTCGGTGGCTTCGGTGCGCCCACGCGGCCGCCCACGCCGTCACCGCTGTCATCGCTGTCACCCGCCTGCCCGCGCCGACGACGCCTGAGCCAATTGTCTCAAGCTGCAGGAACTACAGCACCTGCCCTGCAACACCTACACTCGACTTATCCGCGCGAATCGCCGCGAGGGCCGAGCGAATTCATTCCGTCTTGGCGCCTTGGCTGCGCTGCCCGGCGCCTCGAGAGGCAGCTCGCACCAGGCAGGCTCCATGTTTCTCTCCGGCCCTTCGTATTTGCTGCTCTGCTTTCATGCGCACCGTCGGCCCCGTCCGAAGCTGGCCTCTGTTTCGCTGTGGCGGTGCCAAGGCCTCCTCTGCGTGTGGGCCTGCTGCGTCACCTTCCCCTTCCATCTACTTCTGTGCACGGCCGCATCTTGTGCCTACTGTCCGTAACCGTCCTTTTTCTATTCTTTACCTACTTCCACGCCTTCTATGACCTGCTCTTTTGGCCCGTTCCTGCGTCACCCTACAGCCTCGCTTCAGCCCGCTCCCACCTCTTATCGTGCCCGCCCGCGAACCCCTCCCCTCTAAGCGCTCTCCGTTCTTGGCGCCCAGACTGCTGCCCGGCATTATCTGCCCCGCCCGCCTCTGCTGTCACGTCGCGTAGAAGGATTACCCCAGAAGGCTTGGTAGCGCCACCGCTCATATTTCTCCTTCGGGACGTTTCTCCCTTCCCGGCTAGCTGCACGTCATAAGACCGTCCCACCAGGCCGAGAACTTCGCCTCCTCCAACATCGCGGATCGCACGGCTTCACCCCTCTCAAACCCGAGCCCACCACCCGGCAAATAGGATTCCCTCGGCCAATATTTGTGAGTTGGCTAGACACCAAACCGTCATCACCACTTGATCCAGCCTAACACGGAAGCTGAATAGCCCTCACATTCGGTACACGAGCTCCGCACACAACCGACTGACTTCGGAGACCACCGTCCCTCGTCTCGAGACTGCCGGTGATTCCGCCACGCAAGCCTCTGACCACCGCCCTGAGTGACGGGTACTCGAGTCCTCCCATCCCAAGGCCCCGACTGTGTACCTCAATCCCCCGATCCAACCAGCCAGCCTGGACCTAAAATTCCATCGAAACCATCATCATCTCGGCACGCAACGACCCATGAGCATCCTGAGCAGCCGCCCCTACCTCACCGCCATCCTCACCCTCCTCGCCATCACCAGCTACTACTACTACACCGCCATCTGCACGCCATCACCATACACCACCTCCAAAATGGCCGCCATCACCACCGGCGACCTCTCGCACCTCCACGTCTCGGTCGCGCAGTCGTCCACCTCGCCACCCACCCTCACCCTCACCCTCAAAAACACGCACCCCTCCACCACCCTCACCCTCCTCAACTGGGAGTCCCCCCTCGACCCCCTCGCCCTCCAGCTCGGCCTCATCTCCGTCTACGGCGGCGGCTCCGACGAGCCCCTCCCGCTCGCCACCATCCAGGTCAGCCGCAAGCTGCCGCCGGGCCGCGACCAGCTCGTCTCGCTGGGGCCCGGCGAGAGCAAGAGCCAGGACGTGGTCCTGCGCGAGCCCGTCGTGCCGCTGAAGAAGGTGAAGGAGGCCGGAGGGAAGACGGTGAAAGTCGCGTGTAAGGGGAGGTGGAAGGCGGTGTGGGCCCCGGCCGAGGGAGCGGCGGGGGTTGCGGAGAAGGCGTTGGAGAAGATGGAGGCGGATGAGGGGGCGGTGAGCGGGGAGTGGGAGGCTGAGGCGGTGGAAGTGGAGGTGTGAGTGAGTGAGTGAGTGGTTTGTGGGGGGTTTGAAGTTTTCCCCTTTTGATTTATTTCTACGGGGAAGAAGTGTTTGGAGATGGAAGAGGGAGGAGAAGGAGGGTTTTTTTTTGGTTGTCTACGAAGGGAGTGGTGAGGAAGGGAAGTAAGGAATTCACGCTCGTTTTGCCTTCTGGGAAGTCATGTAAGGATCAAATGCCGTGTACGTTTGCAATGTCTGTCTGTCTGTCTGTCTGTATCTATCAAATCTGTTCGCTCGCTTCTAAGACGCCCAATTCATATCTTGTCCGAGTAATATGGACGAAGCGTAGCCATAATGCTTGCCAAGTTCTGGCCATCGGAGACTTTCACCGCCTCAGCATGAAAGTGGCCTTTACACATTTTCTTGATCAAGCTGGATCTATCGACAACGTCCAATGAAAAATGAGGGCGTTGGACCCTGCCGAAACACCAGTATCTATTCTTCCACGCCTATCCACACCCACGCCTACGATTTCAATGCATGCACAAAGGCTACAGAGCAAAAGGAGAGACCGGAGCCCGTCCGCCAGCAGACAAAAAGTCAAAAAGATCGGTTTTATGCGACGTGGACAAGATTCGAACTTGCGCGACCGAAGTCATGAGATATCTTATACACTACTCTTGCAAGCAGGATTCGAGTCTCACCCATTAACCACTCTGGCACCACGCCAGTTGCCGTTGGTGAAATTAAGCCAGATTGCAGAGACTAAGTAGACTCCAAAGTCCATTGTTGAGATCCACGGATGCTGATCAGGATCTGTCAAGGGTCAAAGCCTGATTTTTGCTGCCGGTGGTTCTACGGCCGGATCAATTACCACGAATAGACGCATCTGAGAAAAGCAATCATATGTGGTGCTTGCCTGTTAAAATTAGACGGCGGGCCTGGTCTGTGGACACGAAAAGAAAGAGAAAACAAAAGGGTGATACAAGATGCGACAGTTCTCAAGAGTCGAAGGATAGTTTGCTGGCCAGTTTTGTTTTCGAGTTGCAGAAGCTGGGTCGCTGCAAGGGGCGGGCGGCTCTGGTGGTTTCGTTGAGGGCTGCAGCGGTCGGTCGCACTCTCCGCATGGCTGCGTGCAACGAGCGGTGTTATAGTCGCACGACACATGATGTCGATGGCTGACTCGGGGCATGTGGACAAAACGTCCAGCTGTCATATGTCGTGCGCCCGCGACGAAAAGCACAAGATGGCTGCCTGACAGTTGCACGATAACCGTCTCTCGCGTGTTGTCTGCGTACCGCTATCCGAAACCCAGATGGCGAGTAGGTACTGACAGGAACGGGCTGGCGATCTCCCGACGGTTGCGAGCTTGCGACGGGCTTCTCGTGTGGCAAGTGCGGAATTAAGCATGGTGATCGTTTCCCGGGCCCTTGTGACCGGGTTGGGCTGATCTGACCCCATCGGCAGCCTGCCCCACGTGTGTGACATCTGAAATCTCCACGCATCCCCCGTCACTCCGCCGCTCGCTGCTCTCTCTCCCCAAGCGGCGACGGTGATCGCTGCGGCGTCGGCGGCGACAATGGCGTCTGGTTCTGCTCCGGGACTGGGCCAGGCCCGAGCCGCCACCCAGACACGCGCGTACCGAAGGCCGAAGGAAGCTACCGCCGCTGCCGCTTTTTCGTCCTACTCCAAAAACGTCACAGCCTACCGCCTCCTTTGAGCCTCCTCGTGCCCCCCGCCGGCCATGGCTCAAGCTCCTCCCTGCCGCCGACGCCGGCCCTGATTTGCTTGTTGCTGCACAGCAGGCTCCACCGCAAGGCGCAATACTGTCGGTCAGATGCCGCTCTTCGCTGCATCACGAGCGCCTGCCTTCTTCTTTAACTCCGCATCCGCTGCCTCTGTTCCTTGGTTCCCACTCTCCCTCGACCTTCGAAGCTCCGCAAGCAAGGGATAAGAAGCTGTGCGACCCTGCCGCCTTCCTAGCCACCCACCCACGCCCGTAGCTCGAACCGGCACCATGCCGACCACCGAGAGCCGTCCCCACCCCGCCGGCCCTGCGAGGCCTCTGCTCTCCACCGAGATCAACACGGCGACGAGGTCAGTCACACACGGAATCCACCTCGCAGTCGAGAAACGAAAAGAGACTTGCTAACCACCAGCGCGCCGTCGCCGCCACAGATCCCTCCACACCAAGCTCAACCGCCTCATCACCGCCCGCCTCCCGCTCGCCCTCCCCCCGCACTCGGCCTCGCCCCGCCTCTACGCCTCCGGCCTCCTCCACTTCGCCCACGTCTACCTCACCTTCGAGTCGGCATGGCAAGACATGTCCGCCGCCCACCACAACAACACCAACAACCCCCACCACAACCCCGCCCTCTCCTCCCTCCTCGAAGACCCCTGGATCAGCGTCTGCACGCCGCCGTCGCCATCCTCCTCCTCCACAACCGCCACACCCCCGTCTCCATCCTCCACAACCTCCACCCCAGACACGGCTCCCTCCCCCGCCCTCCTCACAGCCCTCGCCGCGCTCCTGCCCCCCGGGCTCCCCCGCTCCCGCCGCCTCCGCCGCGACCTCTCCGCGCTCCTCAACCTGCGCCCCGTCGAGCTCGACGTGCGCCTCGCCACGGCAGCGAACCACAAAGGAAGCGGCGTCGTCGCGGCGTACGCGGCGCACATACGCGGCGTCTGCCACGCGCGGCCGCACGTGCTGGTCGCGTACGCGTGGGTCATGTACATGGCGGTGTTTGCGGGGGGGCGGTGGATACGCGGGCAGTTGGTGGAGGGGGGGAGGGGGTTTTGGGAGAACTCGAGTTCGGGGGTGGATTTCGATGGGTTGGGGGAGAGGGGGTTGGCGTTTTTTGGGTTCGAGGGGGATTGTGATGGGGAGGATGTGAAGGGGGTGTTTAAGGAGCGGTTGGGGGAGGTGGAGGGGCTGCTGAGCGAGGCGCAGAGGGCGGAGGTGGTGGAGGAGGCGAGGGCGGTGTTTGAGTGGAGCATTGCGCTGGTGGAGGAGCTGGACGGGCTGTTGGATACGCCGGAGGATGTTGTTGCTGGTGGTGGCGGCGCTCGTGCTCATGCTCATGCTCATGCTGCCGCGCCGGTGTCGGAGGAGAAGGGGGAGGTGGAGGCGGAGGCGGAGGCGGAGAAGGCGGGCCTGTCGCCCGCTGCGGCTGCTGCTGCTCGGTCGTCGTCGTCGTCGTTGGCGCCTAGGAATGACTGGGTCAGGCAGGGTGGCAGCGTCGCCGGGGCGCTGGTCGTGCTGGGCGGTGTTTATTGGTGGGCGGCGTGCTTCCTGGGCACCGCTTTGAGGGAGGGCTGGCATGAGGGTTGGGCGGGTATTTGATCCTCGGTTCGCGTACTGGACTGGACTGGACTGGAGTTTTCTTGTCGTAGCGTCTTTTTCTGGGTCTCTCTCTCTCTCTTTCTTCTCTTTCTCTCATCGCCTTGTAATTTCTTGTCCTACGCTCTCGCCTTTACCCGTCCGTACTTGGGTCGCAGAGTAAGTGAATCGTGACTTTTCCCTCTCCCATAGCCGTAGGAGTCTCTCAATTTTGCCTTATTTTGCATTTTTTTGGGTTGCTTTGGCGGTCAGTGTTTGCGAGGTATCAGCGGCGTCAGCGGCATTTACTCACGCTCTTCCATTGGACAAGCGAGCAGCGAGCGAATGAGTCAGCGATAGAAGCAGGTGATAGATTGATTCACGAGTTACATGAACATGGGACAACTCAGGCGCGGAGCGAGAAAGGGCCGTGATTGGCCGCCCGATTCGGCAGAGGCTGCGCCACGATACCCCCGGCAGCTGCCTTTTGTGGGTAGTAGGGCAGAACTAAATCTGATTTTTCGCGTCTTCTTTGAGAATGGCATTGCTTGTGCTCTCACCCGTCGGGCCTGTGGATCGGCGGGCTTGGTGGCGGGAGTATTGTCTGTGGCCCTATGAGAAGTCTTATTGCCATTGAGAAAGAGTTGCGGTGTTTGCTGACGTTGCAGTCAGTCGAGCATTGGAACACATATTGATTCTAGTGCTTATCCCCTTTGATTCTTTGGGGTGGAGCCATCCGGAATTCCGCTGTTGGGGGTTTCGACATTGGGCGTGAATCAGTGGCTCAGGATGCAGATACCCGAGCAGATCATCCCCACATCCACGTAGTGGGATCAAGATGCCGGCCCTTCATCCCTAACCCCGTTCGTATCCGCCGGTACTAAAGCGCTCTTCTAGCCCTGATATGGTGGGCCTTGTAGGCGCGACAACCACATGAGACATAGTGCCAATTCCTTCCGCCCCCAAGCGTCGTCCTTCCGGTCAGATAACTGCCATTACGCGTCAAGTATTACTGCTGCACGATTCCCAAAGCCGCATCCGTCAAGCCTATTCTGGAATTCTTGCGTAAGAAGAGACCACAACCAACACAGCTGTGGAGACGGGCCTCCAGCATGCCTTCCCAAATCGATGGAGTCTTCGCTGTGAATCGAAAAGATCAACAGCGTCCGTGATGACACTGGGAAATCCTTCGACTCCACAGGCAAGGACAGCACCGTAGAGAGTGTCTCAAGCAGAGAGCAATTGGCATTTCGCTTCGGACGAAGTTCCGCGAGAAGGGGGGGTCAGTAGGTATAAAAGCTCGACCAATTCTGGTCGAACAGCAATCACATCAGCGCCCTACGAACTCTCGTCATCACGGCAATCCATCCAACCTTCCAGAACATCACGTTCCCCCGAACCCAAACCGAAAATGCAGTTCAAGGTCGCCCTCGTCTCCCTTTTCGCCGCCATGGCCATCGCTGCCCCCGGGCTCGAGAAGAGGTGCACCGCTGACGGCGGTAAGTCTTCAACCATTCAACTCCCCATCTTCCCCCCTTTTAGAGTCGTCCAGCTAACATGTGAGCGACTCCAAGGCTCCTGCACCCAGCTGTCGCAGTGCTGCAGCGGGAACTGCGAGTACGACTCCTCCATCGGCCTCGTCTGCAAGCCGGCGGCGAAGATGATGGAGAAGAGGTGCACCGCCAACGGAGGTAGGTCGAAAACGCGAACCGACTTTCGTGTTTCCTTATCCTGACCCTGTTCCTCCTCCCCTCCATGATGTTGATGCGGTATCCATAGGTTCTTGCACTCAGTTGAGCCAGTGCTGCAGCGGCAACTGCGAGTACGACTCTTCCATCGGCCTTGTCTGCAAGGCTTAGAGGAGGAGCGAGAAGCCGTCAACCATGAATGAAGAAGCTCGTGTGCTTGGTCTCGTTGTGGAAAGAGAGGGATGATGGTGATGATGGTGACGATGATGATGGCTATGACGTGTCGGTAAACGGGTTCGCTCATTGAACACTTCTTGACCCAGCCAAACGGGTCCTGCGGCTGTGAAGGCCGCTGAACGAAACTAGTCAATACTACCTGTATGCGTTGGCAAATACTTGATCTGCAGTGGAGAATGTCTCACGTGGTGACCAATGACCGTGGTGCTTACTTGACAACAAGGACGGATGAGGGATGGTGACTTCGATCCAAGCGGAATTGTGCGGGCTTTCCTGCGAACGCCCGGATGAGGTTCGCTTTGACTCTCTTCACGCGATCTAACTCTAACACCAACAAGCGAGTAGAGGATCTGGAGGACGTTCTATTTGAATCTGATGAATTTACTCCGCTAAGGGGCCAACACTCGCAGGAGACTCAATACATGACTGAGGTAGACTAAGCAATTAGGCATTGTATTCTTGAGTATCTACTATGTGTGGCTTTCTCAATCTCCAACATATTTGAGAGTTCTACTTCTATTCGTGACAGAGCTTCGTGTTGGACCTCATAATTATATTAGAGTCACCTCATGATCACGAAGATGACCCTCGTTAAGGATGAATGTCATCATTAGACCCACATGGGTTCCCTTTAGCAACGTATCATCATGATCAGGCTCCATTGCTATCCCTTTCTTCGCGCATATATAAACCACCAGTAGTAGCAGTGTTCAATAGATCATCCAGCGATTAGCTTCACTTCCTCCACCCGGCTGTGATCACCTATCCGACACTTCGAGAACCCTCCAGATGAGTTTGTTCTATCTACCAAAGGAAACAAATGACATATTACCCAACACATAATGTTTCAGCCAGAACCGTGACGATGTTCTGAGTGAGGGGAATCTCATAAGGTACTGATAGAATGAAAAGTTCGTGGAAGCCATACAAAAAGCAAATTCGAAAATGCTCGCCGTGAAGACATGGTTGCAAGCTTTGACGGATTTCTTCCACCATCAGATCCTGGAAACGCGCAAATTCCAACTGACCGTTCCAGAATGGCCCCTCCTGAAATCTAAACTCAAACAAGTTGCCTCCTTGGTTGTTGTTTCTCATACCCCTTGAATTCGTAACAAAACCTCGTTCCTATTTTCCCAGAGAAACCTGTCCCGGGATTACATCATATTCTCGTAGATCATCAAAGAAACAATTGAAAGTTCGGTCTAGCAAAGTGAGTGTGGCTCCTCGGCAGAGTGAGCGCGTCTTTTGCGCGGCCTTCACCCCCGATGAGCTTCTACCTCCCTACCTCGTATCCGAGGCGGTGGGTATACAACGTTTCTCTTTACGTTCAAACGGCTCCATGAGAAGGCACAGAACGTGGTCTTCCATGGGACATACACACTCGCAGCGCGAAATTGGTTGACCGTGGCTCCAGAAGGTACAGTGGACGGGAGAGCCAGGCCGAGGGCAGATGCACAGAGCCCAGCGGTCGCCTCTGCAGTCGTGGGCGCCGACGGTGTTCTCGCCAAAGCGGCCAGGCCCAAACGTGACGCGCAGCGGCGGTCGACCCGGCGGGCGCGAACCGGTATCCGGGCAGATGGCCGCTGCAAAGCTCTTCGCCTTGGGCTCGAACTCGGAGAGCTCCCGCTTGGCAGGGTGGATTTTGAAGCCCCCGTATCTGTTCGTCCAGACGCCGCCGAGGTGCACGCTGGTCAGGTTGCGAAGCGATCGAATTACCTTTTGGGCCACGTGGTTGTGTCCGCCGTTCCAGTCCATGAAGCGCACGCGCTGGGTTGCCAGGCGGATGCGAGACAGGTGTTTGTCGATTTCTAATAGTTCCGGGTCGAAGTAGCTCATAAAGGCTTCTTCATCCTCGAAGGCGATGATTCCATCTTTGTGGAGTGCTTTCTCAAACTCGGTGGTCAGTGCCTCCCAAGGGCGGCCTGAAACGAGGTGGTCGAGGTTTTGGTAGACTTCGGGATGGCTGATTTCAAGGTGGTTGTCCCGGATATACACAAAGGTGTCGGCCTCTTCGACGTCGACGAGGTTTTCGGCAACCAGGGTAATGAGCTCATCCGGAAGACGGGCGAGGCCACACGGGCTGGCTAGTTGGCGACGCTCGAGGCTTGGGCCAGAAGGAGCCTGACTGTCGCTGATGCAGCTGAAGGGAGGCTTGGACATGATTTCGAGAGGCTGTGATCACACTATTAACTGGGGACACGACTGTTAGGCTGTCAGCACAAAACTGCTAGGTGTAAAGGAGAGAAGTAGTTGAGGATTGGCCGTGGTTAAAATGCTTGTGGGAGAAGGCTAAGCCGGAAAGGAAATGGCAACCATGGTACTAGAGCAGTGGCCACGTTCTCCTGTGCACAAAGAAGTATGCATTGCGCGATGAGATTTGACGAAGCTAGAAGACTCGATGAGTTTGATGGACGAGAAAGAGAGCGGAGCTGACTAGAGAAGGCGACATGATAATAAAAATATCAAGCTTGGTCCCCCAAATATTTCCAGTGAGGTGGAAACTGATTTGGGCGGAAGTGCAAAGGCAACGGTCAGCGACGAAGTTGAGAATGGCCTTAATTATGATGGCCAAGCAGGAGGCGAAGCAGTGGAGGCGATTGCGCAGAGTGGTTGAATGCGAGCAGTTGGCGGATTTGCCGTTGCGGGTTAGGCTGGCGCAGGCGATCGTCCAGGTCGCGGGGCGTGGAAACACCGAGGCTGATCCTTCACTTTCATTCATTATTCTGCGGCGCGGCAGCCCTGACGGCTGGGCCAAGATGCGGGAAGTATGAGGCTCGTATCCGTGCCCGGCAGATGAGCAGCCCGGCGAAACGTGTCAAACGCCCGAAACAAGTTCCCTCTCTGCGAGTCCTTTCGCCCCCGCGTGCGCCTCGAGAGCACCGCGTCAACTGCACACACGCGCTGCCGGCCGCCTCTCGCCCCGACGCACCAGCGCCTGCCGGGGTGACGAGAGAGGTCTGGTTAGCGTGCGGGTGTAGAGACGGCCCCCGCTTGGCGGCGCCGGTTGGGGTGATGGGGCCAGGGAGCTCGGGCGGGAGAGGCTGCGTGAAACGCTGGCCTGCCTCTTTCGGGAGCCTGCCAGGCACAAACACTGCATGCGACGCACCGGCTCCGCTGCCAAGCTCTGGGCCCTCCGAAATAGAAACACTAGCCATGCATCCTGCTCGACATTGCCATGCCCTGCCACCCTTTATCACGCCGTGCTCCCCCTCACTCCCGCTCTCCTCATCTCGCCATCCCGAACCCGGTACATATCTCAGAGGGTCTGAGGCCCTCGTTCTCTCGCTTCTTCTCCGTCGATCGCTACCCGTCTCTCGCTTCTTCGCTCGCTACTCGCCATGCGCATCTCCGCCATCCTCGGCTGCGCCGCCGCTCTGTTCTCAGGCGCCACCCAGGTGCAGGCTGCCTGCTCCGCTCCTCTGGTCATCGACAACTTCTCCGGCTGGTCCTCCAACCAGAACAGCCTGAACTCATGGACCAGCGGTACTGGCCTCGATTCCTCATCCCTGCACTCGCGCTGACTTTCCCAGATGACTCGTCCATGACCTCCGTCAGCGCCGCCAACGGCAAGCTCTCGTTCAAGCCGGGTGCCAATGGCTACTTTTACGAGACCTTTGAATGCCAGGCCGCCTCCAGCAACGGCTACAACTCCATCACCTTCCCGGTCAAGGGCCCGGCCGGCGGATCCTTCTCGCTGGAGATCCAGTCCAAGACTGCCTGCTCTGCTTCGGCCTACACCAGCCACTATTACACCGTCTCAGCCCTGACTGGTTCCACCCAGACCATCACCATTCCCTTGTCCTCCTTCTCCGGCGCCAATGCCAATGCCGTCTCCGCCTTTGTTTGGAGCGCCTTCTCCAGCGCCGACTCCACCTGGGAACTCGGCCAGATTCAGTTCGGCTGCAGCGCTGCCTCGGCCACCACCTCCAAGCCTGCCAACTCGGCCACCACCACTCTGGTCTCCAGCAGCGCACCTGCTCCTTCCGGCCAGTGCACCAACCTGCTCATCGATGACTGGGTCTCGCAGTCTCGTCTGACTTTCCTCTACTACAATGCCATGCTCGAGCCCAGCTCTGACGACGGCTCCATGTCGTCCATTGTCGTCGACCCCACCACCAACAGGGTCACCTACACCCCCAAGGACACTAGCAGCTACTTTTACAGCCAGACCGGCTGCACCAATGCCCAGAACCTCTATGGCGGCATCTCCATGCGCTTGAAGGCCACCGCCGGAACCACGCTGTCTGTCGAGCTTGACTCCGTTACCACCTGCGGCGGTGAATCCACCAAGTTGGTCACTGTGACTAGCAAAGACCTCGGCTGGACTTTCGATGGAACCGAGAAGCTGTATACGATTCCTTTCTCGAAGTTCACCGGCCTTGATACCTCCAAGATTTCCACTGTTCTCTTCTCCCAGCTGACCAAGCCCGTCACCTTCGGCCCTATGGCTTTCTACTGCGGCAAGACTGCCAGCGAATACATCCCAGCCACGACTTCCGCTCCCGCTGGTCCCACTTCCACGGTCGCCGCTCCTTCCAGCACTGCCTCTGCGCTGGTCATTGACCAGTTCGGCAACCAGAACACCAATGCCCTTGGAAACTGGCACGGTGCTGATGACGGCATGACTCTGACTTGGGGCTCCAACAAGCTGACCATCGTGTCGGATGATGCCGACTACGCCTTCTACACCCAGCTCTCTGGAACTTGCCGCGACATGACGTCCTACGACAACAGCTACCTCCACATCGCCTACACCGGCTCCACCGCATTCACCGTTGCTCTGCAACAGCACAACTCGAAGTGCGACGAGACCATCGCTCCCTACCCGGAGACATGGGACTCGATCGAGGCCGCCCGCTACGCCACCGACACGGACATCTACATCCCCCTCAACCACTTCAACATCGAGAGGGCGCGCGTCGTCGGCGTCGCGCTCAAGGGCTTCTACAAGGCTGACCCGGTCACGCTCAGCAAGATCGAGATCGTCAGCTCCGTGCCGGCCAGCTTCAAGGTGCCCAGCAAGCTGCCGTCGGGCAACCTGATTTTCGCGTGCAAGCGGCCCAACAGCTTCGCCTTCGCCATCGACGACGGCTCCCCCGAGTACGCGCAGGAGGTGCTCAAGATCATCAAGGAAGAGGACATCAAGGTCACCTTCTTCACCGTGGGCGCGCCGCTGCTCGACCCCAGCACCAACCTCTCCAACGTCTACACCGAGATGATGGCGGCCGGCCACCAGATCGCCATGCACACGTACACGCACCCCAAGATGGAGGGCCTGCCCGACTACGAGGCCATCGACTGGGAGTACAACCAGGACATCGCCGCCGTCGACGAGACGCTCGGCGGCCTGCACACGTCGTACTTCCGGCCGCCGTTCGGCAACGAGGGCGCGCGCATGCGCCAGCGCCTCGCCGCCACCACGGGCGACGACAGCCCCTACATTGTCAACTGGAGCGTCGACGTCGAGGACTGGCTGTGGGCCGAGACCAGCACCCCCGAGAAGCAGCTCGACGCCTTCAAGCGCGACGTCGACAAGGGCGGCAACCTGGTCGTCATGCACTACCTGTACAACAGCACCGTCGGCTACCTGCGCGAGTTCATCCAGATCGCAAAGGGCACCGGCAAGCAGCTCATGCGCGTGGATCAGTGCATGGAGGATCCGAATGCGCCGGCGTTGTAGAAAAAAAAAAGATAAATAGGATAATTGGGTTGAGGGGTCTTGGAATGTAGGAAGAATATGGCGGATGCTGATAATGTCTAGGGTTTTGAAAATAATGTGGTTGTCATTGTATAGTTATCAACGCATATTTATGGTTGCTGCTCGAAGAGCCGACCGAAAAAAATAGACGCAACGCCCTGTTCCCCGCCGTAGGCCACCACCATCAATTAGCTGGCTAATCACTAGTGAATAGCCGGCTAATCACCAGTGATTAGGCCTACGCCCCCTAGCAGGCCTATTCACCTGTAAATAGCCCACTAATTAGGCGCTCGGACCCACGCCGTAGCCCACCTAGGGGTGTTTCCATCCGCGCTATATAAGCAACCTTAAGATCGTAATTTTCTCAACACTATAGCCCTAGGGTAATACTAAGCGAAGAATTACGCTCTAACACGAGGCTATAGGTATTAGAGCGTAATCCTTCGTACATCTTCGCCCGTAGCACTACCGAAACCGGAAACATAGACTATAGTGTTAAGAAAATTACGATCTAGTATAACGCGGGTGGAAACACCCCTAGAAGGCCTATGGCGTGGGTCCGAGCGCCCGATTAGTGGGCTATTCACAGGTGAATAGGCCTACAGGGGGTGCGTAGGCCTAATCACTAGTGATTAGCCGGCTAATTATGCGGTGTTAGCCGGCTAATCCAGGGTGGTGGCCTACGGCGTGGAACAGCCCCTACTTGATCTTTCCTCAAGTGTTGAGGTATTACGGCTATGGAATGGAAGCCTAATTGATCTACGTATTGCCATCGCCGTTACATCACGTGCTCCTTTCCCTTTTTCGATCTTACCCCGAAATAATCAGTCCGCGTGGGTGGGCGGGGGAGGCAAAAAATCTTCTGCTACACAAAACCCGCCCTCTTCTTATCGGGAATTGACTTTAGCATAATAACAAGCGCAGGCGGCCGTTGATGGGGAATCCAGTTACTCCGCATCGAGTTTTCCTGTCACCCCCCGATCACCTGCATATCCGCCCCCTTCGCTTCGCTGGCACTACATACAAAACGCCCCGTGGGCGCCGCGCCCAGAAAGGAAAAGGAAAGAAAAAGGAAAGGCAACGTTCCACGAGGAACGAGCAGATGATTACCGGATACGGCATCTGCGGGGGCGGAGTCTGCATGTGGCGACGTACGTACGTTACTACCTCTCTGACCCTTTGTGAGACGGCATCTGCTGTGTTGCGACGTTGCCGTGTAACGGGCGCACCCCGCGTTGTTGGGATTCCAGCAGTTGTCTGCGTTTGCAGCTCGTGGACCTACAGACTCCGGGGAAGATTTAACGTTGTGGGAGGGCTTTCTCGTCTATGGTGGTGTTGACGCTCGGAGAAGCCTGGGGAAGGTAGAGTGAGGAAGCAGTCTGCATCGTGATGCGGGGCAGTACCTACCCATGTGTGTCCTTGAGAAAGGCCCGAGCCGCTCTCGTCTAGGATGCCCGTGGAGCCCTTTCCCCGATGGCTCGGCGAGTCGATGTACGATTGTATGACGTGCAGTTTCGGAGGCGGGCTGACATGTCCAAGCCGTGGGAGCGAAGTGCGACGGCGCAGCCAAAGTGGTTAGTTTCCGTTCCATGTCTCTCGAGCTTATTAGTCGAACAAGGCAAAGGTCACAGGCGATTTCTTTAGAGCGCCAGAATTCGATGCAACCAAGATCTCGGCGGCTTTAGTGCGAGAGGGAGGAATCCCGTCGCTGTCAAACCAGCTAATCATGTCAGGGCGGGAGAGGCGCTGAGTGTAATACAACATCGTCAGATCCGATTATCCGAAGACACAGCACGAGATCGAAGCCAGCGAGGGGCCAAAGGGCCTTCTCACATGCATACAGCCCAGCGAAGTGCATCTCCCATCGCTTTCCACACCAATAGCACGCGTGGCGCAACGAGCGACCGCGGTTCAGATGAAGGATGTCGTCGAGTGACGCGGCTGATGATCCTTAGCAGCTGTGCCTAGACACTTGCATCAAACAACTCCCCGCATGCTGTGCGAGACGTCATGCTGTTGGGCGTGAGACACTGTGCCAGTGCTTGGAACGCGTCCAATCGGTCGATGCATGATCGAGATGCGTGGCACCTGGACCCATTGGATCTCCAGCATTTGACGGGAAACGGGCTCGAGGTGCGGCTGAGGGTCGGCGAGGATGACGAGACAGAGGTGGCGGGTGATCTGCAGGAGGATTGGTTAACTAGCGGCGCCATCCCCACATGGTTTCCTCTGGCACTCCACTCGATGGCTTCCGAAATCGACCACCACCGTCATTATTCCGCAACTCAAAGCCACGGCGGGTTGAATGCGGCCTACCGTCTACCACTCTTCTCCAACAGCAAAAATCAACCACGTCCATCATGCCACCACCTCGGGCCTCTCCCGCAGAGCGACCTCTGCCGTCGTCCTCCAGCTTCACCATGAATATCAACCAGCCTTCAGAGAAATACATTGTCATTCCCGGCATTGGCAAGAGGAAAGTCCAAACCAGCGATGAAGAAAACGGAGCCCCTCGACGGCCAACCCGACGGCTTCGCTTTCTGAACTGGATGCCCAACAATGTCAGAAATCACGTCGTCGCCATGATCGGAGAGTTCGTTGGCACTTTCATGTTTCTCTTCTTCGCCTTTTCCGCAACCCAGATCGCAAACACCGGTGCTTCTAGCAACGCGCCCAATGCCGTTCCCAACACCTCTGGTCTCATGTACATCGCCTTGGGCTTCGGCTTCTCTCTCGCCGTCAATGTCTGGGTGTTCTTCCGCATATCCGGCGGCCTGTTCAATCCCGCGGTATCACGCCCTTTCTGAGCCATCCCCTGTGCATTTTCAACTGACGACTCGCCCAGGTCACGCTGGGGATGTGCCTCATCGGCGCCGTTGGCTGGTTTCGGGGATTGCTCATCTTCGTGACCCAGATTGTCGGCGCCATCGCTTCCGCCGGCATCGTGTCGGCCCTCTTTCCCAACACCCTCAACGTTCGCACGACGCTGAGAAACACGTCCGTCGTGCGAGGCCTCTTCATTGAGATGTTCCTCACATTCATGCTGGTCTTCACCGTCTTCATGCTCGCAGCCGAGAAACACAAGGGCACTTTCCTGGCCCCCATCGGCATCGGCTTGACCATGTTCATCGCCGAACTATCGGGTGAGTGTGAGCACAGAGACGCCTTGGAGCAAGGGCTGACTTGAACGACCTACCCCGCAGGCGTCTGGTTCACCGGCGGCAGTCTCAACCCCGCGCGCTCTTTCGGCCCGGACGTGATCCTGCACACGTTCGAGGGCTACCACTGGATCTACTGGGTGGGCCCGGCGCTCGGCTCGCTGCTCGCCGTCGTCACATACCGGCTGATCAAGTCGCTCGAGTACGAGACGGCCAACCCGGGCCAGGACTTTGACGAGAACGAGATCGAGGCCTTCCACCCGGGCGAGGACCCCACGCCCGAGGACGTCCGCCGCCCGCAGGTCTACGGCGTCACCTCAGGTGAGTCTCAACCATCATGATAGAAGACCCCTCTCCCTCCTCCATCCATCCATCCATCCATACATCCATCTCTATCCTTCACTCTTTCCCACTCTTTACCCCCCCTCTCCCTCTCCCTCTCCCTCTCCCTCTCCCC